CTCTTCTCTCCCCTGCCTCCTGCCTTTTCGTCTCTTCTCCCCAGTCTGTCATGGCATCAGGAGTCTTGCTGGGTTCAGCACGGCCTCCCTGATGAGCTGGGCCACGTCAGGTGTGTTGTGCCTTCACTGGGTGGAAAGCTTTGGAGCAAGACGTGACACAAGCCACACTGAGGCCCCCCCGAGAGGACTTGGCCTTGGCCCCCAAGGGGCTCCACGGAGTGGGCAGGAGGCGACACGTGGTAGGCAGGTGGTTCTCCAGCCCCCCCGGGCACCAGCTTCCTGAGGCCCGAAGGCTGGCGCCAGGGCCCTGAATCTGCATGTTCAACCAGCCAGTCAACGAGACTCTGTGGACGGTGGCCCGAGGCCTCACTTTGAGAAACAGCCTTTTGCTGCAAGCAGTCAGCACCTGGTGCTTCTCCTCTTCCCTGTTCCTGACCCGAGGTCTGCCATGCTCATTCTGCAGTCACATGCTCTACCACTGAGCTATACCCCCTGCCACGCTCATTCTGGCCCCTCTCTTTCACTGCTGATCTTTGTTGCCTTTGGGCCGAGCGAAACTCACCTTCCATGGAGGCCTGACTTTCAGCCGCCTGGGTGTCTGTGCGAAATCCTAGGTTGAAGGTGTTTCTGAAACGTATCCTCTGTTTATTCTGGAAGACCCTGGACAGGGGTCAGGATGAGGGTGTCTGTTGGGTCCAAGATCCCCTCGTGGTGGTGCCCACTGGCCCAGCAGCAGGGCCCATGGGGTGTGGAGGGTGGGGCTGGGTTGCCTTCCTCTTCTCACTTTGGGAGCAGCGCAGGGCCTTTTGGCTTAACTCCTGTCTCCCCCCTCACGTGGGGGCCCGCATCACAGGCCCCGCATCGGACCTGTGGCCCCTGCAGGAGGGGCAGGCTCATCTGGACCCGAGTGGTGAGTAGCCTACTGTGTGCGCGGTTGCATGTTTGGGAAACGGGCCCAGCATGAGCCAGGCCTGAAGGCTGGAGCACTTGGGGCATGGGGGTGGGTACAAAGGGAAGGTAGGTGACAAGAGGGGCTGATAACCTTCCCTGGGGTGGACCTTGGGGCTCCCCCTGATCCCTGAGTGCTGCCAGAGCTCCCTGGATGCCAGAGATCCTGGGAGGTGGGATGTGGGCACATTTAGGCATGACCTGGTGCAAGCCTGGTGCCCGGGTGCCGGGAACCCATTGTCCAGAGTCATCAGATGCTTGTCTCACCTTGTTTGCGGTGTCCGTGATGTCATAACCCATGCGAACCAATTGTCATTTGCTACTAATTTTCTTTTCCTTTTTGTTTTTTGTTTTCTGTTTTTCTCTTTTTTTTCTTCAGGAGGAAAATGGTTTGTATTGTTTTTTCTTAAACTCTTTCTAGGGAGGTGGGGACCTCAAAAACACCCAATGTTTTTGCCTTGTCAGTAGCTCTCCGAGGCCTGGGGGCTGCCTCTCTTCTCTAAATGGGCTTAAAGCCCCTCTGTTTGGGGGTGGCAGCAGGGACTCCGTGAAGCCAGGACGCTGCTGTCTGCTGGTGTGGGAGGCTGAGTTAGTTCCTGTGTGTGTGTGCGTGTGTGTGCCCGTGTGTGCTTGTCACCGTGGGTGAAACTGGGCACCTCGGTGGGCGTCTGGCCCCTCCACTGTAGGGCCAGGCTGATGGGTGACAAGTTCTCCGTTTGGCCCCTGCTGAGAGACCTCGCCCCCGCTCTTGGCAGGACTTTGGCCTCAGGCACACGAAGCGTCACCCCTCCACACCCCAGGCCCCAGGGCAGCCCCTACCGAGCAGGCACACAGGTTTGCCTGCGGGCATCCAGCCTCTGGGACCCCCAGGGGCTGCCTGAGCGAGGGGTCAGTGCTGGGAGTGACATCCCCACTGTGACCCCAGGCGGTGCCCCGAGGCAGTTCACCACCACCAAGGATTTCGGGAGCCCCCAGAAGTGCCATCTGGGAGCAGAGGGGATTTTAGGAGCTCCTCTCTCTGCTCCCGTCCCCCATTTGATGACAGGCAACAGGCCTGAGATGAGCACAGTCATTAGCCAGGGCTACCCACAAGTCAGGATCAGGGCCACTAAGGGAGACGCTGGGGTCCTGCAGCTGAGCCTTTGATCTTGACCTATAGGATCCACTCATGGCCTCTTGGGGCTGCTGTCAGGTGGGCAGGTGGGCGGACAGATGTGGTGCCCCTGGCTCCTAGAGCTGCCATGATGTCAGCTCTTGGTGGGAGTGGTTCCAGGGTCCTGTGACAATGCTGGGTGGGCATGGCAGGGGTGGAATGGCCTGTGGTGACAGAACAGAGGCCACCGGGGTGGGTCCCCATTCCTGGCTCTGTCTGTTCCTGATTCCTCTGTCTATACCAGCAGGTTGGCTGGCGTGCGGAGGGTGGAGGATAGGAGCCCCCAGTGTCAGCTGTGCTGACCACTTCCTTTGTGAGCCCTGCAGGGTCCAGCGACAGATGAGGAAACGGAGGCAGGGGGTGGGGCATGCAGCCAGCCAGCAGGGGGGAGGGTGGGGGTGGATGGCAGCCCAGAAGTACTGCTGAACCCCTGGCTTTGCACTTGGGGATCCTGACCATGATCTCTTGGTGCTGCTATCAGGGGCAGATGGCTTAAATAGATGGACAGGGGGCCACAGCCGGTCACCCCTGGGGACCAGTGAGGGCACAGGACATGAGCCTGGTATGCAGCTACAGAGCCTGCAGAATTTTGGGGGTCAGTGGGGGCCATGGTTTTCCTTAGGATGGTGTGAGGAGGAGAGGGGCAGTAAGGGAGATGGATGGGATGTCAGGTTCCTGCAGAGCCCCCGACCTTTGAACCTGAGATCTGCTTGGTGATCTCATGGTGCCACAGTCAGGGGCAGAGTTGAGGGCAGAGTCAGGGGCCGAGTTAGGGGCGGAGTTAGGGGCAGGGGCAGGGTAGACCTGGTGGGAGGGGGTGTGGGGTGTTGTGTGAGGGCCCCCAGGTGAGGGTCCCGGTTGTGCAGGGAGTGGTTCATGTCCTTCCACCATGCCCCAGTTCCCCAGTGTGGAGGGTGGGGGCAGCTGTGCTCTTGGAGGTCACAGGCTGCTGCTGGATAGGTGAAGCTGAGGCCAGGCAGGGGGCCCTCAGTCTGTATGTGCTGGACCATGGATTGAATGGGCCCCGAGTGAATGAGTGCCATCCTCCCTTTGCCTGGACTCCCCGGGGGCCCCCTCCTCTCCCCAGGGCAGTGCACCCCCCCTCTGAACAGCCAATTTTGCCACTTTCAGGGCAGTGTGATCTTGGCCTCCACTGAGGATGATAGAGGGGGAATTGTTTGAAGCTGGGGCTCCTGTTCCCGAACCCTCTGCATTAGGGGTGCAGAGAACAGCCTGCCCAGCCCGCATATCTTGTGTGGGAGTTAGGCCCAGGCCAGAGGTGAGACTTGACCCTCAGGAGGAGGCAGCTGCCAGTGTCCCCCTGACCCCCATCCCAGTTTGTGTGCCCGGCACAAGGTGGGGCCTATTTTGGGGGGAGAGCCCAGCCCCCGCACTCCACTTGCCCCCCTCCTCCATCCTGCTCTCCACCATCTACCTTCAGAATAAACCAGAGTCAGATAATCTTTTATTTTGCTTTATTTTGGGGGTGGGAAAGGTGAGTGGGTGCGAAAGCGGGGGGGCCTCCTCCCCGTGGCAGAGAGCGGTGGGTCTGGTACAGCACGGCTGTGCTCAGCTCAGTCCACTGGGTGCCTGGGGCCTCCCTCGGTCTCTCTTGGAGCCCCCTCCCCTGTCGTAGACCTCTGGGTCCCTGTGCTATCAGAATTGGGAGGGGAGAGGGAGCCCTGCCCAGTGAGGTCACCCCCTCGATGTCCGGGGAGTCACGGGGACTCTCAAGAATGCAAATCCGGTGAGTACTGGTACGTCGGACGCTCTGTGGAGAGGCACCGTCCAGGTAAGGGCAGAGCTCAGGGCCAGGCAGAGTCAGGGTCGAGGAGCTGAACCAGACGGTGGGGGTGGGCTTGCTTTGCAGGGGGTGGGCAAGGGAGGTGCCACAGCGCTCCACGAGGTGTTGAGCGGGGTGGGGGGTGGGGGGCGGGGGGTCAGGAGCCCAGGGGGAGCAGGAGCACCGGTGGTGGAGGTAGAAGAAGTCAGTGGAGCACCCGAGGTCAGTGTCCCAGGATGGCACATGGTGGCCACTCGTCTCTCCGGGGGAAGGGGGGGTGGGTCCCCGGCACCTGCTTGCTTGGCTGCGTCCGCTGTGCCTGATTCTTCGCCTGGCCTTGGGGCATGGGGTCATCTCCTGCTCACCACTGCTCTCTCCCTCATTGATCTCACTCCCAGCTGCAAGCCCGGGACCTGGGCAGTTAAGACGGGATTGTGATTGTGTAGCCCTGAGCTGGCTCTGGGTCTCTGATGGTTGGATTGTCCGTTGTTAGCACAGATGATGCTGCTGGTTGATGAGTTGAAGAAATTTTTGCCCTTCACAAGTGGGTTCCCCTTGGGTCAGGAGTGGCGGGAAGGGGGGGGCGCTTGGCTGAGTGAAGCAGGCCGAGGCACGGGGAGTCTGGAAGGAGAGGCCGAGGTGGGAGGCAGAGGTGTGGAGGGTGTGGCGCCGGCCGGGAGGCGCTTCACTCAAGGCTCGCACTGTCCTCGTCCCCGGGCAGCTCTTCCAGCCTAGCTTCTTCCCGGGGTGGGCTCGCCCACTCGGCGGTCGGGGACGCCTCTGCGTAGACCGTGGTCAGAAAGTGGATCAGGGCCCTGGCCGCCAGCTCCTGGGTGATCAGGTCGGGCTGCCTGGCGGCGCTGTGGACACGGGGCAGGTGTCGGCTCAGGAAGGCGAGGACTTCGGAGGGCATGGGGAGGTGTCGGAGGGGCTGGAGGGCCGCCCCGGTGGTGTCAGTGCTGAGGGCCTCCCGCACGTCGTTCTCCTGCTCGTCCTGCGAGGTGTCTTGCAGGCCGTCATGCAGGCCACACTGACGGTAACGTTGCAGGTCGTCTTGCAGGGCTTCTCGCAAGACGACATCTTCGTCACCCACGACGTGCAGCTCCAGCGAGCGGGTGCTTCCGGGGAGGGGGCGGGCTCCTCCCGGGGTGCCGACTCGGACGCCGAAGAACTCGCACAGCAGCGCCCAGAAGCCTGGTGTGAGCTGCAGGCCCCGGCGGGTCAGGGGGAGCAGGGCGCCTTGCTGCCAGTGGCTGGGGCCCGGGAGCAGCCCGGCCAGCTCCTGGGCCGGGACGGCGCTCGTGCCCACGGGCAGGGGCACCGGGGCGAGGAGCCGCGCCACGGCCCTGGCCATGCTGCTGCCGGGGCCGAGGGGCGCGGCCGGGCCGAGGGGCAGCCAGCGCCGGGGTGGGGGCCGAAGCACGGCCCAGGCTGGCGCGGGCAGCGTGGAGAGGCGGCGCTTGAGCTTCAGCAGCACGAGGAGTGCTGCCACGGCCAGGGTGTCCTTCCAGAACAGGAGGCCTCGGAAGAAGTGCAGAATGACTGCTCTGATCTGGGCCATGCTGAAATGGGCGAGGAAGCTGTTGAGGATTCGGTCGATTGGTATCAGAGCCAGGAACTCCTGCTGGAGGTTCCGGCCATTTGGCTCGTCCTGGTGAGGGGCATCTTCGTTCTCGTCTTCTTCCCCGGAGTCTAGTGACCGGTCCCGGGGGGCCCCTCCCGTGGAGAACAGCGGCCTTGCCCGGGTGGCAGCGTTGTGCCGGAAAGCCCTTCGGCTGAGGTGTCGCAGGGGCGGCAGAGGCCGGCCGCCATCTTGTGCTGGCCGCTCCGTGACGTCAAAGTTGAAGTGGGAGAAGAAGAAGACCCAATGCCCGGGGAGAAGTACGGTGAGCCTGTCATTATTCAGAGAGGCCAGATCCTCTGTGTTGAGAAGGATCATGATGGGCTCCTCGGTGTTCTCCAGGTAGCGGCACCACACCGTGAAGGCAGCCCTCACTGGGAGAATCTTCATCTCCAGTTGAGAGCAGGCGACCTCGATAGGCGAGACACTTCGCGAGTAGAAGGCGCAGGAGACTCTCCTGCCGGTTTGGTCGTCTATTTGGATCAGGGAGGCGTGCAGAGCCGTCCTCGTGACGCCTGTGTCCAAGTAGAAGGGGTTCTGTGGCTTGGGGTGGTGCAGGAGGGGCGCCTTGCGGAAGGCCCGCTTCAGGCACTCGAAGGCCTCTTGCTCCTCGTCTCCCCAGGAGAAGGTGGGGGTGCTCAGCAGCCGCCGCGCCAGGGGCTCTGTGATAATGCTGAAGCGCTCCACGAAGTGCTGGTAGGGCAGGATGAACTGGATCAGGTGTTTCAGGGACTTCTTAGAGCTGGGCGTGGGGTACCCTGTGACGGTGTTCACGACGCTCTTGTTGAGTTTCACCCCTTTGGGGGTTATGACGAATCCCAGGAATTCGGCGGTGTGTCGGTGGAACTGGCTTCGGTCCAGTGAGCAGTAGACGTGGTGGTGTCGGAAGCGGACCAGGACTTGTCGGACATGTTGGAAGTGTTCCTCCTGGCTCATTGAGTAGACCAGGACGTCCTGCCCATACGAGAGCACGAAGTAACCCAGCATGTCCTTTAGGATAAAGTGGAGCACGTTCTGAGGGATGATCGGGTCTGAGGATAGCGGGAAGGGCTGGTAGCTCTTCATCTCTTGAGGCTCGAAACCAAATGCTGCTTTCCATACATCTTCTGCTTGGTGTATGTTCATGCTTTCCTCCACAATGGTCCCCCGCAGCTCCAGCTTTGTGAACCATGTAGCTCCGTGTAACTGGTCGAACAGTTCTGGAATCATCTGTATGTAGTCCTGTTTGTTGGTCAGCATGCTGTCCGGGCTCCAGTTTTCATCCCGCGGCCTGGCACTTCTTTGCATCCCGGCACCCACAGGTTCCCACGGCGCGGTGGAGGGACATTCGTAAAAGGTCTCGCCGTGATCACTGTCTCCAGCCTGCTGAAGCTCAGAGGGCTCTGATTCAGAAAGATCATCGGATCCGTCTGAGCTTGGCTGGTCGGAAGTCTCATCATCTGCTTCCTTCGGGTTAAACACGTCGGCCAGGTCGGAGTACAGGGGCGGCAGTCCGGGCAGCAGGCTTATGGCATGTCTTTCTAGTGCGATGCATGGTGGGGGCGGGCGGAAGCACTTCTGTAGGCAGTAGGGAGAGTGGAAGGTGCAGCGGCCTTGGATCCAGTCGACCTCGGGGGTGTGGATCCGGAGCCAGTTGATGCCTAAGATCACGGAGAAGCTGGGGGACGGAACGATGTCGAATTCGATGGACTCCTGGTGGTTCTGATGGATGCACACCAGGGGCTCGGTGTAGAGCCAGACAGGTTCGTTGCCGATCAGTGAGCCGTCCACACCTTGGACCATCTGCGGGTAGGGCTTCTCGTAGAGCTCCACATAGTGCTCTTGGGCAAACCTCTCATCCATGAAGTTGCCGCCCGCCCCCGAGTCAACCAGGGCCTGCACCGCGACACTGTGGTATGGGTTCACTCTGACCAGGAGCAGCAGGAAGAGGTGGTTGCGGTTGATGGTGGGGCGCACTTCGCAGGGCAGCCAACTGCTCACCATCCACCTCTCCGGGGCAGGTGAGTCGATCCAGGTCAGATTCCGTGGGCGGGCCTCTGGGGGCAGCCTGAGCATGGCCCTTCTCTCTGCCAGCTTTTCTTCTATCTGCAGGACGAGCACAATCAGGCTGTCCAGCGAATCTGGCTGCGGGACCCGGAACAGATAGTGCCTGATCTCCTCATTGAGCCCCTGGCACAGGTGGGCCTGCAGGACCTCGTCCGACCAGCCCAAGGTGGGTACCAGGCCCTGGAACTCGTTGATGTATTCGATGGCAGGGCGATTCCCCTGCCTGATGTTGAACATGGCGTCTTCGGCCACACACAGTGCCTGTCGGTACTCGAACATACCTGACATTGCCTCCAGGAAGGCCGGGAAGTCATCCATCAGGGGGCTGTCTTCATTCACCAGAGCTCTGGCCCATTCTAAGGCCATGCCGGAGAGGTGGCACATGACGTACCCCACTCGCAGGCGGTCGTTGTAGAACATTCTCGGGTAGCTTTGTAGGATCAGCTGGCAGAGCACGATGAACTCGTGGTATTCTCTGCGATCACCAGAGAATTTTGATGGGACGGGCAGTCGGCCTGCGTTGATTGCTTCCATCAAGATCTCTTCTGCTACTCTTTGTTGCTCTCGGAGGTCTTGCATGCGGAAGTACAGAGAGATGATGGATCTCACCGTGGCCATGATCTCCGAAGTCTCGGACTCCTCTTCAGGACGCTCCTCCTCTCCCACGTCGGCCAGGTCAGTGTCATTGACTTGTTGGTCTTGGGCTCCCCATGGGTTGACTGATGCTTCTTCCATTCTGCTAGGTGGCTCACTGGTTGGACCCCCCACTTCCTGATGTGAATCGTTGCGTGACTCCTCCAGGTCTTGGAGTAGGTCATTGGGTGGATCCTTTATTTCCCTATGTGGGCCACTGGATGGCTCCTCCATGTCTTGGCGGAGATCAATGGGCAGCTCTTTCATTTCCTGGGCTGGGCCACTGGCCGGCCCTGCCACCTCCTGTGCGCCGCTGGCTGATGTCTCCACGGTGGTGTTGGATGAGCCCTCGGAGGACTCCATTTGTTTTGATGATGGATTCTTACGCTCCATCATCGTCTCAAATGAGTCTTCAGAGGGTTCTATCATTTCGTCGGATGGAAAGGAGTGTTCTCTGAAGACTGGTAAGGTCGTGACGCGTCCGGTCAGCGACTGGGACTGCGGAGATCAGAACCTGGGGGTGGGGAGGACGGGTGGGGAGGAAAGGCAGCTGTTTAGGGATTCACAAGGTCAAGGTTAGGTTCTCCGGGACAAATCAGATGCCCAGCTCATCAGAACAGAGAGATACTGGGGGAGAGCTTCCCTTGCCCAGCTTTGAATATTATTCTACCCCCGACCTTCTCCCTGTTCTCCCAGGCTCGCTTGGCCTGTCTGGCTTGCCTGCTTCCCCCATGGCCGTGAGAAATTCACAGCCCATAAATTCTGTGGAGCAATAGGCCCAGAGCAGCTGCTGTGGCAGGCAGGCACCTGGCAGGATGTGCTGGCCAATTCATCTCCCCCTGGCACCTGTGCCTGGTCAACCCTCCTTTCCTTCTCTGGTCATCCCAAAGTCACAGAGGTCATATGTCAGTGCCACCAAGAGTTGTCCCTGGCAGGCAGGGTGCCCTGGAGCAAGCTCGCTCCCCCCCTCTTGTGAAGTAGGAATCTCTAGCAGATGCCTACTGTTTAACAAGGTCGGGGAAGAGGAGAAAATGGGCAGTTGGCCACAGTCCCGTCAGTTGGATCAGCAGCCTAAAATAGCTCTCACTTCCTACCCTAGATTCACAGTAGAAATCGGGCCAGTGCAGGGGGAGGAGGGCAGACATCGAGGTCTGGCTTTTATTTTTTTTTCCAAAAATTTCAATAAAGCACCTACTATGTGCCAGAGACTTGCACACTGTGACTTGGTCCTCACTCGGAAGTTTTGCTGATTTCTCATACTCTTTCATCAATTTCCAATCTCCCCAGCTCTGAGCCCTCGGGGAAATCTGCAGATCCTCCCCCCACCCCTCCTAAAACTGCCACTTTCCCAAGATCACCCTCTTTGCGGGGGTTCAGGCATCAATTCCACACATGCGAGCAATCATATTTACCTGCTCCTTCAGTCTTACCGGGGGGGGCTGGTTCTCTTCCCTCTAGCAGACACCCCCTCTCTGTTACTGGCTGCTTTCTCCCTGACCTAGGGGTGTCTCAAGGAGAGCTGGGGTAGCGACTAAGGGGTGGGGGTAGGGGAGGGGGAGGGCACGAGATATCGTTGACCTCTGATTGTCTTGAAATGGGAGTTTTCGCAGTAGAGTCATGGGTGGTTTGAGTGGGCTGGGGCTGAATTTAAAAGAGATGTCTGGGTTGGGGTTATTTTGTACGTCTTCTCTGCTGGGAGAGTAAATTGAGTTCTGGTTATCCAAAAGAGTAGCTCTGTGGTCACCCTTCTTTCTACATTTAATACCTTTTGTTACTTCTGAGTACTCTCTGAGCCACCAACCCATCTCTTTAAAAAAAAAAAAAAAAGGCATTCCCTCGTTGGCTAAAATCCAAACTTTCCAACAAGATAGACGATTCCGATCTGCTGTTTCTCAAAATTAAGTACATTCTTGTTAGCATGACAGTTAATTCCATCCTGCAGAGCCTCTGATGAAAAGGTTTTGTTGTTTATTTACTGTTCACAATATTAAATCCAAACCTTTTACCATAACAATTCCTGACACAGAAACTCACCAAAATCATTCTCTGGCTAAAATGCAAAGGCTTTAGAATAATAGAAAATTCTGCTCATGTCATTCCTTCAGGTAGAGATTACATTTTTAGCATGATGCCCCGGTCACGTAAGATCACCATCATCCCCATGCCCATCCCCACCACATACGCAGAGCATGGCACCTCAGTGAATTCATTTGTCATCACCAAAGTCCTATAAGGAGTGTGCTACCACTGCACGATTCCAAGGTTGAATATAAAGTTCTGACTGAAATATAAAATGGGACTAACTCATCTGCAGACTCCTCTATTAGAAATAAAAATCTGTCTCTTCAAGCCCTTAATTGGCTAAAATTTAAAATGGAAAAATTTGAATTGGCTGAAATTTACATTTTAAAGTTGAAAAATCTAAGTTGGCTCAAATTTCAAATTTCAAATATAAAATCTGTGCATGTCTTAAAACTGTTAAAACCCTTTATTGGCAAAAATTGAAAATTAAAAAATTGAAAATTTTAAATTGGCCAAAATTTAAATTTTTGAATATGAAATCTGTAGATCTCTTAAAACCCCTAAAGTTCTTTGTTGGCTAAAATTTAAAATTTAAAAATTTTAATTGACTGAAATTTAAATTTTAAAATTGAAACATTTAAGTTGGCTAAAATGTAAAATTTTAAACATGAAACCTGTATATCTCTTAAAATTTTAAAACACTTTATTGGCTAAATTTAAAACTTAAAAATTTAAATTGGCTGAAATTTAAATTTTATTTTATTTTATTTAAAAAATTTTTATTTATTTGAGAGAGAGACAGAGAGAGCACAGGCTCTCTTAAATTTATTTGAGAGAGAGAGCAGAGCGTTTGAGAGAGACACGAGTGGGGGTGGGGAGGAGGAGAGGGAGAAGGAGAAACGGACTCCCTACTGAGTGGGGAGCCCCGATATGGGGCTCCATCCCAGGACCATGAGATCATGACCTAAGTTGAAGTCAGACGCTTAACTGACCGAGCCACCCAGGTGCCCCTGAAATTTAAATTTTAAAATAGAAAAATTTAAATTGGCTAAAATTAAAATTTAAATATTGAAATATTTAAATTGGCTAAAATTAAAAAATTTTAAGCATGAAACCTGTATATCTCTTAAAATTTTAAAACACTTTATTGGCTAAAATTTAAAACTTAAAAACTTAAATTGACTGACATTTAAAATTTTAAATATAAAATCTATATAGCTTTTAAAACTTAAAAGTCTTAGTTGGCTAAAATTTACAATATAAAATCTCAGTATGGCTCTTAAAACCCTTAAAACCCTTTATTGGTTAAAATTTTAACTCCTTTACCAGATGATTTAAAAACTAGACTATAGCCCTTTTAATATAATACATATATATTAATATAATACAAATATGTCTTAGCGTATTTATGAATTCGATGATGTAACTGATGAAATCATTCACCTGTCCTGTCTTCAATCTAAAATCTAATATCCTTGACATGTTACAAAATCCTGATCTTAACACTCCTTAGCGTCAAAGTTCAAACTTTTAGCACGAAAGTTGTCCCATAATTGCTCTATTTAAAACGTACAAAAGTCTATTTTCATTGCTTAAAATATAAAGTTCCAATCACTTAGCATAAAATAAAATAGTTTTGCCGTGTAATTTATCTGCAAACGGATGGATATAAACCCCCAAATCTTACCAGGCGACTTCTTAAACTCTTGACTGGCTTAATTCCAAACCTCTAAGCATTATATAAAAATTTGACCGTGTCATTCCTCAAAACAAAAGGTCACACTTCCTTGCAAGGTACATGAATTTGGTCTTGTAACTTCTGCTTAACAAGCCTTATAGTATCTCTTAATCACCTATGAGATAAGATCTGAACCACTTAGCCAAAAATACACATATTACTATATCATTTCTCTGCAGACTCCTCTTATCAAACACAGAAATTTTACCATGTCACTCTCTTAAAATCTCTTAATGGCTGAAATCCAAATTCCTTAGCACAGCACAAAAATGTATTCCTGTCGTTCCTCAAAATAGGGTCCAAACTTCTCAGCATGCTATGTAAATTCAGTCACATAACCTCTGCCTAAGACCTGCCCCGCCTCTGTATCACTTGCTATAAACAATCCGATTCTTCAGCATAAAGTACAGAGAGGTTGCCCTTGTGCCAAAGGGTGCCTCCTCTGAGCTGTCGATATGCGTTCATTATCTGATTCATCAAATCCAGACACCTTAGCATAAAATATATTTTACAGCTAATTCCCCTGGAGACAAAACTCTCATCAGTCACTCCTTAAAACCCTTTACTGGCTAAAATCCCAACGCCTCTGCATGAGGGTTCAAAAATGAGATCATATCCCTCCCCAAAATGAAATGCTCGAATGCCTTCGACTCTCACATAAAATCACATCTCCTTGGCATGTTATAAAAATCTGATCATATTAACTTTACCATAAAAACCCACTCTTGTAGCTCTGCCAAAATGCGATAAGTCTGATCATGTAACTCCCAATTTAAAACTTTCCAAGATTTCTTCATTGCCTTATAACATAACGTCCCAACTACTTAACATAAAATGCAACGTGGTACCATGTAATTTATCTTCAGACTGGTCTATAAAAAAAACCCCCAAATCTCATCCCATCATTCTTGTAAACGCTTTATTGGCTTAAGTCCAAACTTATTAGCATGATATAAAAATTCGATCTTGTCATCCCTTAAAATAAAGTTCACACTTCCTAGCACAGCATGTAAAATTTGATCTTGTAATTCCGCCTTAAAATCTTAACAATGTCTCTTCATTGTGAAATTATGGAATCAAAGTCCAAATTCTTAGCATAAAATGTGAATTTTATTTTGTAATTTCACTGCATATTATTTATCCACTCCAAACAAAAAATCTTACCATGTCACTCTCTTAGAAATTTTTATTGGCTAAAATCAAATTTCTAGGCATGTACAAAACTCCAATCATGTCAGAGCCTCAAAATAAATTTCAAATTTCTTTGAGCATTCCCAGTGTTGATCATATAACTCTTACGATTGAAGTTTTTCAACTTTGGTGTCAATATCCATCAAATCTCTGAAAGTCAGACGTTGGCACCCCCCGAGCTATAAAGTGCAAAGGTTTTTGCAGGAGACTTAAATTTGTGGCTGTTACCGTTTTTCTCTTTACAGTTTTTCAATGTTCCTTGTATAATAAAGTCCAAAGCTGTTAGCCTTAAAACACATTTTTTATGTTTTTCTGCACATTTATCTTCCATAAGCAAAAATCTCACCATCACATTTCTTAAGACCTTTTGGCAAGAATCCAAACCCCTTAGCATGATACAAAAACTTGTTCCAGTCACTCCTCAAAATAAAGCTACCCCCCGAACCCCAAATCTATTCTTAGAACCCCGCTTAAAATCTTTTCCTGTATTTTCATCACTAACGACATGTCTCAACATCTCGGCATCTTCAATCATGGCGTTCTCAGCGTAAAGCCTTTCAGATTTCATGTCCAAAGCATAAAATCCAGATGCCTGAGCATGAAATGAAAATTGGACCAGGTATTTGTTATATTAAAAAAATCTTTACGTTGCTCTTCACTAACTAGGGAATAAAGCCTAAGTTCCTTTGCACGAAACCAACATTTTTCGTCCTCCCTAATTTCTCCATGCAGTTTCTTGCTCCTCTCACACTTTACTCCTCAAAGACTGGGTTTCTTACCTCCTGTCCCCGCACTCATTTTAATTTTATAGTTCTGGATCTTTTTATGTTGTTAAAGTCGGTTCCTCTACCTATGTTTCATTAATTCATTACAGCAACGTGTCCTGATTCTTTTTTCTGGGCCAGGCACTGTGTGAAGACCCCGATGGGAAGAAATGGAAGCAAGCCTTGCCTTGCAGAGAGGACATCACCAGCGGTAGAGATGAGGACCACGCCCTCACGCTAAATGTGCTGGAGGTGAGTGCAGGGTCCTGGGGGGCAAGACCAGGGGGTCTCCCTCTACTGTTGGTGAGTGTCTCCCTCGGGGCTCTGCTGGGCTCAGCTGCCTGCCCCTTTGTGAAGACATTGGCCATTGTTGGGGCCATGTTTTGTAAAGCGAAGGCGTCTCTGGCCTCCCACGTCTGGCTTTCTACGTGGCTATGGGCTTCCTTCTGACTCACCCCTCCCTCCTCCGCCCCCCCTCCGGCCGCGTGCCCGCCTGCTGCAGCTGGTACAGCCCGGAGGCTGCCCGGCCTCTTCTTTGGGCTCCCCAGAGGGAATATGGTCAGTGCAACAGATGTAGCATGATAGATGCTCAAGTCTCAGGCCTTAAGGCAATTTCTTTAAGACACATCTCTTGATTTGGCCATTCTCACCTTACCCAAAAAGAAAAAAAAAATTCAAATTCAAAATCAGGATTTAGTGCACCTGGTCCGGGTCAGAAGTGCCCTCGAGGTCTTTGAGTCAGACCCTCTGCCCCCCGCCGACACTCATAGACAGACACCCCAGCCTCACCACCTTCAGTGCCCAGAGCCTTCTCGGCCAGGTCAGCTCCCTGCTTGCCGCTGAGCAAGTGGCCCATTGGGTCAGGGCTGCCAACGTGAGTCTATGAAGGGTTGGGTGGGAGGGGGGGCGGGGGGGCCAATCCCTCAGCGAATACCTCGCCCTGTCGGCTCACTTGTACAGTAAAGGAAATCTGATTTTAAAAATAGAGCTTGGAAGAGGAGATGGGGGGTATTTAGGAGCAGATTCGAGCCTGGGGCGGGGATCAGGGGAGAGGTGAGGACACGGGAGGGAGGGGGGCACGCAGCCCGAGTTGCTGAGGAGGAAGGTGGAGAGCCAAGAAAGAGGAGTCGTGAGGGCAGAGGGGTGCGAGGGACAGCGGGGATTCTCTGTCACGTTCTCCGCTTTCCTGGCCTCTCAGACACTAGTGGTCACACCTGCGGCCCTGTCACGAGGGGCATCAGGGCTGAGGTCAGGGGAAGACCCTCGTCCGTCTTGGCCTGCCTCCAGGCCGTCTTCAGAGTCGCTTGGGTTTGAGGGACACAGCGACCTGGTCTTGAGGGCTGAGTGACTTTGAAATGAATATTCCCCCCAGTTACTCCCACCATTGCTCCAGACCTGCTGAGCGTCACTGTGGGGGTGGGCACGTGGGGACACTGGTTGGTATTAGTTATTTTATTAAACTCATGTCAAGGTCAAGATCTTCCCTTGTGAGGCTTGGGCTGGGGCTCCTTGGTTTCCTGGTGTAGACCAGTGGTGGGGTCACTCTCCCCCCTCAGCTTGCCAGTTGGAATTTCTGAGGCGGCTCCCTGAGAGCCCCAGGAGGAGCTTGGGTGGGTCCTGGGTCCTGTGGACTCCCGTGGACTCCCGTGGACTCCTGCTTTGCCTTCTTACCCCCCTGCCTTACGGATTAAGACCACTTGGGCCTCATAGCTGTGAGACCCTTCACATCTTGACCCAGAACAGCCAGCCTCAGTTGCTTCCTGCTCTTCACTTGGGGGCTGGGGCCTGGGGCCTTGGAAAACCGTTTTACGGCGGAAACAGTCTCTGGAAGGGGGGTTGCCGTGATTCAGGACAGGCATGGAATGACAGCAGGGCTTGGGCTGGCCCCAGGGCTTCTCCACCAACCCCAAACCAGCTGCATGGGGTACCTCCTGGAGAAGGTTCCTCGGCCCCTTGCCTCTTGCAGCCAGCGAGGTGAAGGGCAGTGCCCCTGAGGTTCCTGTGGCTGAGTCCCTACACCCCCGCCCCGTCCACTGCTTGACTGGCAGCTCCAGGGGGCAGCTGGATCACTCTGCCCAGAATAACCCTGGGAGGGATTGGGAGAGGGGTCACATACGAGAATGTCCTTCTTCTTTGGGCTGCCCAAATGGGCCAGGCCAATCAGCTGCTCCCCAGACTGCTCTTGCCTTTGAAGGCAAGCGGGCAGAGGAAGGAGCCGCGCCAGCTGCCAGCCCGGGGCCCGCGCTGACTTTCAGCGTGACCTTCTCCTCCTGGGCCCTCAGTTTCCCCAGAACTGCAAGGCGGGCTTGGGCAGGGGGTCTTCTCATTTTGTTCCTGTAGCTCTGGGGTCTTGGGAGGTGCCTGAGGGGTGACTTGGGGAGCAGCGATGAAAGGAGGGGGTTGGCTTGAGCAGGTGGAGCTCAGAGGCCCCACCCTGCCTCAATTCCAGAAGCTGGGGGGGTCCTTGTACTATTTAAAAATAGTATTAGGAATTGGGGGTCCTCACACTATTTCATTTACAGAGAGCTTCCCACGTATGGCCGGTTCCTCTTGGGGTTTGTCCCGTTCAATGTTGGCGTTGGGAGGGTCTCAGTGGAATCTGTCTCTGGTGGGGTCCCTCTGGGCCTGGTGTTCTTCTGGCTCTGTGGACGGGCCAGGAGCCATAGACCCAGGAGTAGTGGGGTGAGGGCTCTGAGGGAAACAAGGGGCGCTTGGCCTTGGTGCGGGTGGAGGTCAGGCCAGAGTGGGAGGCCGACTTCTTTCTCAGGGGAGGTGGGCCCTGTGTAAGCTGGAAAGGGTCCGAACAAGGAAGGGCCTGTGTTTAACGTGAAGACTCTGGCGATTTTTAGTTTTGGAATACCTGCTGTAATTGGTCAGCCCTCAGACAGCATTTTCACGCCTGGGTCAACTTTAATTTCCCCCCTTGCCCCGTGAGGCAACAGCGTTCTGCCTTGCAAGTGATTGCACCGGGGCCTGGGGGCTGAAGTGACTTCCCTGGGAGCTTTAATTAGCAGTGGCCATGCAAGGGGGCCAAGACCACCGGGCGCCCCCCCACAGCAGGCCGCTGGTGACTGAAGCTAGTGAGGGGCGGGGTGCGTACACGCGGAGGCGAGTGTCGTCCAGACAGGGATAATTAGAATTTATTTATTGAAACCGATGTTTCCCTGGCGTCTGCTCTGTGTCAGGCATGACTCTAGCAGCTTGACCCCCAGACACTGACTTTGCTCCCACCAAAGCTCCCCATTTCACGGCGCTGAGAGAACCCAGGTCAGGAAGGAAGAGGCAGTGTGGGAAGCCAGGTTTCCCTGCTTCCTTCCTCCAGTGGCTGGAGAGGGCAGGAACGGATGCCCGGGGCGGGGAGGGGGGCGGGGGGAGGACAGTGGCCATTTGGGGATTTGGGGACCCCGAGGGCCCCTTGGCCGGAGGGCCACTTTTGTTCGTGGCATCCGTGTGCTCAGCCTCGTGACCCAGTGGGAGGCCAGGCCCTCCCTAGGAACGGGCCTCCCTCTCCCTGAAAAGCTCATGTGGTCATTGCCAACTCATTTTGGCTAATTTGGTTGTCGGCGGAGGGACAGAACAACTGGCCCCGGACTTGCTAATTATAGCTGCTCAAGTATTTGAACGAGGTACTGCGTCCCCCATGTCGTGGTGTTTTCCTGCAGACAAACTAACCCTTTCACCTTTGTTCCTGGGTGCTGGCCAGCCTACCCGCCCCATGTAGCACCCAGGCACCCCACGTCCCCCAGAGAGCCACCTCCCCAGGGGGAGGTCAGCATGGGACCTCCACCCCAGTCTTACCTTTGATGCAAGTGTTCAGTGGTTCCGCTCCTGTCCCGCCGTCGGCTGGAGTCTCGCTTCTTCCTACAAAGTGATTGGATACGTTTATTTCTGTAATTAGGAGAGTCCAGGCTTTGGGTCATGGGTGCACATTCCCCTGTCCCCCACGGCACACCCCACACCTTCTTCCCTGTTTCTGTCCCAGGGCTGAGTCACTTTGCCCCCTTTGGGTCCCTCCAGTTGGAGTACTGACTATGTGCCAGACGCTGTTCTAAATCTTTGAATCCTTATGGCAACCATGAAGCCCTTGCTGTTATTGTCCCCATTTTTCAGAAGAGGAATCTGAGGCTCAGGGGCGAACCTCTAATCTTTAGCAGGCCTGACCTCATTCTCCCCCTGGGTCTGATGAAGCCTGTGCCTCCTGCTGGCCTCGGGGACGGTGTGTGACCCACCAAGGTCTGCAGTGGCGCTCCCGTTCAGCTCTCCCCACGGACTCCGGAGCTTTCGGGAAGACCCCAGTTCTTGCCAGTCCCCCATTTCGCTCTCAGCAAGAGCAAGATTCTGTGTGAGTCTGGGGTCTGGGCCCCTTGCTTGACCCCGAGTAAATCTTTTAGCTCCCTGAGCTTCAACTTCACAGGCAATTCTAAGTAGCATCTTCCCAGGCTGGTGGTCCTTCCCTCACCCGGGGCCCCGTCCAGAGGGACCCCCGTGATGTTTTGTCCTACCCCCTGGTGTCCGTGTGCACGTGCTACTCCTTGGTCCCACCCTCTGTTGGCACACAGTAGGGCTGCGGGCAGCAGGTGAGCCCTGAGAGGTGGGTTCTCAGAGGTGGATAGAACTCTGAGCGGTTTCCTTTCTCCCCTCCCAGGTGGCTGGAGGTGAGACTGTGCTTCCCGCCCCACCCCCCACCCCCAGAAGGGAGCAGGTGCCTGGCCCAGGATCGAATCGAAAGGTCTGCGACTTGAATTTATTTTTTATGAGTTGTAAATTTGGACAATTTCTAAGTGTGTAGCCCCCTCAGGATGGAACTAACCTGCCCTCTTTATTTTGCAGCTGAGGCTCACTGCCCCCTGGATGGGCAGTGAGTCGTGGGTTCCAGAGGCCAGCGTGGGGACCCAGCCCCCGCCCCCCCGGCCCGGGATGGCACCCCTACCCAGAGGGGGGTGGATGCGGCCCTCCTAGGCTGACCTCACAGCAGACCAGGTGTGTACGCCCTGTCTTTACGCCACACAGGTTCTGGGGAGGTAGAGACCTTACACTGCATTAATATGGTAATATTATTAAAAATCCAGAATAATGCTGTTATTCTGTTATATGTAATCAAGGGAGGTGTTTAAGTCTCTGATCATGTACACAGGGGTACAACAAGTGGGACCTCTCTGGTGGGGGCTCAAAGGGGGCCCAAGGGGCCTGCTGGAGGGGGGGCAGAGAACACAGACTCCCCTGGGTGACTTTTGGTCAGATGACGGCCAGTCCCCCTCCCCTTCTGTAGGATGGAGACCGTCCTCTTTAGGCGTTGCCTTGATGCCTTAAATGAAATAAAATAGAAAATGCCTGGCACACAGTAGGTATTCAACACAGATAAAAACAATTCTTATTTGAGGCGGATCTGTCCCCTCCCTGTTTGAAAGCCCTTCTCATTTTTCTAGAACCCAGAGGGAGGACGAGGGGAGCAGAGACAGTCGGGGGTCAGTGTTGGGATCCAGAGAGCCTTTCCTTGAGTCAACTATATAACTTGGACTGGCGTTGCCTGGATTTATGAGGCCTTCCGTAGGAGCGAACGTCTTCATGTTGAATTACCCTGGCCCGGAGGTGGATGCAGGTGATGTCAGCCCGGATACTGCATTTTATTTTTCTTTATCCTACCATATTTCATATCTGAAAAACTATGACAAATACTTTAAAGTATTCACCAGGACCAAACCCAGGCCAAATAATAAACAGCAGAGCCTCGTGTGCGGGAAAGGCGATTAAGAGCTGGTCACCCTCGCAGAGGGCTGGTTAACCTGTGCTCACATTTCTTCCGCACAAAGTCATGGTCAGAAATAGATCCCTGCCTGGCAGAGGGGAGGAAAGTTCCAGAAGGTCCCCGTCTGTGCTATCGAGAGGAGTTGGTTGATCTGTGCAGATGGCGGCCGGGGTGAAACCGGACGAGGGCTCACACTGATTTGGGTTGAACGTTGGCTTAGTTTGGTATTCTGGGGGTCTCAGAGCTTCAGCGTCTCCATCTTTAGATGAGACTGAGATGGTTTTGCTGTGCGTTTAGCCCCGTGCCTGCTCAGGGATTCTGACAGCCTAGACAGCTGGGAGGGGGCCTGGGGAGTTGAGTCTGAAGCTCAGTGAGCAAGCAGGAGTTGAGGTGTCTTGGGGAGAGGGACACAGGGGGGCAAGCAAAGACCTGTGGGGTTGCTCCCCTTTGTCCTGGAACTGACAGGTCAGAAATACCCATGCCCTTGATCCACAATCCCTCTTGATGAGACATGGGGGTGGGAAGATGGCAGCTGTGGGTTCCGCACAGAAAGCTGCTGTCCGGGGATGCGGCGAGGCCCCGGCTGTTGGCCAGCCAGCCGCGCGCCTGTTGACTATGCATAGGAACTGCGGGGCCACTGCTCCCGGAGGCTGGCACGTCCCCTTCTCTGGGCCCAGGTCCTGTGACATTCTCCCGGAGTTCTCATTCCAGCTAGCTAATCCCCGAGAACACGGGCCAGGACATTCGCTTTTGGGGCTTCTTAAAGACCGAAAAGGGTGCATTGCAGACACCCCCGCCGGGGGCTCTGGAGGGATTTGGGGCCTGGGGGCGGTGACATTGCAGCCAGCAGGCCCGCACCTGCTGGCCTCCTGTCACTGACACGCCGCTGGGAGGCCCGTGGGGGCTCCGGCTTTAGAACATATAAAATTAAAAGAGGAATGATCTTTGGGATAAAATAAATCCCCCGTGTCTGCAGAACTTGTTTTGGGGATGTGTGCCCCACTCTGGGCCATCAGCCAAAATGCTCTTCCTTTTGTTTTTGTAAAAAAGGAAAACAAACCCCCCCACCCACCCCACAAACAAACAAATGAGAAAAACCAAAAAAAAGAAAAAAAAAAAGAGCCCCACACAAAGTGTTTATTTTAATTATGCAAGGAATGCGCTGATAATTAATACACTCATTACTAAAAATCAAACACTGCAGATAAAAGCTAAAGCCATCTGCAACCCCTCCCTCACTCCCAGCTCCCCCCACCCCCAGCATATTCACTGCTGTTACCAGTTTCAGGTGTGCGGTTCCAGATATTTCTCTGTGCATTTATGTATGTATATAAATAGACCTCTAAAATATATGATTTTGTTTATTTTTTACATAAGCTACATCACAGTGTACATTTTCTTCTGCTTATTTTTCTTCCCTCAGGAATCTGCCTGGAGATAATCAAGATCGACACCGTGCCTTATAACACACCTTAGTACCCTGTAATCTGAGCACACTGGGGCTGATTTAACCCCCTCACCGCTGTCGCGAGAGCCCCAGGTCCTTACCCCGTGGGGACGGACACGGAGCGTGGGGCAGGTGTAAGTAATTTCTCAGGAGCGGGCTCACAAGTGTTTATGACATTATCACAAATGAATATATGGATGCATCAATTAGCAAAATAAAAGAGGGACATGCCTGGACCAATGATGACAAAGTGTTTATGAACAAAGGATCATGATTAATCCAGTTCTGCGCAAAATACTGAGGTCCATTAAAAGACAATAAATCTCGGCTGCTTCATTCTTTTTAAGAGCTGTTTAATATTCCGGGGTATGTATGCACCCTTGTTGATTAGACCCTCTTCTATTGTTGAAAATCCCAGCTGTAAGTGTGCTGGGGCTGGGGGGGCGGTGGTTGGAGAATGGGTCCAGATAGGAGCTCTGGTCAAAGTCCTGGTTATCTGGGCGGGGTGGAGGGGGGTCACAGGTTCATGGCTGCTTATTATATTATTTAAGAAAATAAATAAAAATAAATACATAAGATAAAAGTGGACCTCGCCCAGATAAATGAGCATGTCACGAACTGAGGTTTTAATTCCTACGATTTTGTTCCACCGATGCCTGCTAAAAAGGACCTAAGCCGTTCCGTGTTGTGTTGTTGCTAATGGTCCCGCAACGAGCATTTTTATAGCTTAATCTGTAAGCATGTCCCTGGCTGTTCCTTTATCCCAGCTTCTTGGAGGTGGGGTAGCTGGGTTAAATGGTTTGCAAAGTTTATTTTCATTGATCTTTCTAAAATGCCATTTTGACCTTGTCACTGTCTTGCTTTAAATCCTCCTCCTGACTTCCTGGAGCTTCTGGGATGAGGTCCAAGAGCCTTAGCCTGGCACGTAGGACCCTTCAGGGTCTGGCTGGAAGCTTCCCAGACTCATTCCCGTTCCCCCCAACCCCACCGACCCCTTGACCTCTCTAGGCGCCCCGCGAGCTACCTGCTCCTGTCAGTGTGGGCCCTGCCTTTTTACACTTGGGGGCTTCGGCCTGCCTTCCCAACCAGCTTCTCCTGAGCCTTTTAGACCAGGCTTTGAAATGTACATCACGCTGAACTCCCCCCAACACCTCGTTTAAAAGTCCAACAAAGCACAGTCCCCATAAGTGCAATGCCTCATTGACATGTTTTCCTAGTTCGGGAGAATGTTTTCCATTTTTCTAGAATTCAGGAAACCAGCCACATGTTAATCACCCCCTTTCCTTTGTCCCTTTCTAGTGCCTTGGGCTCCTGGGTCGCCTGGATCTGCCTTCCCCTCAATGAAAAGGCCTCCTATTCTGCTCCTGAGGACTGAACCGTCTGCCCTGCGCACTGGGTGAGTGCTCAGAATGCGTCAGACCACAAACACACGCCTGGAGTGGGGGGCCTTCCCCCACGGCCCCAACAGCTCTGCCACTTCTGGGGCGCAGCACCAGGTTCCCTCCACGCCTGCTGGCAGGACCTCAGAATCCATGAGTAGGGGGTGGTAGCATCTCAGGGTCAAGCGTGCTGGTGATGGGTTTGGGGGGCATAATTACGGCTTGGAAATGGTTGATTGCATCTTTTATGGCCTTCTCCTTGCCAGAGGGAAATGGGCCTGGTCCCAGAACATAAGAAGGAGGTAAGTCTTAGCATGTGACAGCAGAGCCACCAGCTGTGGTGATGGCAGGGGCTCTGGGGAGGGGACAGGCTGACGGTGGATGCTACCTTTGGGACAGTGTCATGTTCTAGAAGGAGCACAGGCTGCGGGGCAGAGGGACAACGATGCCAGGTCCACAGTCACCCTGGGGGCAGAGGGCCTCACCTGCTTGTGGGAGGGACAGAAGTCACCTGACCTGCTCAAGGTTTTGGTCTTTTTTTTTTCCCCTCCAGGGTGGGGGGGTGGGGGGCACCCCGAGAGGTTGGCCATCTTGAGAGCACAAACCTGGCTCCAGAGCGGACATGAAGTATACGACTTTGGCAAGCCAGGCCCTGAGAATTCCTGTGCCTCAGTTTCCTGATCAGAAAAGCATCTGCACACACCGAGTAGTGATAGGGAGAGTGAGACAAGAGCACAAATAAATCACCCCACACAGTAGCCAGCGGAAAACAGGAGCCTTCAGGGAGACCCACAGAGGAAACAAAAAGCCCGAGAGTGTGAGCAGGAACGAAGACCCCCTCTCCCCTCGCCCCAGTGCAGACGCCCCCAAGGGAGACCCTGGCCTTTCTGTCAGCGCCCTGGCAGGGAAGGGGGCTGCCCCCGCCGGGTTTAATTGGGTTCTCCTGAAAAGTTTGGCAATAGTTTATTTTATTTTTTTATAAATATATATAAAATGTCAGACTGCTCTTCAGGCAGATTTTTTAGGCGTGTATTTTATGGACTTTGGCAGGGTCGGCTCGGAAGGAACGGTAGTACAGTCTCCAGGGGTTAATAATTCCTGGAAAAACTTCTGGCTAAACCTGACTTCTCCTGAATTTCACAGAAAATGCTCCCTGGGCCGGGCCCAGCCTGAAGGAGGTTTTTGTGAGCCGAGGCAGCCTTACCTAGTGCAGGCATGGCTTGGCTGTTGCCTTTTATACAAAAGTGAACTTCCCCGCTGCCGCGGGGCACAAAGACTCCTCTCTCCGCAAGGTTGGGTTTATTTACTCTGGAGCGGCTCGCCCTGGGGCTGGTTTTCTGCCTCTGTGTGTGGAGCTGCCCGCGCCCCTACCTTGTGGCCCCCGCGCTTCATGCCCAAACCCCACTCCCCACTTCCTCACTCAGGGACGGGGGGCGCGGGGGGTGGCAGGGGCCAGGGAGCTGGGCTCTGTTTGTGTCTGGAGCAGAGGAAGTATCCTGGGGAGGGGGATAGTGCCTCCTCCTCAGCAGGAGTCCCCTCCCCAGCCAGCCTGCCCATCAGGGGCTAAAGGGTTTGCTGCCCTGTGGCCTTTGGCTGGTTAGGGATTTTGGGTAGGTGACTTTTCAAATCCACACTAGCGCTGACCTGAGCTCTTTCCTGCACCACCAGCTACCCCTGACCAGAAACCTCTCTTTGCAAAATTTCTTATGTGCGTGGCTTCTGTTCCGCAACCCCCCCATGGCCCCCCCCCATAACGCTGCAGAGGCAGGAAGGCATATGCAAATACCACTTTACCAAACATTTGCAAATCGACACTTTCAAAGCAATCCTTTAATAGATTAAAAAAGAGCAGTGACTTAATAACAACAGAATCCCCAGGCTCCTAAAAGCAGTTTCTCCAAGGTCTCCCAGCAGCTCCCAAGCGGGGCAGCGGGGGCAGTCTGTCTGTCTGTCTGTCTGTCTGTCTGTGGGGAGCCAGCCTGCACTCTCCACCTGCAACACGATGCTGCCCCCCCACGGCGGGTCAGAGCAGCTGTCGGGACCCCGACAGTGCCCTGGCGGAATGGACTGTCAGGAGCAGGACAATTAGGCTTGCAGTGACAAGGGGCTCCATCCCCAGGTCCCCAGGTGCTTCTGCCCTCCCTGAATCTTACAATCCTACTGCCCCATGAAAGTGCGTCACTGCCTCGAGAGGGTGAGCTAGGGCAGCCTGGTCATTTCACAGACAAGGAAACTCGGGCTGGCCCCTCAGCCAGCCTGTCTCTCTCTCTCTCTCTCTCTCTCTCTCTCTCTCTCACACACACACACACACACACACACACACACACACACACACACACGTGTGCGCGCACTCCCTGAGCGCCTGCACTGGGAACAAAGACAAGAAAACTCCTTTAGAAACTGCAGAACAGAGCCTCGTCTAGCGGGGGTCCCCTGATAAAGGCCCCGTCCACCCAGAGTTCCTGGGAACTGAGCCCCCATGAATGGGCCTGGAGATCCAGCGCCCAGTGCGGCGTGGGCCGCATTCATCAACATGCAGGCCCCTGGGCCCCATCGCCGGGTGAGGGGCTTTCACGAGTCCCCAGAGCATCCAAGTCACGGTCCAGCAGCCCGCTGAATCTGTGGCTGTGGCCCAGCCTCCAGCAAAGGGCCCTGCTTTTCCCATGACCGGGCGGCCTCTCAACTCACCAGACCCCCCCACCGACTTCCCCCCCTGTAGGAAGGCTCCCCCCCACCCGCTGCACCAGCCTGTTGCCCCAGAGAGGACCCAGGCCAGCTTTTCTGGGCCTGGGAGCTGGGGCGGGCACTTGGCCACTCCAGGTGGCCCGGCCCTTGAGATGGGGAGTTGGCTGCAGGACAGCCCCCCACCTCCCCCGCGCTGGCCCCGAGCACTCACCCCCATTCTCTGCTCCTCTCCCTCACTGCCTCATTGTGACAGAAGCGCTCCACCAGCCATCTCCGTGCCTTTGCCATATGCAGCTCAGGGCAAGGTACATGGGAAAAGTCTGCGCATCCTTGCTCTGACCCCAGCCTGCCTCCTCCGCAGCCAGCCCCGCTTGGGACTTAGCTCTGTAGGAGCTTCTCAAAGGCCTAGACGTGCGGGCTGCCAGCCCGGGCAGGGAGCCGTGCTGCAGCCTCCCGGCCAAGTACCGGCCTGCCTCTCTCTGCTCGGATGCCTCCTGTAACAGGGAGCTCCCTCTCTCCCTGAGCAGCCCGCTCAGGGCTCGCACACAGAGCTGCTTTGCCGAGCCCTCCCCTGCTTTCTGCATCTGCCTCCGCGGCTCTGCTGCAGCCCCCTCGCCCCCTCTGCCCTGGCTCTTCACAGACAGCAAGCTCACTTCAGTCCTCTCCTTTCCGTGCTGAGGAGTGAGCCCCCCACCCACCAAGGGATCAGATTTGGGGTTCCTGTCACCGTCCCGATCACAGCCGTCTACACCTGTCCCGGGGTGCCTCTGCCCCTGCTCGGTGGGGTCTGGGACTGAGCCCTTTGCCCTGCTGTTCTGCAGAGAGCCCAGGGGAGGGCGCGGATCTCCCCTCCCAGATCCAGCTGCTCAGATCTCTCTGTTAAGCGGCGTCTGAGCCCTCCGTTTTTTATGGCCCCTCTGCTAGTTGCCAGGGAGAACGCTCTCTATGCAACCCCCTGCCTTTTCTGCAGGAGCCGCTGGCTGGCGGCTGGCCGGCCCTGGTCAAGCCTGCAGCAGCGGCAGTGGCGACGGCGGTAGGCGGCTGTGGTGGGGCTGGGGGGCTCCCGAGACAGACAACACCAGACCGGGCTGGACTCCCCGCTTCCTAGCTGTGAGACCACGCAATTCCCTTTACTTTTCAGAGCCTCTGTTTTTCCCTGTGCAATAGATACGAGAGGGGCTCCCTCCCCGTGAGATGAAATGAGATAAGAGTCGCCTAGCATACATCAGACACTTCATGAATGCTTATGGAGTAGACAGTGGGGCCCAGGGAGGGAGGTGCACATGTAACAAGTGGCGCACAAGAAAGAAGACAGTCTGGCCTTTCGCGACCCTGCCCCGAATACAAACGGGAACCTTGCCTGCCAGAGACCCCTCTGCCGGCTTAATCGTACAAATCAAGTCAGCCAGAGGCAGCCCCTGGCCTGTGAGCTCACAGTAGATGCAGCAGGCGGTAGAAATGCATGCGAGCCCACATCTGCATTTAATACAGCAAGAATTTGCCTTGTATGTAACAGCACACGGGGCCCCGGGGTAAGGCATGAGAAACACTTAGCTCTGCTGCCGCCGCCTGGAAGGGCTGGCTCAGGCAGGAGGTGGGGGGGGTGCATCTGGGAAAGAGAAACCCAGTGGGCTCTGGGCATCCCACAGACTGTGGGATCCGGGCATCCTCCCATGCACTCATTCTGCAAACCACCGCAGTGCACCTACCTTGTCAGGCCCAGACCCGAGTGGGAGGCTGGACCCTGAGCAGTGGCAGTCGGCTTCCTGTCCTGGAAGCTCAGTCTGGTGGGGGAGAGAGACAGGGAGTAAGTCAGTCACTGCACATCAAGTGATCCGGGTGGGGAGCGGGGATGATGGCAGGTGAGATTTATGGAGGCCTGTCTCGGGGCCAAGCCCTGAGCTGGGCTGTCTGCATAGGACTCACCCCAGGAAAAATTCTGAGCACCAGCCTCATAATCCCCATTGGGTTGATAAGGAAACTGAGGCAGGGGATTGTGAAGTCGCATACTCACCGTCTTTCAGCTGCTGTGAGGCCAGGCTGGGATGGAACCCCAGGCCGTCTGAAGCTCCCCACCACACCCTGCTGCTGAAGACTGCTCAGGAAGGCAGAGCCGAGTGCTGGGGGGGCGTGGGTGGGCAGGGGATGGATTGATTAGTTATAAGCACCTCCCAGCGGTGCTTGAGATCCCAGCTCCTCTGTGGCCCAATCCGTTTGAAGGGCAGATTCAAAATTAGGTGGTAGCACCTATGGGCAGAGGCTTATGAAAATGGCATTATTAACCTGACGTGGAGAGGGCCCTGCCCACCTCCAAGCAGATTGCAGATAGAGATGGAGGGGGCTGGGGCTTGTTTATGTGGACAGTGCGTGAGAGAGGATGGAGCACATCGGGGGGGCCCGCCAGGGCTTCTTCATGGGGAGGACTGGCTTTGGAGGGGATGAGGGCTTGATGACTGAGAAAGGGGAACAGGAGATAGTCTTCAGGGCAGCCCCTCACCTCGGGGAGACGCTCTAAGCTGGAACCCGCTCTGGGAGGGAGGGTCTCCGGCCCCTTTTCTGACTGGCACAGGGACTGTGAGCCTCCCTGCTCCTCAGTTTCCCCAAGTGTCACTGTAAGAAAAACCCTTGTCCCCACACCTTCCCTCCTGCTGCCACCGCTGTTAACAGTCTCCAGACACCTGTCTGCGTGTTGGAGCAGTATTCAACAGGAGAGCGCTGGTTCCGGGAGGGAGGGAGCGAGGAGGGCGCGATGTGGAATGGGGGAGGGAGGGAGGAGAACCGGCCCCCGACTCACAGAGGCGGCTGAGCCAGGTCTGCAGCGGGTAGGACTTGGGCCACTTAAGATTTGTGCCAACTCACGGTGCAGTGGAATCAGACAGTCTGAATTCTTCAGACACCAGCCAAGGGTCTGTGGCGCCCCCAAGTGCCACAAGGGGGCCGCCTGGGCCGCATTTCTGAGCCCAGAAAGTGAGGAGGGGGACACCGTCAGTAGGGACCGGTTCTGTTGCTCTTGTAGGGGTGCTTTTAATTGCAGCATCGAGAGGGGGGCCGGGCCCTCTGCCCCGCTGGGGACAGCCGGGAGGGGTGGCAGGCTCTGGCTTGGGGTGGCTGCCGGCTGTGCCCCTCCCTCACTGAGGGCCCTGCTGCAATGCACCAGGCTGCGGGAGGGTCCCGGGGAGCTGTCCTGGGGCTGGCTTTCCAGAATGGGAAGCAAAGGAGGAGGGAGGGGGAGGGAGCTTTTCCAGAGTGGCGAGGTGCCTGGGAAGCCCACCGCACAGAGAGTCCGGCAGCTGTAGAAGGGCCAGGGATCGGGGAGAGGAGGAGGTGGGTGGTTGTGGTCCATGGGGTCTGGGGAAATTGGCTGGACCTGGGGTGGAGTGTTAGTCAGTTTGCCGTGGTGATAAGACTGATGCAGAGGAGGGGGCTGAGTGGGGGGGGGGAGGGTAGGAGGTGGGTGAGGTGGGGGAGAAAGGGGCTGAGAACGCTGAGAGCAGCTTGGTGCACGGTTTTAGGGTAAAAGCACTAATTCTTTTCCTCCCCAAGAGGCAATTAAGAAAATAGCAAAAAATAAAAAAAATAAAAAAGGCATTTGAAAGCTAGACAGCTCAAGCCTTACCAGCCAAGCTGGTCTCAGGAAGGACTCATCAGGTGGGCAGCTCTGCCTTGGAGAAGGGAGGTGCCAGCAGGTCCTTTTGGAACCAGTGAAAAGGTTGCAAGGGCCAGGACATCTTCGGGAGGAGGAAAGGGGCCAGGGAGGGGGCAGGAGGGCCTGGAGGGAACATGGGGGGGTCTGAGGGAGGCAGGAGGGCCTAGGGGTGGCTGGTGGGCATCTCATTCTGCAGCACCCTGTACGTTTGCACTTTCTCCTTAATCCACCCAACTTAGAATGGCTTGCTCCTACCAGCCCTGGCCCTTTTCTTGTACCTTCTCCACTTGGAGGCGTTCATTCCTATGAATCAGCTCCCTAATACCCCCCAACACTTTGTTTGGATGCTGGGCTCCTTTGCTTTTTTCAATGGCTTCCCCTCTCCTACCCCCTCACCTCCTGCACTTTATTTTTACCTGTTGATCTTTAAAACCTGCAATTATGTAAAATTTGAAATAACACAAAAGTAGAGAAAATAATACATCTTTTCAATCACAATTGACACAGTTTCCACATTGCTGCCACCCAGGTGCCACAGCTCTCAGCCCCTCTTGTTCTGTCTGAGCCTTGTACTATCCCCTTGTACTGGAATCAAGCAAATTCCAGACACCATATTGTTTCCTCGGAGCATATTTCAAGGCCTATCTCTAAAAAAGAAGGACTCTTTTCTGTTTTAAAAACATAACCACAATGCCACTTGCACAGTTAAAAAATTAACAGCCTTTCCTTAATGTCATCCAACATCTATTCAGCATTGGAATATCCCCAATTGACTCATAAATTTCTTTTACAGTTGGCTTGTTCAAATCAGTGTCCAAATTCTTTCCTGCACTTTACAAGGGACACTGGGATGACAGCAGGTAAGTACAGATACAGATTCAGGGGTCTGACTATACACCCTCACCTTAAGTGAGTAACCCATCCTCCCTCAGTAAACCTCAGTTTTCTTACTGAAAATGGGGCAACTGCTGAGTCTCTCCCAGGGTCATTTAGAGGCTCAGAGACAGTGCACGGGAAGGCCCCAGCCCTGCTTCTAATACATAATAGACACGCAGCAAACAGGAGGTGCTAGCATATTCTTTTTTTTCTGGAATCATTTAAAGGGGAGTTGGGCTGGGGTAGGCAAAACAGAACTGGCTATCATCCACAAAACAAAAGGCTCCTGGCAGTCCAGGCCCCCTGACTGATTAAGACAGTACATGAACTACATCTGAATGAGGGCGGTCTGCAGTCTGGGGACTGGGACCTCTGGCTGGCTCAGAACCGTGACCCCACAGTGGAACAACAGCCCAGGACCTACCAGGGACCCCGCTGGTTGCCGATCCACTAGATGGCGCACTCTGCTGTGAGTCTAGGAGGGACCACTCCCCCAAACCGCTCTGGCCACCACCCAGCCCCTGGGACCGCATGGGGATGCACACTACTAAAACACTGCAGATAATATCTAAAAAGCATTTCTCAATATGTCATGCAAGATGTACTGGTTTTCTCCCTGTATAAATCCTGGCCCAACTGCAGAAGCAGAGGGAATGAACATTTAATGATAATTTGCTCATTCCATGCATTGGTATGTCCACTCTCTTTAAATCCTCACCCCAGCTATGACTGATTTCCCTTTATTTTACAGATAAGAGGACCCTGAGAAGTTAGTGACTTGTCCAAGATCAGCTAGGAAGCAGGACCCAGGACTGCAATCCAGGTTTGTCTGATTCCTGTGCATAATATGGAGAGGTGGAAGGATGGATATTCAGTCGGCTGGATGGATGGATGCTTGCCTCAGTGAGGCACGAGCAGATGGAGGGATGGTGTGCTGGCTGATGCATGCTGGTGAGATGGGTGAATGAATTCAAGGGCAGAGGGTGGATAGATGGATGAGTGAGAGAGAAGAGTCAGTTTCTCACCAACATCAAAGGCTTACTTGGTCTCTGAAGAGATGTTTCCTGTGAGTGGAGCTTGCTGGAGAAGCTCCTGCCTTTTGTTCTGCCTCTGAGCAAACTGACTGGCTCAGGTGGCTCTGGCGCAACAGGTGGGCTGCCAGCTCACAGGGACCAAGCCCCAGCTGTGGTGCTGGAGCTTCTCAGCAGCAACTCTCAGTCCCAGCAGTTTTCACACTGCACTGAGAAGCAGCAGGCAGCCTCCTTCCCCTGGCTCTCCTGGATGACTAAGCCCTGAGCCCAACCGCATGCTCAGTCCTTTTGTAGCCCCTTGGCATAATTTTATCTTCTTTAAATCATCACAATGACCCTCAGTGATAGCAATTACCACCCTCAATTAAGATACAAGAAAACTGAGGTTTAGGAATGCTAAGTGACTGGCCCCAAATCATGCAAGGAACAGTACGGAATCAGGATTTGAACCCCGGTCTGCTTTTTCCTTCCAAACTCATACCCCCTTCCCATTTCTTTTTCTCTAAGACTGTGTCTGAAAAAAAATTAAACCCTTGGGGTTAACCCATGTTAGACCCACCCTCCTGGTCTATCAGGGAGCTGGACCTCTTATCCCCCAGACTCTAAATTTATTTCTCAAGTAACACCTTCTCTAGTTTGTCCTATTTGTGACTATCACACATATAAGGGTCAACTATACCACTGACATCTTGCAGTATAATTAATCAAGTCAAATTTCTGGTGGTTCCTATGATAACTGAATACTAAGGGAAGCAGATATAAAAAATGACTCAGGAGCCTGAAGGAGTACAAGGCAAGGAGAGAGGGAATCAGACAGAGGGCTGAAGGGCAAATCAGCAAGCCTCCCTGAAGACCTGGCTTTCAGCAGATATGTTTTGATAACCGGCGTATGGGCTAAGTCCTGTTACAAACATCCCAGATGCTCAGGTTTAATTCCCAGGTCTGCTATTTACTAGTTTTGTGAGTATGTAACCTCTGTGCCTCAGTTTCCTCAGTTGTAATATGGGGACACCAACAGCACCTTAGTAATGGGTACTTGAAAATTAAATGAGTCAAACATTTAAAGAGTTTAAAACAATGTTTCTCATATGGTTAGTATTCAATAAATATTCCATTATAGTTAAAATTGTAATTGTCATAACTTTTTATTGAGATGGTATTTAATATCTCTGATTGCTAAGAATCATTATCCACATTTTATAGATAGCTGAACAGGTGCTCAGAGAGGTGTATGAGTTTGCTTTTGGAGAGGGAGTCCATGAAATAAAAACACATATAAATTAAGACGAGAAGATTTTAGCTCTAGTTAGGGAAATGAGAATTATACACACTAAATGGACAGGATCAATCTAATGAAATATTAAGTCTTGGAATAGGAATTTCCTGGGGTATTGAGAATTACAGAGAGGTTGAATGGGAGCTGAAAAGAAGCTGAGTAGATGAAGGGCAAGATGAGCAATTAAGTTGTCTGGTTCAACTTCATGGCTTCTAGAAGCAGTGGGCAAGTTCCCCCAGTATTCTCATATATGTTCTTACCAAATTTCTTTCTCTATTTTTTGTGTGTGTGGTGGGGGGGGGGAGGAGAAAATAATCACTTTATAAATATTTCTTTGTTTGCTCTTTTGAGTATGGCCAGTTGGAACGAAGAATTGTTCCAAGGAGTCTTAGCTCATGTAGGGCATGAGGACTGGGTGACCTCCTCCCATTTCTGGGCAGGGTATTTGCAACTAAAGCCTCGGCAGAGTGTAGCTGCCTGGGGGGAGAGGGGAGTACTGGGTGGGGGAAGTACATTTGGATGCCCTCCTACCCCAGACAGGATATGGGGCCTAGCATCTGTGCTGACTTGCTGGGCTGTGTTTTGCGCATGCTCTGATTTCAGCATGACCTGACACTGGCTCTGTGCAACTATATCCACCGCATCTTCTTTAAGAAAGGCAGTGTATTTACTCACCCAGGGCTATTAGTATATCCTGGAGACGCTCTGTGCTCCTGGGACTGCCTGTGTGGGAGGTCACACAAGCCCTCCCACTCACCCACACACTCGTTCCCACACTCACCTTGGAGGCTGACAGTGGGGTGTCAGAGAGCAAGAACTGCCACAGAAATGAGGCAGTGGGGGTAAGTGGGTAAAACAGACTCTGGAGCTTAGCATCCTCCTGGCTGTGTGACCATGTGTAAGTCACTTCACCTTTCTGAAGCTCAGTTTCCCCGTGTGTAAAATGGGACTAAGAATGTCTGCTCCAGTATCACCTTCTCAGGGAGGCTTTCTCGTGGTTGTTGGCTATTGCTCCCCCTTCTGCTTTATTTTTCTTCAGAGTTCTTATCACTGTGTCCTATCCCGCGTATTGTACGTACTTTCAATATTGTCTGTTCTGTCTCCACCCAAGGGATGTTAGCTCTCAGATTTTGTCTGTTCTGGTCATTGCTGTATCCCAGGACCTAGACCAGTGCCTGGCACAAAATGTGGGCTCAGAACTTTTGGGGGGGGGAAGAAAAACAGAGATACTGTTGAATTGTACGCACCCCAGAGGACTGTCAGTGCATATGCCAAGCAGGCAGCATGGTGCCTGGAGCAGTGTATGCATTCAATCAATATTGGCTAATTATGATTATTATGTCTAATTCGCAGGGCTGCTGTGAGGATCAAACAAGATAATGTATGCTAAAGCATGCTGTGACCACTACGTGCTGGGTGCAGGAGGTACAACATTAATGATCCTCTGATGCTTGGAGGGAACTTGCACTTAAACTTGATGCTTTTCACTTCCACACCACCTGGGAGGGAGGGCAGACTGGTGGATTATTGGCACCTGAGTCTCAGAGCGGGGACGGGCCTTGCCCAGGCCATGCAGTGTAATGAAGGCAAAGGCAGGAGCCTAGGTTCCCAGCCTGGTGGTCTTCCCGTGACTCCCTTAGGAAAGTCCCCAAGCGGATATATGTATGTATATATTACATGATACACACATAGTCATGACGTATGTATCTTTTAAAACTTAGTCTATTTTTAATGTTTCATGTCTCAAGAGTTGTACCGTGGTCAGTGTGCTGGGCACCTACCAGGACAGTCTGGGAGGGTAGGGGGGAAACTGGCTATATTGTCAGTAAGGGTCAGAGTAGAGGCATTTGTAGTTTCTGGGAAACGACTTGATCATCAAGAATCTCCTGGCATAGACTCCCCCGAGGGCAGCCCCATTTCATGAAATGAATTTTAGTATTCTAAAGCGCATCCCTTAGTTGGATTTCTATTTTCCAGGGCACTTGTTTAAGCTTTGATGCCGTGTCCAAAAAAGAACAGATCCCAACAATTTCCTGCCCGAGGCCCATCCTTCCCGAAACCCTCGGCTTGGCCTGAGCATCGAGATAATTCGTTTCTCTGATCAGACTGGGGGCTGTTTGGCCAGCGGGGTGGGCGGGTGGGCCGGGGAGGGGGTGGTGTGCAGGGTGGGAGCTGCTTGAGGAACTGTCGGTAGTTCACTGCACCCTCACGCTGGACCCACGAGGGTGCTGCGGTCCTCAGTCTACAAATCGCACAAGTCGGGGCACAAGACAGAGAGGCCAGGTCACGTCTCTGCAGTTACACAGCTCATGAGTGCCTGCTGGGGTGGAACCTGGTCTGTCTGTCTGTCTAGCACCACAGCTCGGGCGCTGCTGCAGAGGGAAGAAAGATTTGGGTGAGGGCTCAGAGACAGGGTGGGGGTGGGAGACTACCTGCTTGCCTTTGGTGGGAAAATAATGGCTAATTCTGCTTAGGGACTAGTGCTGCGACTATCTTTCAGATGGGGAAACAGGCACATAGAGGTTCGCTAACTTGCCTACTGCTGCCCAGCTCGTCAGGGTTTGAGGCTGGATTTGGAGGCAGGCAGTGTGGTGTTGAGCCCACGTGCTCTAACCATTGGGAGCGGTGTCTTATGGCTGTGAGCACATAGTCAGGCAAAGTGAAGGTGGCACACGGTTCAAGGATCTCCGTTTGAGTCCTTGTACCGTCGTCCCCTGGCGGGTGTGCTCTTCAGTGAGTCACATGGATTCACGCTCCCCCTTGACAGAGCCCTGCAGAGGCACTACAAGCCAGTGGCCCTTGGAAAATATTTGTAAAGAATCCGCACGTGTGATTTTTGTATACATGTAATATATAAATCACATACGTGATTTATATATATATATATATAAAAGGGGAAGGGGAGGGTATTCGGGAAATTTGGGAGCGACCATTGAAGGCAGAGGGCAGCAAGGGGCTAAGAGCAGGGGGAGTGGAGGTGGGGGCCACGCATGGTTGTTGTATAGGCTTTAAGAATCCGTAAACTAAGAGAGGGGTAACCCTGGGACAATGGCCAGAAGTGACCTGAACCAAGGATCGTGATTAATTCTCCACAACCAAGGGCTATAAAGAGATCGGAGTGGTTTGTGGTTATTAATTTTATTATTAAAAAGAATAAAGAGTCAAGAAATAATGTAATAAAGGCCTTGAATACAGTCATTGTGAGAATGTGTTCTGGACAAAAGATTATGATTAATCCAGGTCTGCTAACCTGACATTAACAAACAAAAAAGGTCTAGGCTATTTTCTTCCTTTTCATGGGGCTTTATGTTCCATAAATGGGCACATGGGGGTTTTTCACAGGAGATATAAGATCTTTGTGGGGAAGGCAACTGTAGATGGGTGTAGGCGGGGCTTAATGGGTTTTACTGAATAGTTAAAAATTAATGAATGCATAAATAAAATTAAAGAGGTCCAAGCATGGACCAGTGATGAGGATGTGTTTTTAAACAAGGGTTATGAGCAATCTGCTGTATCCAACTGTAGTTATTAAAAAAACAAAACAAAACAAACAGAAACAAAGCCCAATGAATTCAAGGTGTTGGGATGGTGAGTAGGAAGCGTATCAACAGTTATATAGATGGTCATTGGTCTGGGGCTGGATGGTGGCTTTGAGTGTATTTGCTGTATAGTTAAATATGAATTAGATGAGTAACAAACTGAGGCTTGCTAGGGGGAGGTGGGGCTGTGGGGACAGGGTAATTGGGTGATGGGCATTAAGGACGGCACGTGATGATCATTGGGTGTAATACGCAACTGATAAATTATTGAACACTACATGTGAAACTAATGATGTACTGTATGTTGGCTAATTGAATTTAAATGAAAAATTTTAAAAAATGAATTAGATGAGTAAATAAAATAAACGACAGAATGAAAGAGGGCTGATAATGAAGCACCAAAGATAACGTTTTATGAATTATGGATTAAGATTAATACACTTATGTACAATTGTGGACCATTTAAAACCATAAAACAAAACAAAGCTCTTATCTCTGTGGATAAGAAGCATTGGAATAGAAGTACTAATATAAGTGCTGATTGATATTTTTGTTCTGCGTTAGTGCTGACCTTATGTGTTTATTATATTTAAAAAAATAAGTAAAAACAGTAAAAGGGACATGTAGGAAACAATGATGTGATTATACCTGGAATCAAAGATTGTTATTACCTCAACTCTGCATACCTGAGTCCATTAGGAAGAAGATCTGGGCTGGTTCCTTTGTGGGTAAGAAGCATAGAGACAGATGTTAAAATGGCTATTATTCTTGTTTTTGATTAGGTCATGCATGTTTATTATAATAAGATTATTAAGTGAAAAAATATGTACAATGAGAACTACACTTAGGCCAATGGTGAGAGTGTGTCATGAACCAAATTGTGATTCATCTTGAGCTGCTCATCCAACAGCCATTAAAGAATACCTGGTTGTTTCATCCTTTTTAATATGTGCCTTGTGTTCCACAGAATGGAGGCCCCAGGGTGGGTCTAATGACACTCTTGTTGATGAAGATCTTGGCTGTGAACTCTGTGGAAAATGAGCCATGGACCAACCAACGTGAGTGATGGTTAGTGTTACTGTTCTAAGGTTGGCTGGTTGGCTGATGGGTGTGTGTGTGTGTATGCATTATTAAACATGAACAGGCACAAATAAAATCAAAGATGGTCAAGCATAGACCAATGAGGAGACTGCGTCATGAACCAAGGTGATGAATCTCATCTGGCATAACTGTCACCAAGTTAAAAAATAATATAACTAGGTTGCTTTCTGTGTAGGAGATGAGCAAATAAAAACAATTACATTCATATATATTAATTGTATACATGTATATAACATGTATATAACATGTATATCTCTTTATATAGATATAATTGTTACTTTTTCTTACTCTTGGGTTGGGTGGTGAGTTCCTGTTTATTGATTTATTAAAAATAAATGAATGTGTACATAAAATAAAAAAAGATTAAGCATGGACTAATGAAGACAAGATTTATGATTTATGATTATATAATCCTGCAAATTTGAAGGGCATTAAAAAAATCTAAGCTATTTTATTTTAAAAGCATTTTACTATTAATTTATACACTATGGTTTATATAGGCACTTCTGCATTGATAAATTTGGGTGTTAACTTGGCAAAAGTGATGCTCAGAGAGACAGATAATGGTACTTTTCTGTTTGTTGGGTAAGATTCATAGGTATTCTTTTACAATTTTTTGAAAGGAATAGATAAAATTAAAAAGGGCCAAGTGTAGACCAGTGAGAGTAATGATTCATAAACTAAGGCTCATTATTTTAATTCTACACAAGTGAAAGCCATTGAAAATGATCCAGGGTGTTCAGTTTTTAAACAGTTGCCTTCTGTTGCACAAAATGGACACACCATAGTTCATTTAATTGTGCAATATTTATGAGGATGTTGAATCTTATTTGGACGGATAAGGTACGTAAAGAAAATGTAAGTAATAGTTGATGTTCTTAAATCTTTGCTGGGAAGTTGTTCAAGGGTGTTCATAACTAAGTAAATACATGAGTGAACAAATTAAGGAATAAAACAAGAGATGGCAAACATGACCCTATGATGATAATATCTCATGGCCCCAGGATTAAGATTATTCTAATTCTGTACATCTAAGTTCCATTTAAAAAAATGTATTGGTTAAGGAGTAGTCAATACTGTTGTTTTTGCATGATGGTGTGTTGGATGTTGATTTTAGTACTAAAAACAAATAAATAATTACATAAATGCATAAAATACAGGAAAGGCCAAAACATGGACTGGTGATGAGAAGGGCCCAATGATTACAGTTAATTCAGTTCTGTGCTTTTGACCTCTATCAAAATAATCTAGTCTGTTTCATTCCTTTTACCAGCTACTTTGAATTATTTCACCGTGTATATATACATAGTTTATTTAAACAATTCTCCATGGATAAAGATCTAAGATGCTAATGCTAAGCAAGGAGCACAAAGGGAGAAGAAAGATAATGTCAGTGTTCTTCCTGTAAGAGATTGAATTTATGGGTGCTCATTAAAACTTCTTTAGAAATGACCAAATCAAACAAGAAAGAATCAGCATGGACCAGTGATCAAGAACTATAATTAATCCTATTTAGCTTCGTTAGAAAAAGTTCTAGACTACTCCGTAAAGATAAGGAGTATTCATTAGTGTTGCCCAGTAGGGTTTTCTGCAGTGATGGATGTGTTTTATAAAATTTGTTCTGTCCAATATGGTAGCCACTAGCTACATATGACTCTTGAGCACATGAAATGTGGCTAGTGTGTATGAGGAACTGAATTTTTAATTGATTTTTATTAAATTTTAAATTTAAATAGTCATATGTGACTAATGGCTCCTCTCTTAGTCAGTTGTGTTGGGTAGTTGGGTAATGGGAGTTTTTTGAATATTAAATATGAATAAATAATTATATAAATCAATAGTACACAAATTAATAACAGAGGATTAGTTATAGGCTAGAGATGAGAGTGTCTCATGAAACAAAGATTATAATTAATTCAGTTCTGTACAACTGAGATTCACGGGCAAAAACGTCTTAGATTCATGGAGGAAAGACATAGGCTTATTAATTTATTTTATCAATTGTTTATATTACCTTGTCTGGGTGTTCCACAGTTTATGTGAACATTTCTCTAACATTGAAGATCTTTGTATCTTGGTGGGAGAAGATAAAAAATGTACTGTCCAAGTCATAGGTGGAGGGCTGAATAGTGGTTTTGTCAATATTCATTACATTATTATATTATTTACTTTAAAAATGAAAAATAAATAATAGTCCCTGCATGGTACAAGAATAATAATGTAACATGGACTGAAGTTTGTAATTCATATGTCACCACAACTGCAGTCCATAAAACTTTATCCTAATGGAGGGGAGGAAGCATCCCTTTCATTAGGCCCTATTAAGCGAGGTCTTTTTTAAAAAAAAGGTGAGAGAGGACTCTTCATTCATTTTACATTTGTTTAATATTTCATTTTATGTTCCATCACTCTCAATTTACACATTCCACCATTGATAAAGATTTGGGTGTCTAACAGGTTGATAGAGAAACACAAGTAAAGATTGTTGGTGGAAGGTTGGTGAGGTAAAATGAGATGTTCCTGGATTGTCTTCGTTATGTATTTGAAATTTGACCAAATTAAAGAAAGACTAAAATAAGAGGGCCACGCATGTTTATGATGGGCGTGGGTTTGCATGAAGAATGATGGATCCATATGCGCAACAGTGAGTACATTGTAGAAAGAGATCTAGTGTATTAGTTCTGGGAGAAATTAAACAAAAGACAGAAGTTAGTGATATTCTTTTACCTTTCTCTTGCTTTGTTGTGATTCATGAATATGATCAAATAATTTTTAGTCAATGAATGAATGAACGAACAAATGTATAAGTGGATAAATAAACAGTCCCAAGCCTAGACCAATGATGAGTACCCTGGGGTGTCTGAACCGAGGATTTTGATTAAACCCTGTAACTCTGAGGTCCATCATAAAAACAAACCTCATTTCTTGTCTTGGCGGGACATGAATTGTCGCAGAAGTTAGGAATACAGGCATCTTGCTTGTGGCTTTGGTACATCTTTGGTATGGGTCCTTTTATTAGTGAATCCCTGTGTGAGTACATAAAGAAACATATCCATGAATAATGACAATGAGGGCTAGGTATTTGCCAGTTATGAGAGTATCTAATGAGAAATAAATTATTATTAAAACATTTCTGAGGAGCTGAGTTCCAGGAAGTGAAGAGTTCAAGGCTTTTACCATATTTTATCAGAAACACATAGGCAGATGTCTATAAGCATCAGTGTTGCTTCTGGGTTGGTGGTGGTTAATTTTATTAAGAATTTTATTAAGAAAAGGGGGAAAAAAGGGAAGCATAAGAAATACTGATTACAGAATACTTAATTAAGGAAGCATGGGCCAGTGTTAATGTGTTATGTGAGAGGAGTTATGATTAGATCAGTTATTCTCAATCAGTATCATTTTTGAAAAACACATCTGTTTTTCTGTGGGTATTTGAGTTTATGGGAAAATATTAGTATTATTTAGGTATGTCTAGGTATATAGTTTCACAAATTTTGATGATATTATTATAAGTGAATGAAGGAAGAGATTATTTTTTATTTTTATTTATTTATTTATTTATTTATTTATTTATTTATTTATTTATTTATTTGATAGAGAGATAGCGAGAGCAGGAACACAAGCAGGGGGAGTGGGAGAGGGAGAAGCAGGCTTCCCGCCGAGCAGGGAGTCAGATGCAGGGCTGGATCCGGGATCCCAGGATCCCAGGATCCCAGGACCATGACCTGAGCCGAAGGCAGATGCTTAACGACTGAGCCACCAAGTGCCCCAGGAAGAGATTATTTAAAAAAGGGCATTTATTGGGTGCCTGGGTGGCTCAGTCGGTTAAGCAACTGCCTTCGGCTCAGGTCATGATCCTGGAGTCCCGGGATCGAGTCCCGCATCAGGCTCCCTGCTCAGCGGGGAGTCTGCTTCTCCCTCTGACCCTCCTCCCTCTCGTGCTGTCTCTCATTCTCTCTCTCGCAAATAAATAAATAAAATCTTAAAAAAAAAAGGGCATTTATGTATCCATGAGAATAATATATCGTTAGAGGAATTTCATTATTAATCTTGCTCTACCTTTCAGATGTCCATATAAGTAAAAGCGGTTGGTTTGGGGCTCTGCCTGCTTTGGGTAAAGGGCGTAGAGGCAATTACTTGTAATAGTATTTTGCATTTTTTTTTTTTTTAAAGAGAAAATACGAACAAGTCATTCCATGAGCAAATAAGCCAAAACCAAACAAACAGAGGAATAAGTTTATAAAGTACGGTCAAGCATGGATCATTGATGAGAATATGTCAAGAAATGAAAATGTAAATTTGTCAAATTCTAATCAAGGAAGATCCATAAAAAATGACAGTCTAGGCTCGGACCTGTGTGGTTAGGGTTTAATACATAGGATTTGGAACAGGAATAGTTCTTAATTCTTCTACTAAGATGTAGTTTTAGCAGTTGTCATTATATTACATACATTAAAAATTACAGACGTTAGTAAATAAAAAGGTGGCCGTTTTTGGGCTAATAATGGAAATGTGATAAAAAAGGGATTTATGATAAATCTAGTACAGTAAGACTAAGGTGTCTTTAAAAAAATTTTAAATCTATACTGCTTCTTCAGTTTTCTAAAATCTGCTTTTTACTCCACAGATTCAATCTGATTTCTTCATTCTCCCATGAGGAAGCTCTTGGCTATCCCTTCTGTGGATAAGGAGCAAAGTGACTCATGTAAGTGACAGAGTTTGTGTTCTTGGTGTGGAGGTAATTCATGTGGGTTTTTTGTGGGATTGTTTCAAAGGAAGAATGGCCACTGTAAAAATAAGTGAAATCAGACATACCAGGCTCGGACCACAGCTGGGAATGTGTAATGAACCACATATTAAGACAAGTACATTTTAGTTTAATTGAGATCCATTAGAAAGAAAGTTTGAGGGGTTTGCATCCATTTTCAGAGTTCCTTAATATTGCATTTTATTTCTACACCACATTCTAAGAACATTCTCTATTGATAACTATCTAGGTTGTTAAATCTTTGAGGAAGGAGCACCTGGGAAGATAGAAAGTGTTGCCAGTGTCCTAGTTAGGGAGAGAGTCAAATGGTAGCTTCAGTGTACTATTTTTAAAATATGAAGAAATTAAGTGAAAGATGAGCAAGCAGAGCTCAGTCAAACACATGGGATGGGTATGAAGCAAGTTTATTGATTAACACATATGTGCAACACTGAGGTCCAATTAAAAAGAGATCTCATTTACTAGCTCGGTGGGAAAGAAGCCTGTAAACAGCTCTCTGCAATATTCAAAGATCTTGTTCCTGGGTTTTTGTGATTCATAGGAAGTGCTTTTTTTAAATCAGCTAGGCCATGAATGAAGTAATCAATAAATAATGCATAAACAATCAATACACAATGTATAAATAAATGAAGTAAAAGAATGTTGAGCTTGGATCAATGATGAGTAGTTCTGGGGTATATGAATCAAGAATTTTGATTAAAACCTAAACTCTGAGGTCCATATAATACTGTATGTTAACCACACAGAAATTGAAATTTAAAAGAAAGAAAATAAAGAAACCTAGTCATTTTGTCTAAGGGAATAGAGTTCAAGCCCCTTGGGGATCTGGTTCTTAGGTCTTAAGTGATTGTTGCGTATGGATTGTATTGATGTAAGTGAATCAGTGAATGCCTGAATAAATGAATGTGTAAGTGCATGAAGACAAAGAAGGTCACCTGTGAATCATTTATGAGAGTGTATCCTGAAACAAGCATTATTGGTAATATATTTATTTAATACCAAGTTTCAATATAATACATAGGTAAAAGCTGTTGCTCCCTTTATAGCACATAGGACGGCCAGACACATAGGAGCACACAAAGATGTATCTATATGCGCATGTCTGCAGGCTGGATTGGTGGGAGTTTGCTGGTTGTTGGTTTTGTTTAGAAGAAGGAAAAAATGTTTATATAAACCGATGATTACGTAACTCTCTCATTGAAAAGAAGCAAGAATGGGCCAGTGTTGAGGATGCGCTGTGTGACATCAGTCATGATTAATTTAATTGTGTTCACTGAATTTTATTTAAAAACACAAAATGAAAAGGGACATATTTATTTCTATGGGTAATGAGTGTGTGGGTGTGGGCAACTGTTAGTATGTTTAGGTGTTTGAGTATAGGGTCTATAGAATCTCAGGTAGTTATATATTGTGGTAAGTTACTGAATGAATATGATCATTTTATTTCATTTTTTAATTTTTTTATTATTTTTCTTTTCTTTTTTTTTTTAAAGATTTTATTTATTTATTTGACAGAGAGAGACACAGCGAGAGAGGGAACACAAGCAGGGAGAGTGGGAGAGAGAGAAGCAGGCTTCCCGCAGAGCAGGGAGCCCGATGCGGGACTCGATCCCAGGACCCTGGAATCATGACCTGAGCCGAAGGCAGACGCTTAACGACTGAGCCACCCAGGCGCCCCTTATTTCATTTTTTTAGAGGGAAAGGCAGAGGGAGAGGGAGAGAGAGACTCTTAAGCAGGCTCCACCCCCAGGGTGGAGCCCCATGCACGGTTCAGTCTCACGACCCTGAGATTATGACCTGAGCCGAAATTGAGTCAGACATTTAACTGTCGAAGCCACCCAGGCACCACAATATGATCATTTTCAAATGATTACTTAAAAGAAGGCAACTGTGGACAATATGTGATGTCCACATATAAAGAAAATGGGGGGGCGCCTGGGTGGCTCAGTTGGTTAAGCGACTGCCTTCGGCTCAGGTCATGATCCTGGAGTCCCGGGATCGAGTCCCGCATCGGGCTCCCTGCTCGGCAGGGAGCCTGCTTCTCCCTCTGGCCCTCCCCCCTCTCATGTGCTCTCTCTCATTCTCTCTCTCTCAAATAAATAAATAAAATCTTTAAAAAAAAAAAAAGAAAATGGGATCTCGTTCCTTCCTACTTGGGTTAAGGACATAGAGACAGGTTCATGTAATGATGGTATTTCAGTTCTGGGTTTCCGTTGGAAAGTTTACTATTATATATAAGTACATATATAATTTTATCATATTTTATATTTATGTTATATATAATGCATTACTTATAATGTTATGTTCTGAAATGTGTCTTTATCATATATTATGTCCATTTTTTAAAAAATAGACGATCAAATTATTCCATGGGCAATTAGATAGGTAAGTGATAAAGCTAGGACTGTTGAGAATGTGCCATGAGGCCAGGTTCTAAATCTGTACAATTCTGCATAAATAAAATTCATGACAATAATTATTAGGCTGTTAATTAAGAGTAGGGAGTATAATAGTTACAAGCCTTATTCCCGAGTCGTCTTAGATTCCATGATGTTTACATTGCCAAAAATTAAAAATAAAATGAACTGATAAATAAAAAGGAGTTCAGTTTTTGCACCAATAATGAGAATGTGATATGATCCAGCTTTATTATTAACCTGGCAATGTAAAACTCACGTCCACTTAGACACATCTAATAGAGACTATTTAGAATTGGCTTTTTCATTTACAGCATGAACACACCACAGCCAACTTAATAATTCTCTAATGGTGAAGGTCTCCATTGTCGCCTCTGTGGGTAAAAAGCACAGAGACCAATATAAATAACTACCAAAGTCCCTGTTCTCTGGCGAGATTGTTCATGAATTTCCAAGGAATCATTTTTAAAAACTGGCTTTATATATATGTATATATATACATATATATAATATATATACATATATATTTATATGTATATATACACATATATGTATATAATTTATATATACACATAATTTAAATATGTGTATATAATTTATATATATACATATATATAAAATCAAAGAACACCAAGCATTGACCAAGGATATGAATATGTTATGAACCGAGGTTCATAGATTAGTCATTTTCAAGGCCACATAATAGTATGTCATTTTAGTTTCGCACCAAAGTATATTTAGAAGAATATCCCTTCCTTGATAAAGATCAAGGTTATTTACTTGTTGAAGGAGGAGAACATAGGACGATGGGAGAGAATGACATTATTCTAGCTGTGAGGGAAGAGGATGGTTCACAGTCGTTCATTTTACCATCTTTACAATGTGGACACGTAAAGTTAAGAGACAAGCAAAAACCTGTTATCAATGTGAGGTTGATAGGAAGCACAGCTGTCGACCAATCCCCATGAGCAACCAGAGGTGCACTGAAAAAAGACATCAAATGTATTAGCTTTATGGGACAGGTGCTGATAGACTAACCTTAGTAAGAATCATTCCTCTCATTCTTGGCATTTGTGACTCCTGGCTATTGACTGTAGTATAATGTATGCATGTAAAAATGAGGCAGAAAGGACGATATGAATGAAGAAGACCAAAAAATGCCAAGTTTACGGGCACCTGGGTGGCTTAGTCAGTTAAGCGTCTGCCTTTGGCTAAGGTCATGATCTCAGAGTCCTGGGATCAAGCCCCACCCCCACCCCACTGGTTAGGCTCAGTGGGGAGCCTGCTTCTGCCCCTCCCCCTGCTCCTGCTCTCTCTCTCTCCCTCATAAATAAATAAAACCTTTAAAAAAAATTGCCAAGTTTGGATCAGTGATGAGTACCCTGGGGTGTCTGAATTAAAGATTTTGATGAAGCTCGGTAGCTCTGAGGTCATTCCAAGAAGAGGTCTAGTTATTCCCTCTGTGGTGAAGGTCCTTATGAGGCAAGAAAGGAATATTCAGGATCCTGTTCTTAGGCTTTGTGTTCCTTGGGTGTGGGATGTTTTTAATCACAAATGAAATAACACCTGATTAAGGAAAGAAATGAAGGGATGAATGATGACAAGGAAAGGCACACATCATTCAATTATGAGAGTGTGTTTTGAAACCTTTCTGAAGCAGTGAGGTCTAGGAAAATAAGTAGGTCAAGGTTTTACTCGATTCAGCAGGGAACAAATGGAAAGGTATGCCCAAGATTGGATGTTGTGATTATGAATTGATGGTGGGTTGCTGATGGTTCATTTTATTAAGAAAAGGGAAAGATGTTTGCATAAGTAAATAATAAGGCTCTAATTGAAAAAAAAGGTTATGGACCAGTGATGAGAATAGGTCCTATAACAAGATGGTTTACTGTGAGCATATGATCACATGTTAATATTATTCAAAGTTTTGTCCAGTGAGTTATAATTATAATAATGACATATTATATGCTATTGTAAGCGTATGAATAGATTCATATTTTATTTAAAAGGTGAAAATCATACACCAGTGAGGACCCTTATTATGGAATAAGGATAATGATTATCCTGTTTTACACTACTGTTTGCATATTTAAAAAAAGCTAGGCTTTTCCTGCTTTGTATAATACACACAGACAGATGCACATAGTAGTTATTTCCTTTCTGAGGGGCTACCTATTTTACCATTTCGCTTTTTCTTTTCTTTTTTCTTGTTTTTTGTTTTTAAATCAAAGTACAGTTAACATACAATGCTGCATTAGTTTCAGGTGTACATCATAGTGTTTTGACAACTCTATGTTATGCGGTGCTCACCATAATTGAAGTTACCATCTTTGCCTTTTCTTTCTTTTAAAAAAAATTATTCATTTATTTTAGAGAGAGAGAGAGAGTGAGTGGGGGGAGGGGAAGAGGGAGAGGGAGAGAGAGAAATCCTAAAACAAATTCTCTGAGTGTGGAGCCTGAAGTGGGATTCGATCCCAGAACCCTGAGGTCATGACTTGAGCTGAAATTAAGAGTTGGATGTTTGACCAACTGAGCCACCCAGGTGCCCCTGCCTTTTCTTTATATAATGAACAACAGGTAAAATTATTCCATGAGTAACTGAACGAATGAATATACTAAGTAGAGTCAACCATGGACATGACATGGTTAATGACAACCAAGTTGTTATTAAAAATACGCCATGAAACAAGGATTTAAATTTATCCAATCAGTACAAGAAAGATCCATTGAAAGGACAATGTAGAGGTTACCTATGTAAAGTACATGGGCATGTTTATAATAGTCATAGTTGTTATTTGTGGGTTGAATGGTAGATTCAATGGTGTTCATTATATTATTTAAAATTAAAATTAAATAATTAAGTAAAGAAGCAATAGTGATATTCTTGAGCCAATGAAAAGAAGCAAGTTTTATGTTTAATCTAGAACTCTACAAACATACCTAAATTTATTGTTTTTTCATCATTATTACTATTTTTTGTTTTTTTTTTTCATTATTTTTAAAAAGCCTGATGTTTATCTCAGAATTGAGACACCATAGTTGATTTAATCATATCTAATGATGAAGATACATTTTCAAAATGTATGTGCTTGGTTAGGGGAACTTGCTCAAGGGTGTTCACTGAAGTATTTCAGGTAATAAAGAGGTACATAGAAGTATAACATTAAAGAATGCTGTATATTACCTATGACCAGAATAGATTATGAACCTTAGATAATGATGATTAATTCAATTCTGTACAATTAATGACTCCTTAACTAAAGATGGAAGATGTTTCATACATGTTCACACATTATATTTACATGATAGTGGATTTTAATATTCATCCCTTCAAATGATTCAGGGAGCACATGTGTGCTACTCTGAAGGTCATTGCAAGAAGAGATCTAATGTGTTAGCTTTATGGGAAATGAACATATGAATAGATCCTAGTAATATTCAAGATACTATTTTTGAGCTTTTATGATTTATATGTATTGACTATATTATTATTGGAACAGCGAATGAAACAATAAACAAAAGGATAAAGGACTGAAGAAAAAGAATGCAAAGCTGGGGACAATGATGAATCCTGGAGTGGGGATTGAGTCTGAATCTAAAATTGTGTAGGATGTGGGGTAAGGGGAACTCTCTTGGACTGTTGGTGGGAATGCAAACTAGTGTAGCCACTCTGGAAAACAGTGTGGAGGCTCCTCAAAAGGTTAAAAATAGAACCGAGCTATAATCCAGCAATTGCACCACTAGGTATTTACCCAAAGAATAAGAAAAATACTAATTTAAAGGGATACAGGCACTCCTATTTTTGTAGCAGCATTACGTACAGTAGCCAAGATATGGAAGTAGCCCAAGTGTCCACTGATGGATGAATGCATAAAGAAGAGGTATATATATATATATATATATATATATATATATATATATATATATATATATATGAATATTACTTGGTTGGAGCTAGAGCGTATTATGCTAAGCAAAATAAGTCAGTCAGAGAAAAAGAAATACCATATGATTTCACTCCTATTTGGAATTTAAGAAACAAAAAATGAGCATAGGGAAAAAAGAGAGGCAAACTGAGAAACAGACTCTTAACTACAGAGGACAAACTGATGGTCACCGGAGGGGAGGTGGGAGTGGGGTGGGGGAACAGCTGATGGGAATGAAGGAGGGCACTTGTGATGAGCACCAGGTGTTGTACGGAAGTGTTGGAATCACTAAATTGTACACCTGAAACTAATATTACACTGTAGGTTAACTATACTGGAATTTAAATAAAAACTTAAAAAGATAAAAATAAAAATGGAACAAACAAACAAAATTATATTAATCCTTGTCTGGAAATCTGTGGACTACTGCGAAAAAGAGAAAAGGTAGACTCTTTGGGAAATGAACTCATGAGTGGATAAGGAAATGTGTAAATGAACAAAGATATGGACGGCCACATGTGGACCAACTATGAAGTTATGTAATAAAACAAAGATTATTATTAGTGTATATTTAAAACACTGGGTTCCATGGATAAATCAAAGCTCTGAACTCTTCCATAAGGACAGGTATGGACAGATAATACCCAAGAGTTCATGTTGCTGCTTTCATTCTTTGTTTGGTGGCTTTAGTTAAGAAGGACCAAAAAAAAAAAAAAAAGGGGTTTACATAAATAAACACTTGTTTAAATATTGTCTTATTGAGAGAGGGCCAAATGTGAATCCATATTGAGGATGTGTCATATGACCAGAGTTAACAGTTAATATAACTGTATTCACTAGTGTAATTTTTTTAAAAAAATCAAAAGAGGGTTTAGTAATCAGTTATGTCTCTGGGCCATGAGCATGTAGACTGGATATTTAATATTCCCGTTCCTGTGCCTTGGTTTTCATTGGTACTGACATATTGTCATAAGGGAATGAAGGAGTGCATTTCTATATAGGTTAATTATTTAAAAGAAGGCTGAGCAAAGGCCAATGAGGAATATGTGTTATGAACCAGAGATAATGATTGCTCCTTTTATACCCAAATGTTGTCCAGATAAAAAAATAGAACTTGCAATTCATTCCACTTTGGGTAAAGTACACATAGAATTTTTTTTTTAAGTTTTAATTTACATTCCAGTTGGTTAACATACAGTGTATTATTAGGTTCAGTTGTACATGGAAATTTGCATGGGGAAATTCTTTAGAAAAATGGGTAAGTAATTGATTTATTTTATGCCTAATTATATACAGGAATAAATAAATGAATCAGTAGACATCAATCAGAAAAATTTGTGCTTCACTGGTGAGAATATGCAATAAAATAAAGATTTACGTTTATCCAATTTTGTACAATTGAGGTCCATTAAAAGCAACCACTGAGTTGTTAAATTTATGGATAGGGAGTAGGTAGACAGATATTTATGGTAGATAATGGTTCATATTCTCATGTTGGTGTTAATTGTGTTGTTTAAAAAGAAAAATTAAGTAAGTCAATAAATAAAAGTGCGATTCACGGACAATGATGACATTTCTAAAATGACCCACGTTCATGATTGATCTGATACTGCAAGACTAACCTTCACTTAAAAAAAATCTAACTGTAGGCTCTTTCTCTTTTGAGAGTCTGCATTTTCACCAAGTGAACACACCACAGATGATTTAATCATTCTCTAATGCTAAAGACCTTGGCTTTCACAAACCGTCTGGGTAAGGAAAGAAGAAATGGATGTAAGTAGCAGAGTTTATATTCTTTGGTTGGGAGGTTGGTTTATGGCTATTGCTTGAATTTTCCGAAGTAATGAATGGATATATTAATAAATAAAAAGCCAAGTAACACCAGCACAGACCCAAATTGAGATTTACGATTAATCTGATTCAGTATTATTGAAATTCAGAAAAAAAGATGCAAGGTATTTCATTTGTTTTCAGGGTTGGTCCACATTGTGTTTTATTTTTGCATTGCAATACATTTAAGTACTTCTCCATCGATAAAAATTTAAGCTGTGAATTCCTTGAGGAAGGAACATACAAGAAGATAGACAAAATAGTTGATGTTCTAGATGTGGAGAAAGATTAAAGTTCCCATGGTTATTTCTTGAATCATCTTTTTTTTTTTTAAAAGATTTATTTATTTATTTATTTGAGAGAGAGCACATGAGAGGGGGGAGGGTCAGAGGGAGAAGCAGACCCCCTGCTGAGCAGGGAGCCCGATGCGGGACTCGATCCAGGGACTCCAGGATCATGACCTGAGCCGAAGGCAGTCGCTTAACCAACTGAGCCACCCAGGCGCCCTCTTGAATCATCTTTAAATGTAAAAGAGTCAAGCATGGACCAATGAAATTGATATTAAGCAAGGATGTTAGCTAATTTGTATTTGCAAAGAGCATACATATATATTGCAAAAAATGTCCTTGTCTGCGGGAAATGGGCATAGAGCCAGTTCTTAGTGATATTCAAGGATGTTGTTCTTGGGCTTTTTGATTCATGAGAATGGATTATATTGTTATTAGTGAATCAGTGAATAAAGCAATAAGCAATTCATAAATAAAAGAATAAAACAACGTTCAGTATAGATTAATGATGAGTATTCTGAGATGTATGAATCAAAGATTTTAATTAAACTCTATAACTTTGAGGTCCATTAGAAAAAAGAAATCTAGTTTATTTCTTCTGTGAGAGAGGGACTTAAACGGCAAAAGTTAGGAGTCAATGATCTGTTCCTGAGCTTTAGTTCTTAATGTCTGTGAAACATATCCTAAGTAAAGCAATGCAAGAATAAAGATGAGTAAATGAATGATGACTAATTATGTGAGTCTGCAATGAAACAAGAATTATTATTATATTAGGTCCTGAAACTCTGAGTTTCATCATCTAAATAGATCAAGTCTATCTTACTTTTTTCCATAAAGAATATGGATCCTATTCCATGAGAATCCATGTTGTTTCAGATTTCTGGTAGGTAGCTATTGTTGGTTCTGTTTAGAAAAAGAACAAATCCTTCACACTAAAAACAATTGTTTAAATAAGTGCCTAATTGAAAGAAAGCCCAGCATGGACTAATATTGAGAATATGATCGTAGCTATGATCAAACAAATGCTGTTTGCTGACTATTATTTGAAAAAAACAAAAAGAGTCTAATAGGTTTTATCTGTGGACAATGAACATATGGACAGATACTAGTATTAGTCAATGTTCTTGTCCAGTGCCTTAGTTTGCCTTCACTTTGAATGTATTGTTAAAAGTTAATGAACAAATGAGTTCATATATTGGTTAATTATTTAAAAGAAAGCAGAGGAGTAGCTGTCTTGAAACAAATATAATGATTAAACCATTTTAGACGAAGAGGAAGAAATCTAGACTTATCCCACTTTGGACAAAGTGGGTATCAGCAATTGCATGAACTGGTATTTCAGTTTTGGAGTACTGGCGAGTTTTACTATTTCTCTTTAAAAAATGAATAAATAACCAAATTATTCTTTGATTAATTAAGAGAGAAACATGAGTGAATCAATAAATAGGGTATAAATTAGGGTAAATCTTCGACCAATGCTCATGGTGCACTCTCTGCAATGCCTGAGTATGGACCCTTAAAAAAGATCAATGAGGCTGTGAACCATGTAGTTAGGGAGTATATAGATGGATAGTAGCACTAGTTACATTTAGTTATTTAGCAACTAGTGGGTGGTGGATTTAACAGTGTTCACTACATAAATTAAAAATTAAATGGTAAATAAGTCAATCAAAAATAGAGTCATTCTTGAGTCAATAATGAGAATGTGGTAGCAACTAAGGTTTATTCATCTAGTACTTCATGACTCCAGTCCATTAAAAAAAGTTAAGTCTATGCTGTTCTATTCTTTTTTTTTTTTAAGATTTTATTTATGTGTGAGAGAGAGAATGAGAGGGAGGAGGGTCAGAGGGAGAAGCAGACTCCCTGCTGAGCAGGGAGCCTGATGTGGGACTCGATCAGGGGACTCCAGGATCATGACCTGAGCCGAAGGCAGTCGCTTAACCAACTGAGCCACCCAGGCACCCTATGCTGTTCTATTCTTTATAAAAAGTGTATTTTAATTCATGGAACAAAAACACTATAGCTGATTTAATTATTCAATAGTAATAAAGATTTTAGTTTTTACCTTTGTGGATAAGGAGCCTAGAAACTGTAGTAGATTATAGTCAGAATTTATGTCCTTGGTTTAGGTGGTTTGTTCATTATGGCATTATGTCAAAGAATAAATACATAATATCTAAATAAAATCAAAAGATGCCACACAGGGACCAATAATGGAAACCAACCAAAGTGTACAATTAATCCAACTCAGTGCAACTGGGTTTATTAAAAATCATGGGGGACTTTTGTTCACTTTTAGGGCTTTTAATGTTATAGTTTGTATCATGGTTAATTTAAACATTTTTTCAGTGATAAAGATCTAGGTCATTTACTCTTCAAATGTCAGGGGGCAAGTTTGGACCAATGATGAGTATCCTGGGGTGTCTGAATCAATGATTTTGATTAAACCCTATAACTCTGAGGTCAGAGACCTAGTTAACTATACAGTAAATCAGCTTACAGCAGAGGTTAGTAATATTCAGGATTTTGTTCTTAAGCTATGAAGGTTCATAGGTCTGGATTGTGTAGCACTATAAGTGAATTAATAAATGAATAAATAAATACATAATAAAAGACAAAGTGCCATATGTGGCCCAATTATGGGAATGTGTAATATGTTTATTATTATTAATATTTTCTGAAGCTCCCAGTTCCATAATATATTGATTAAATCTGATACCTGTTCAGGACAGGAACATATCCAGATGAGTACCAGGAAAGCAATGTTGTTTTGTTCTGTGTTGTCATCTTCAAGGTGCTAGTTGCTTGTTGAAAACAAGAAAATATGATCTGTTTGGTTATATCTGGGAGTAATGAGCATATGAACAGCTGTTAATTCTATTTAAATTTCTAATCCAATTTGTATGTTTGTAGATATTGATGATATTGTGAGTGAATGTATAAATACATTTATGTCTCAACCAATTATTTTGAAGAGAGTGCAGCAGGATTTTCTCAACCCCTCATTACTGACGTTTTGGGCTGGATAATTCATTGCCCGGAAGGCTGCCTGTACTTTGTAGAATGTTTAGTAATTTCATGGCATCTCCTAGATGTCAGTATTGACCCCCCACCCCCAGGTGTGACAGTCAAAAATATCTCCAGGCATTGGTAAATGTCCTCTGATAGCAGATTTTTTGTTTTAGTTTTAGTCTTGGTAAAAAAAATGCTTTATTTAAATTCAATTTAGTTGACATACACTGTATTATTCATTTCAGAGGTAGAATTTAGTGATTCATCAGTTGAGTATAACACCCAGTGCTCATTATATCAAGTGCCCTCCTAAATGCCCATCACCCAGTTACTCCTCCCCCCCCACCTCCCCTTTTGCAACCCTCAGTTTTGTTTCCTAGAGTTAAGAGCCTCTTATGGTTTGTCTCCCTCTCTGTTTTCATCTTATTTTATTTTTCCTTCCCTTTACCTATGTTCATGTGTTTTGTTTCTTAAATTCCACATATGAGTGAGTCCTATGGCATTTGTCTTTCTCTGACTGACTAGTTTTGCTTAGCATAATACCCTCTAGTTCAATCCACATTATTGCAAATAGCAAGATTTCTTTCTTTTTGATGGCTGAGTAATATTCCATTGTAAATATATATACCACCTCTTCTTTAAACATTCATCTGTGGATGGACATCAGGGCTCTTTCCTGGGTTGTAGGGTATCTCTATTTTTAACTTTCTGAGAAACCTCCATACTGTTTTCCAGAGTGGCTGCACCAGTTTGCATTCCCACCCACAGTGTAAGAGGGTTCCCCTTTCTCTGCATCCTCACCAACATCTGTTCTTTCCTGACTTGTTAATTTTAACCATTCTGACTTGTGTGAAGTGGCATCTCATTTTGGTTTCGATTTGTCATGGCATGAGTCATCACAGAGAATGTAAAATAAGGATTTAAATGTACTCAATTCTGCAAAAGAAACATCTGTTGAAATTACCTTTTATTCTGTTAGGACTATTAAAATATAAAGATATATATTTTTAAAGATTTTATTTATTTATTTGACAGGGAGAGACACAGCGAGAGAGGGAACACAAGCAGGGGGAGTGGGAGAGGGAGAAGCAAGCTTCCCGCGGAGCAGGGAGCCCGATGCGGGGCTCGATCCCAGGACCCTGGGATCATGACCTTAGCCGAAGGCAGACGCTTAACGACTGAGCCACCCAGGTGCCCCTAAAATATAAAGATATTTTTTTATTTATTTGAGAGAGAGAATGAGAGACAGCACAAGAGGGAAGAGGGTCAGAGGGAGAAGCAGACCCCCTGCTCAGCAGGGAGCCCAATGCGGGACTCGATCCAGGGACTCCAGGATCATGACCTGAGCCGAAGGCAGTCGCTTAACCAACTGAGCTACCCAGGCGCCCATAAAGATATTTTTGATAGATAGTGTTTTTATCCCTATGTGGTATTCAACAGTGGCTAGTATTTAAATGTGAAAGTAAAATACTAGACTAATTAAGAAGTACCAAAGTTTACTACTATCTAATTCCACATAATTAACATACATTAAAAACCTAGGTTAATTCTACTGTTTCCTTCACAGAATGAGCATAAGACAGCAGACTTATTCATTTTCTAAGAAACAACATCTTGGCAGTTAGCTGTGTGTGTAAAGAACATAGAGACAAATGTAAGTAAGACTGAGTTTCCATCCTTGGTTGGGATACTTTGTTCATGAGTGTTTAGTGGTATATTGAAAGAATAAATGTCCATAAAAGAAATAAAAATCTCCAAATATGGACCAGTGATGGGAATATGTTATCAATCAAAAATTACTACTAATTGTCACAATTGAGGTGATTTAAAAAGATAGTCATTTCATTCATTTTCAGAACTACTTAATATTTCATTTTATTTACCTCCACAGAGGACTCAAACATTTCCCTATTGGGGTAGTATTGACTGACAACTGTTTTGTGTGGCAGCCTATAAGCAAATGGAAGACTTTGTTTTGAGATGTGATTAAAGATGGTGGGTTCATCACTTTTCATTGAAACATCTTTAAAACATGGGCAATTAAATAAAATAAAGCCACAGAAGGACCAATGGTGAATGTGGATTTGGTATGAGGCATAGATATAAAAAATACATATATATATACATATATACATAATATATATACATAATATATAAAAAGAACATGTGTTCTCTGAGGTCCATTGTAAAAGGAGATCTAGTCTATTTGCTCTTTGGGAAAAGAGCCACTAGTGGGAGGATCTTGTCCTGGAATTTTATGATTGTATTGTTATTTATGGATCAATGAATAAATAAATAAATGAAGATATTAAGGAAGAAAAACGTGCCTGGACCAATGATGAGTACCATGGGGTATCTGAAACAGGAGTTTTGATTAAACCCATATGCAACTCTGAGGTCCATTACAAAGAGACACGTAGTTATTCCCTCTGTGGGAAAGGAGCACGTGGTACCTTGTGCTTGGGCTATCGTGGTTCTTAGTGATGGACTGTATTTTATTATAAAATTGACCCACAAATAAAAAAAAATGTGTCAGTGAATGAAAAAAGGAGGACAATTTTACAATTATTATTAAGGAATGTAATGCAACATGGCGTAGTATTATTAAAATTTGGCTGAAACTCCGACTTCTAATAAATGAATAGTAAATGAAAGGGGTATATGGTTATTTGTACATAATACTCAGGAGTGTTTGTTGGTGGTGGGTTGCTGACTGATTCTTTTATTAAGGAAATGGCAACACATTTACTCTATAATAGTTGGTTAAATGACCACATAATTGAGAGCCAAGCAGAGACCAATGATGAGAATGATTTATATGACAACACTCATCATTAATCCAATCTTTTTTAAAACTAACTTTTATTAAAACAATAAAAAAGAAGCAAGCCTTTTATTGATGGTAATGACTATGGTCACACATAAATTTTGTTCAGTGTTTTTGTCCAGTGGTTAAGATCACAGATATTAGTGTATTTGTATAAGAGAAAGAAAGTATAATTTTATATATTAATCTATTTTTAGAAAGTCAGCAAACCATGGACCAATTAGCAACACATGTTTAAATATGAGGATTTTGATTCATCGTAGTTTTCCAATGACAAGTATTCTAAGAAAAATTTTAGGCTCTTCCATTTTTTGAAAGGTGCATCTGCACTTTTCCAAATTATTGTAATTGGTTCTGGGTTGGTGTTTAACCATTTTGAGTTTTCTTTAGAAAGATGGTATTATTATTCCCTGAATAATAAAATCAACCAGTAAGTGAGTGAATCCATAAATCCATAAATATGTGCAGTGGAGGATTGGGAGATTGTACCAGGAAACAAATAAAATATGTTAAATTCTACACAAATAAGTCCAATAAAAAGGTGATCATGGCTCCCCCTACATAGGTAGCAAATAAAGTCAGATGTCTCTAATTGGTAATTTTTATTTTATTTTGTGTTGAGTTTCAATAGTATTCCTATTATTTAGTAGAAATTTAACTAAGTAAGAGATACCATCCTTGGGAAGATGATGAGAATGTGATATGAAATAGAGCTTCTGGTAACTAGTCCTCTTCACAAATTTCGTAAGTTTAAAAAAGAGAGTTCTGCTTTCACTGTGTTTGCAAATTGTCTTCCCTCCCCCGTTTTCCCTTTGTTTGTAGAATGAACACAAAGCTGATTTAATCATTCTGTAATCCTCAAGACCTGGATGTTAATTTTGGGACTAAGAAGTGTAGAAACTGATGTAAGTAGTATCAATGTTTGTGTTCATGGCTTAGATGGAGGTTATTTATGGGAGCCCACTAAATTAGTTCAATGAAATAAGTAGTTAAATAATATATGAAATTAAGGAATGCCAATCCTGAGCCCCATGATTGGAATGTATCACGAATTAAAATTTATATTTACTTTGACTCCTCTCAGCTAAGGACCATTACTAACGTGATGGAGGGCATTTCACACATTCTCAAAGCAGTCTATCTTCCCATTTAATATTCTTGCCACATTTGCTGAATACATTCCTTCACTGATAAAGATCTCAATTATTTTTTTTTAAAGATTTTACTTATTTCTTTGAGAGAGAGAGAATGAGAGAGAGCACATGAGAGGGGTTAGGGTCAGAGGGAGAAGCAGACTCCCTGCTGAGCAGGAAGCCCGATGCGGGACTCGATCCCGGGACTCCAGGATCATGACCTGAGCCGAAGGCAGTCGCTTAACCAACTGAGCCACCCAGGCGCCCAAAGATCTCAATTATTAACGCTTTGAGGCTGGAAGACCTCGGAAGATGGCAGATGTCAGTTTTGTCCCTTGTGGGTTAAGATGAGAGGCCTGTGGTTGTCGATGACACCAGCTTTCACGTATGGGCAAGTCCAGTGAAAATGAGCAGGGGGACACCACTCACAAGTAAGGGACTGATATGAAGCAAGCTTGCTGATTAATTCCTATGAGTAAAACAGAGGTTCATTGTGAAAAGTGAGGGACTATTTGCTCCCCATGAATGGGGGCAATGAGCAGATCTTGGTTGTCCTTCAGGCTTTTGTTCTCAGTTTTGTGTCATTAAAGGTGATTGACTGTAGAACTGTTAACCATGAATCTGTGAATGAATGAAACCATTCAAAAGGCGTAAGTGAATGAAGACCTAGCAAGCTGTGCCTGGATCAATGATGAGTATTTGGTGGAGGTATCTGAATCAACACCTTTGATGAAGCCCTCTGGGTAACTCTGAGGTCCAATTCGGAGAAGAAACCAGTCAATATTCTCTGTAGAAATTAGCTAATAGTAGAAGTTAGGAAAATTCAATAAACTTGCCCCAGGCTTTTGTGGTTCATGGATATGGATTGTATTATTTCAAGTCAATCAATGCGTGAATAAAGAAAGAAATGAATACATGAAACACTAAAAGCCTCCTCATGGGACAATTAGCAGAGTGCAGTAAACACTATTAATATCAATACAATCCTGAAGGAAAATGGAAAGGCTTACTGTGTAATCCCCTTTTATATGGAACATATTAGTGTCTGCAGCTAAGAGGCAGTGTTTGGAGTTTTTGTAGTTTGCTGGGGGGTTTTTTAAACTAAGAAAAAGGAAAGTGTTTGCCTCAGTCAATAATCTGTTAGATAAGCATCCCCTTAATAGGTGTTGATACAGGTAGATATTTGTAAACATTATAGATCTTAATGTTGGGCTAAGGTGGTGGACTTAATAGTATTTATTATATTTTTTATCACTAAGAATTCCATACTGGATTAATAAAGAACTGCATGTTTGAGCCAAAGTTCTTATTGGTATCTAGCTCTGTCTGATTAACAGCCATTAAAAAATTCTAAATGTAGTCTATATCTGCTTTTTCCTACCTAGAGTGAACAATAGCACTGCTGACTCAGTCATTTAGTAAGAGTTATTATAGTCAGCCAGGAGCATGAAGACTAATATAAGTAAGTCTCTTAGTTCACATTCTTTGTTTGGATGGCTTGATCATGGGTCTTATCTGAAGAATTTCAAAGTAAATAATTGTGTACTACACACACCATAAATAAACCACTTCAAGTGTGGACCGATGATGGGAATGTGTTATAAACCAAAAATTATGTTTAATCTAAATCAGTACAATAGAGGTAATTTTAAAAGAAGATAGAAGTTATTTAATTTATTTTCAGAGCAGTTTAATATTCTTTATTTTTTACCATGGTTGATTTAAGCATTCCCATATGGGTAGAGCTAGCCTATCGATAGCTCTTTCGGGGCAGCCCAGAAGTGATTGAAGATGGTGGTTTCATTATTTTTCATTGAACCATCTTTGACGTTTGGACAAATTAAATAAGAAAGGGCCACACAGGAAGCAGTGCTAAATGTGGGTTTGATCCATCTGCATGTGCAGCTTTGAACACCATTACAAAAAAGATGAATTTATTAGCGCTTTGGGAAAAAAGCCTAAAATTCAAGGATCTCGTTTTTGGAATTTCGTGATTGTATTATTATTTGTGAATTGGAATATTAATCAATAAACAAAAAAAAATTTCCTAGTATGGACCAATGATGAATGTCATGGGGTTTCTGAAACAAGAATTTTGATTAAACCCATCTGCAACTGAGGTCCATTACAAAGAAACACATCATTATTCTCTTTGTGGGAAATGAGCCTACAGCATCTTATTCGTGGGCTTTTGTGGTTTGGGGTATGAATTGCATTATTATAATATAATTAGCCCATGAATAAAGAAATATATCAATGAATAAAGAATAAGAGAGATATACATGCATTACTTTTACGGCATATAATGAAACGTGGGTAGTTATTAAAACAATTTTGGGATATTTAGTCCCAATAAATTAGTAGTCAAGGTTTTTATCACTTTGGTAAGGGGCATATGGTCAACTGCGCGTAAGAGTCAGTGTTTTGCTTTGTGTTGAGGCACATTGCCAATTGATCATTTTATTAAGGAAAGGGAAATATATTTACATAAGTAGTTGATTGAATAAACTATGTAATTGAGAGGGAGAGCATGGAGCAATGATGATGTTTTATACAACCACACTCATGATTAATGCAATCTTTTTATGCGGTTTTATGTAAGCAAACAAATATTAAAGAATCAGTTTGCTATTCTTCTGGGTAATGACATAAGGACAAATGTAAATATTATTCAAGGTACTTATCCAGTGTGAGTGGGCTGACATATATTGAAGTATAATTATAAGTGAGCAAATGTATTTGCATTTGTAGCAGTTTTTTAAAAAGTCAGCCAACAATGCACAAAAGGAAAGCATGCAGTTGGATGTAAAGATCATGATGTATCATGTTTTATACAGTTGATATCCATAGGAATTCAAAGAGTTCTAGGCCTTTCTAATGGTGCACATAGACTTTTATAAATAATAAGTATTTTGCTTCTCTTTTGATGGTTGTTTAATTTTTGGAATTCTTTTAGAAAAATGAAGGGATGGCCGTATTATCCCAGGAGTAATTAAATAGAACAATTAGTGAGTGAATTAATAAATATATTAAGTAGGGTCAGGCTTGGATCCCTGGTGAGATTGTGCCTTGAATTGAATCTCTGAGGTATCCAATTCTGCACAAATAAAGTTCAACTAAAAAGATGATCCTGGCTTTTACCTACATGGGTAGCAGGTCCAGACAGATATTCCTAATAATTATAATTATTTTTCTTCTGTTTAGTCCTAGGTTCAGTGTGTTCATTCTATTATTTAAAATAAAAAATCTCACAAATTAGTAAATATGAAGTAGAACTCTCTCTTCCAAATGTTTAGAAAATTATGGAAATTTAGGTTTATGGTTGACTTTTGATCATTTAAAATAGTTAAATATAGACTGATTCTTTTTAAAGTTTGCCTTTTACTCCTCAGAATGAGCACAATCTACTAGATTTGATTATTATCTCATGGTGAAGATCTTGCCTTTTATCTCTTTGGGTAAAGAGAGAAGAGATCAATGTAAGCAATAATCAATGTTCATGTATTACTTGGGGGCTTGATCATGGGTATTCACTGAGATGTTTGGAAAGAATAAATGGCTGCATACATGAGCAAATTCAAAGGTGGTCATACGTTGACCAATGATTAAAATATATTATGAATTTAGAATTATGATTAATCCATTTCAGCATTAGTAAATTTACTGAGATGAAGGATGAAAGCCATTTCAATAATTTTCAAAACACTTTTATACTCCATTTTACTTTTGTTCCACAGTTGATTTAAATACTTCTCCGTTGGTTGATACTCTTATAGACTATGAACCCACTGAGGGGAGAACATAAGAAAATGGGAAATTTTGCCTTTTTCTTACTCATGGTACAAAATGGTAGTTCACTGTACCATCTTTAAAACATGGATGTTAAATGAAAGAGCCCAAGCAGGGACCAATGACTAATAGAATTGAGATGATGAAAGGAAATGGATTAATTCATTTTTGCAATGCTGAGGTGGATTGCACAGAGAGAGCTAGTTCTGTAGCTCTGTAGGAAGTCAACTTTCATGGACATATTCCTATCTTCAAGGACCTTCATTTTATTTTCCAAATTCATGCACACTGAGTGTATTATTAATGAATCGATGAATAAGTCAGAACAATATATTAAATGAAGGCACAGAATACCAAGTCTGGATCAATGATGAGTGTGCGTGGGGCATCTGAATAAAATTTTTGATTAAACCCAGTCTGTAACTCTGAGGTCCATTGCATCTATGGGAAATGTGCTTATAGATGAAATTAGAAATATTTGAGGTGGTCTTGTTTTGTGTTGTTGTTTTATTGTTCACAACTATGAATTGTATTATTATAAGTAAAGTATAAGTAAAGATAAGGGCTGCACCTTATCCAATCATGAAAGGAGCTAATGAATCAAGGATTATTATTAATATTTTTCTGGAATTTTGAGCTAAAATAAAGCAGACTAAGGCTCCTCCTCCTTTGGGAGCATATAGATGGATATATGTGCACCTCAGTGTTTTTGTTCTGAGGTGGTGGTGAGTCAGTGGCATGTCTTATTTTAAAAAGAGACAAGAAAATTACATATTGCCGGGACGCCTGGGTGGCTCAGTTGGTTAAGCGACGGCCTTCGGCTCAGGTCATGATCCTGGAGTCCCGGGATCGAGTCCCGCATCGGGCTTCCTGCTCAGCAGGGAGTATGCTTCTCCCTCTGACCCTCCCCCCTCTCATGCTCTCTGTCTCTCATTCTCTCTCTCGCAAATAAATAAAATCTTAAAAAAAAAAAAAAAGAAAATTACATATTGCATAGTAATCAACAATATTTAATAGAATATATATATTCAATTATAATCTAGCAAATTATGATAAGCCCATTAGTATGAAATGATTTTAATAAACAAGATTTAACATAATCAATGATAAAAAATAAAATACATTATTAATAATTATTGAAATGTAGAAAAGGTCTAAGCACGAACATTGGAAAGGTGAGTATAGTAATTGTGTTCATAGACTTTTTCAAAAGAAAAATGGAAAAATAAATAACTAAAAATGAAAGAAAAATGTAAATGTATTTTGTTGATTTCTGCAAATGAAAAGCCAATGGATGCATTTAGTATCACTTAGCCTTCTTATGAAGTATCCTTAGGGTTCATCATTATTGGTGCCATTATTAGTAGTGAGTAAAAGAATAATTGTATATCTCAATCCATTACTTAAAAGAATGTAAACCATGGGTCAGTGAGGAGCACATATAATGTATGAAGGAGCATGATTAACCCTATTCTATCCTCTTGAAGTCCAGGCCCCTCCTTCAGGAAATAACCCCCATTCTCTAAATACATCTTGCTGTTAACATTTAAATTCAAATTAATTATAAATAAAAATTCACACCCTTCGTAACACTAGCCACATTTCAAAAGATATGTGGCCAGTGGTTACCATATTGAATAGTGCTAATAGAGAATATTTCCATCACTTCAGAAAGTTCCATCAGTGCAAACAGTGCTGAGATAGAAAGTTGCATGTAATAGTATTTAGTTTTGGGTGGTTGGTGGCTCTACCATTTTGTGTTTTCTGTAGGAAAAAAAAAGAGTAGATAAATAAATTACCTTAGAGTTATTTAAAAAGTGAGTAAATAAATGAATTGATAAACACAAGAATTAAAGTATAGTATGGGGCTCATTGTTCAGATTATTTCATGAAATAAGAATTTAAATTCATCCCAAGTTTTCCCACTGAAAGATTATCTGAACTTTTTACTATTTGGTAGGTTATAGAGACACATATCAATAATAGTGCTAGTTCTTTTTGTGTTCGGTGTAGATTATAAAAGATCTTCTTTATGTTATTTCACACTAAAAATTGAGTAATTCAGTAAATGAAAAGGATACCACTGTTGTATTGATGAAAATATGACACGAACCAATATTTATGATTAATCTACTAATGCAGAACTAACTTCTACTTAAAAATCTAAAATTATACTTTTCACTCTTTTAAAAATCTACCTTATCTTCCTGGATGAATACTCCACATTGGATTCAGCCATTGTCCAATGAAGAAGATCTTGACTGTTAACTTCTGTGGGTAAGAAGTAAATGTAACAGTCAAAGTTTGTTCTTGTTCGTATAGTTTGTCCATATGTGGTCACTAAGGTAGTTAAATAGAACAAAAGGCTATATACACAAAAATAATAATTTAAGTACACTAAGTATGGACCAATAGTGGGAATGTGTTCTGGGGCCAAGGAGTAGAATTAAACCATTTCAGCACAACTGAGATGCATTTTTTTTTAATGGAAGGCATTTAATTAATTTTTGGAACTGTTTGCTATTCCATATTATTTCTAAATCACAGTGGATTGAAGCATTTTCATTTTGATAGAGATCCAGGCTATTAACTGTTTAGAGGAAGGAGCTCTCAGAAGGTAGAGCATACTGTCTGTGTTCTAAATGTGGGATACAATTAAGGTTTTTTTTATTACACCATGCTTAAAACTGGACATTAAATGAACATGGCCCAATCATGGGACATTTTTAATGATGGTATTGATACGAAGCAAGGTTCACACGGAGATCTAGTCTGAAAGCTCTGTGAGAAATCAGTCTAGAGACAGATTATAGTTCTATTGAGTATCTTGTTCTGGGAGTTGGTGATTCATAGGAAAATGAAGGTAGAAATGAATGAAGAAAGAGTGCCAAGTGTGGACCAATGATGAGATTGGAGGGTGTCTGAATCAAAAATTTTGATTAAAGCCATCTGTGACTCTGAGGTCCATAATTAAAAAGTGGCCTCATTTTTTTCCTCTATGGAAATGGGCTTAGAGCGGAAGTTCAGAATGTTCAAGTATCTTGATTATGGGCATACACACTTTATGGGTATAGATTGAATTCTTGTAAGTAAATCATGCATGAATAAATTGAAGAAATATAATAATGAGTAAATATAAAGAAATTTGGGCATAGACCAATTATGAGAGTATATAATGAAACAGGGATTGTTACTATACATTTCTGTGGCCCTGAATTCCAGTTAAATCTATTTCTAAAGGCTGTTGCCCCTTTTTGGAAGGAGTGGGTAGACAGATGTATGTAAGACTCATGTAGGTGGTTGTTTGCTGGTTGGTTGTTTTTATTTAGAAAAGGAAAAATTACATAAGTAATTCATTAAATACTTAATTGGAAAAAGAATGAGCATAGTTCATATTAGAATGTGCCTTATGAACAGAGTTTGTTTTTTTTTTAAAGATTTTATTTATTTATTTGACAGAGAGAGACAGTGAGAGAGGGAACACAAGCAGGCAGAGTGGGAGAGGGAGAAGCAGGCTCCCCGCTGAACAGAGAGCCCGACGTGGGGCTCAATCCCAGGACCCTGGGATCATGACCTGAGCTGAAGGCAGATGCTTAACGACTGAGCCACCAAGGCGCCCCACAGAGTTATTATTAATCTACCTCTGTTCACCGAATTTTATTAAAAAGGAGAAACAGCTCATTTTTAAAGCTCTGTGGGTACTATAATAGACATGGAGACAAAATAATGTTTTTCAAGTTTCCTATCTAATATTAGTTAATTCCCAGATATTGATGAATTGTTATATTTGAGTAGATTAAGTCCTAACCACGGTTTTTTAAAAAAAGGGGGCAAAACATGGCCCAGTAAGAAGCAAGAATAATGATTAATCTTTGTTTATACTACTGATCGTCTCTTCGTAGCGTGGGTATGGGCATGTGGACACTTGCACATGAAGAGCATTTCTATTCTGGGTTGTTCATGGGTTTACCTGTGTGTGTGCTCTAGTATATTTTAATGTATGATCAAATATTCCCTGAGTCACTCCATAAATAAGTAAATAAAACAATGAACGATTGAATTAATATATGAGGAGGGTCAAGCATAGATCTTGGTGAGAATATGCCATGAATCACAAATTTAAGCTCATCTATTTCTACACAAATTGAGTCCTTCAGAAAAAAAATTGTCTAGGCTCTTTCCTATGTGGGTAGGGGGTCTCCAGACAGATAAGTACAATAGGCAGAGTTTTTATTTTTGCATGATGAACTCAACAGTATTCATTGTATTATTTAAAATTTATGTTAAATCAAGAAATAAATAACGAATGATGTTCTTGGGTCAGTGATGAAAATGAGAAATGAACCAACTTCCTGATTAATCTTGTACCACACAACTTTTGTCCTTTAAATCATTCTAAATCTAGACTGTTCATTCTTTTGAATATTGGCACTTGACTCCACAGAATGAAGACAATGGTTGATTTAATTAGTCTCTACTGATGAAGATCTTGGCTGTTATCTTTGTGGGTAAGGAACCTAATGACTAAAGTAGATAATAGTCAAAAGATCTTGTCAATTGGGGTGAATTTTTCATTAGTGTTCGCTGAATTATTTAAATTAAACCATACACAGATCAATGATATGAATGTGCCATGAAATAAATATTATTGTTAATCCAATTCAGTACAATTGTAGTTGAAAGTAAGATGGAAGATATTTTATTCATTTCCAAAGTAGATGAATAATCCAACTTATTTTTGCAGTGCATTTGACTTAAGCATTTATCCAGTGATAAAATCTAAGGCTGCACTGTTCAGTGTGGTTGCCCCTAGCCACATGTGGCTATTTAAGTCTAAAATAATTAAAGTTCAGTGAATTTTAACTTTAGTTCTTTAGTATGCACTAGCCACATTTCAAGTACTTAGTAGCTACATGTGGCTAATGGTGACCACGTGAGAACACAGTTATGGCACATTCATGTTATGATGCAAAGTGCTACTGGATAGCTCCTCACTGAAGGAGTACATAGAAAGATGGAAGATAGTTGGAATAGGATGCACATGAAGCTGGGATGTTAATTGATCATTCCTTGCTGAGGGCCACTGCAAAAAAACACTTTTGGGAAAAGGTCTAGTTATGGGAAAAGAACCTATAAATAGACCTTGGTCATACCCAAGAATCTTGTTCTTGGCTTTTTAAAAATTCGTGGATATTGATTTTATTACTGTTGGTGGATCAATGAATGGATCAATAAACAAAGGTATAAATGAAGAAAAAGATTTCTTAACCTGGATCAATGATGAGTACCCTGGGGTGTCTGAAATCAAGGATTTTGATTAAACCCTGTAACTCTGAGGTCCATTACAAAAGATTCCTCTCTGTTGTCTCTATGGGAAATGAGCTTGTTCTAGGAGTTAAAAATACTCAGGAGTTTGTTCTTGAGCTTTTGGGTATTGTATTTTCAGTAAATCAATGCATGAATAAATCAAGAAACAAATAAATGAATAAAGACAAAATGGGTTATTCCTGATCCAAGTAGGAGAGTATGTAATGTAATATATGTAATATAAAAATCATTGTTAATAAATTTCTGAAGCACTGAGTTCCAGTAAAGTAAATTGATTGAAGCTGACCCTTTTGGGTAAAGAGAATTTAGATAAATGGATATAAGAACCCATGTTGTTTTTTTGGGTTGTTGGTTTTTTGTTTTACTAAGAGAAGAGCAAAACATTTACTCAAAATTAATTATTGATTAAATAACTGCATAATTGAGAGAGGGCTTACACATGGACTTATGTTGAGAATGTGTCATATGACCAGTTACTACTAATCCAATGATCTTCGCTATGTTTTAATAAAAAAAAAGAAAACAGGAAAAAAATGATCTGACCTTTTTTTCTGTGCCTAAGAAACTATGGACAGGCATTAATATTGTCCTGTTTCTGTGGAGTCATAAATATTAGTGATATTATTATATATATATAAAAGAATAAGTTAACATTTTAATCAATTATTTGGATTATGAGAAGCATGTGTTATGAAGCAAGGACGGTGATTAATCCAGTTCTACACAATTGCTCTCCAGATAAAGAAAATAAGTCTTATGCTCTTAAATTTGGGGAATGGTGAATATATTTAGATAGGATTTCTTTTTCTGGTGTGGTGAAGTTTCTTTAAAAAAGCAGAAGATAAATGACTCCATATGTAACTGTGTTCCTACATACACATGTAGAGGTGGGATAAGGATGCACAATTGTTGAGAATGTGCTGGACTCTAGGATTCAGATTAGCCTAGTTCTTTCCAAGCAAGATCCATTTAGAAAGAAGATAGAGTGTCACCTGGCCGAGTAGGGGACATAGAAACAGATATGAGTAGTAGTCATGGTTCTTATTCTTTTATCTGGTGCTGGTTTCAGAGGAGTTCGTTATATCAGTTAAATGTAATGGGTGGATCAATCAAGCAATAAATATGCTGTTTTGAGTTTTAATACGTAACAGGCACTAAGGTTTATTTCTAATCATTTATTGTTGACTTGACCTAAAATATCTGAATCTAGGCTGTTCTATATCTATCATCTATATCATTGAATCTATTTGCTTTTATATTTGCTTTATACTCTACAGAATGGATGCATGATGAATTAATTATGGAGTGTAGAAACTTATGTAAGTAACAGTCAAGGTAATTGCTTCTCGTTCGGCAGTCTGTCTTGGGTATAACTCCATTATTGAAAGGGAATAAATTGCTACATATACAAATAAAATGAATGAAGGTCATGTATGAGCCAGTTCAGCACATCCGTGGTCAATTAAAGAGAAAAAAGCAAGACCATTTTATTCATTTTCACAGTTAATTATTCAATTAATTAGTGTAAAATGTATTATTCAATTTCAATTTTGAGTCACAGTTGATTTAAACCTCCCTTTATTTATGGAGACATTATTTGGTCACATTCAAATAGTGAAATGGTGTTAATATGAAGTATTGTATTAATCTCTATAGGAAATATTATGGACAATTACGATATAATCAGTGGTATGTAATTCTGTACAGAAATGTTAGAGATATTCAAGGATCTTGTCTCAAGTTTTCATGACCTTTATGCATTTTATTATCATTAGGGTATTGATGAATTAATCATTAAAACATGTGCACATGATTGAAGATAATGAGGGCCAATCCTGGACCAATGATGATGACTGGTGGAGTATGAGTCATAGATGATGAATACTATGTAACTGGAACTCTGAGGTCCAGCACAATAAGAAATCTAGTCTATATCTTCTGCTGGAAATGATCCAATGAAGAGTTGTTAGGAATATTTAAAGATCTTCTTAGTTTTTGTGTTCACAGAATTTGATTCTATTATTGTAACTGGATAAATAAAGCAAGAAAATAAAGCATTATCCAATTTTGAAAATATATGGTGAGGCCAGAAATGTTATTAATATATATTAAAAACACTGACTTCCATTAGGAAATAAATGTCCTAAAGGTGTTATCTCTTTGGCTAAGGTTGATATATACAGTGTAAATCATAGCCTATTTTCTTGTTTGGCCAGGGCCTTGTTCAACGTTGTTTGTTACCTCAAGAAAAATACATAACAATTTAATACATACTTAAATGACAAATAAAATGAAAGGAGGCATGCAAGGATAAATGGAGAGAATATTTCAAATCTTTTTTATCATCTGTTTTTATACTCTCAGAATGGATGCTCCCAGCCAATTTAAGCATCTCCATGGTCTTGAGCTCTCTGGTTGCCTAGGAGCCTAGAGATCAATGTGAGTATGGTCTAAGAATTTGTCGTGGTTTTGGTCCTTTTTAAAGGATCCATGAAAGCCAACCATGGCCCAGTGATCAATATGGCATTGTCCTGAACACTATTGTTGATGATTGCAAAATTAAGAATGATTAATGAGAGAATCGATGTAGTAAATGATCCTGTAGGTAGCTATTAGAGATACTTAAAAATCTTGTTCTTAAGTTTTTGTGATTCAAAATTACCTAATTACTAATGAAATGAGGAATTAATCAGTAAACAAATGTAGAAATTAGTGGAGAAAAAGAGGGCCAGTTCTGGACCAATGATGACAAAGGGTGGCGTATGAGTCATGGATGATGAATATTACGTGTCTGAAACTCTGAGGTCCAACAAATAAGAAATCTAGGCATTCATTCTGTTGGAAATAATCCTGTGGACAGATATTAGGAATACACAAGGATTTTGTTATTTTACTACGTATACCTGGTTTCGATTTCATATCTATAAATGGTCAATGATAGAACCATAAATCAATATATAAATCAGTAAATATAAAAAGATGAAGCATTGTTAAACTAAAAAAATGTGGTGAGGCAAGAAATACTATTAATATTAATTGAAATCACAGAAGTCCATTAAGAATTAAATGGATCAACTGTTACCTCTGTGCAGGGATCATACAGGCACTGATTAATAATAGTCACTTTGGTTGTCACAGACCAGTCTCATGGGCGAATTTGTTCATTTTGTTAAGAGGAAACTAAAAAAATATTATGAAAAATTAATAAATAATCAAATGGGCGAGTCAATGAAATGTGAAAGCAAGGGTAAATGAAGAGAATGTCTCAATTTTTTAAATAATCTCTTCTGCTTTGTACTCCTCAGAATGGATATACTTGAGCTGATTCCCTGTGGTTGGCTCCATTGTTAGGAACACAGACACGAATGTGAGTAATAGTTATGATGCTCTTAGTTTGAATGGTTATTTTTTAAAAAGAATATTCAGTGTTTTAATAAGATGTATTTTGTATAAGCAAAGAAAGCCAACTGTGGCCCAATGAGAAATATGCTACTATATGAAAAATTGAGGATAATTAATATAAGAAATATACTAAAGTGGTAAATGATTGTATAGGCAGATGTAGGGATATTTAGGGCCTTTATTCTTGTTTTTTTTTTAAATCATAGGTATTTGTTTTATTATTATCAGGGAATTGGTAAATTAATTCATAAACAAATATTGATGAAAGTGAAGAATAAGAGGCTCAAGCTTGGATCAATGATGATGGCTGGTGGCGTATGAATCATGCATAATGAATGATACGTGTCTGGAACTCTGAGGTCCAACAAAGAAAATCTAGTTTACTGCCTCTATTGGAAATGGCCCTATAGACAGATGTTAAGAATATATAAGGACCATGTTCTTGGTCTTTTTGTTCATGGATTTTGATTCTGTTATCATAATTGGATATATTAAAATTATAAACAATTAATAAAAAATATAAATATGAATAAGTAAAACATTGTTCAATCATGCAAATGTGTCATGACATAAGAGAATCTATTAATAGATGTTAAAAAACATTGAGTCAATTAAGAAAGACATGGTTCAAAAGTGTGACTTCTTTGGCTAATGATTATATAGAAAGTACACGTAATGATCATTGTTCCTGTTCAGGCTCAGTGACAAATTTGATTTTCATTTTCTTAAGGGAAATAATAATAAATATAACCCCCAAATAATAAATACCTAAATTACTGACTAAACAAAAGGTGAAATGGAAGGATTAATGGAGAGATAATCTCTCTCTCTTTTTTTTTTCATCTTCTCTGCTCTGTACTTCTCAGAGTGGCCACACCAAGCTGATTAAAGCATCTTCCGTGATTATGAGCTCTATATGTAGGAGATGGAGACCAGTGTGAGTACAAACTTCTTATCTTATTTTGGTGGTTTGTTTAGGAGTTAGGTATAATATTAAGAAATACTTAAATTTAATAAAAAAAGGCCAACCATGGTCCCATGATAAATATAGAATTGACATGAAACATTATATTGATTAACTACTATTTGCAACGTTGTAGATGATTAATGAAATACATCTTCAAGGAGGCAATGATTCTATGGTCAGATGTTAGGGATGCTTAAGGGTCTTATTTTCAAGTGTTTTTGATTCATAGATGTTTATTTTATAGTCATTGATTTACTGATAAGTTAATCAGTAAAGAAATGTAGAAGTGAGTGAAGAAAAAGGGCCAGTGTTGAACCGATGATGACGGCTGGTGGCGTATGAGTCATGGATGATGAATACTATGTGTCGGGAACTCTGAGGTCCAACACAACAAGAAATCTAGTCTTTTTTCTCTGTTGGAAATGACCATAGTGATATTAATAACATACAAGGATCAAGTTCTTGGTCTTTGTGTTCATGGATTTTGATTCTTTTAGTATAAAGAAATGAAAGAATCAATAATCAAATATAAATAAATATGACTGTTAAGGATTGTAAATTATGAAAATTAATAAATAGCTAAGTGGATGAGTAAATGAAATGTGGAAAACAAAGACAATGAAGATAAGGTCTAATTTTTTTTTTTTTTTTTAATATCACCTTCTGTATTTTCCACTTCTCAGAAAGGATGCCCTGGAGCTGATTTCAGGATTCTATCATGGTCACAAGATGTCTGCTTGTCTATGTGTTTGGTGCATTGAAGGGTGAGTTTTTACGGGTATACACTCTGTATTTGAAAAGTATAAAATATAATAAAAGAAAGCCACCCATGGTCCATTGATAAATATGGATTTGGTATTACATTGCATTACATTGATTAGTCCCTGTATGAGACTTTAAGGGTGATTAATCAATGAAATATATTGATGTAGTAAATGATTCTATGGACAGATGTGGGACCATTCAAGGCCTATATTTTAGGTGTTTTTTTTTTGCTTCATAGGTATTTATTTTATTACTATCAGATAAATTGATGAATTAATAAAGGTAGATGAGAGTGAGGAAAAAAAGGCCAAGGGTGGACCAATGATGATGGCTGGTGTCGTATGAATCATGGTTGATGAATAGGTCTGGAACTCTGAGGTCCAACATAAAAAAAATCTAGTTTATTGCCTCTGTTGGAAATGATCCTATAGACAGATTTAGAATTTCACAGGGATCTTGTTCTGGGGTCTTTGTGTTCATGAATTTTGATTCTATTACAATAAGTGAATCAATAAAAGAAAAAATGTAGTAAGGCAAGAGTGAGAGAGAAATAGTTCATGGGTATTACCTCTACATAAGAATGTTGTTATAGATAATATAAACAATGGCCAGTATTCTTGTTCTGGATTAGTGGAGAGTTCAATGTTTGTTTTTCTTAAGAAAAAGTAAAATGCATATTACCCTGAATTAATATTACTGTGTAATGAAATGTAGTGAAAGGATCAATAGAGAATATGTCTCATTAATGTTATTATCTATTCTGCTTTTTACTTTTTAGAATGCACACACCCAAGGTGGTTTAAGTAGTATGCCTTGGCCAGTGATCTCTACATTTGCCTGTAGGAACATGGAACCAACGTGAGTAATAGTCAATGTTTTCACCTCACTTTGGGTGATTTCTTTAGGGGATTCTATTTAATATTTAAAAACAAGTATTCAGTGAAACAGAAAAGGCCAACCATGATCCAGTCATGAAATTGGAAATGTATGAAACATGATGTTGATTAATCTACCTTTACAACATTGAGGATGATTAATGGGAGGTATTTCAATGAGGCAATGATCCTAAAGAAAAATGATAGGGATACTGAAGGCCCTTGTCCTTGGGCTTTTGTGATTCATAGGTATTTATTTAATTACCATAGTGAGTTGATGAATTGATCCTTAAAAAATGTATATGAGAATAAAGAAAAGGAGGCCTGTGCATGGACCAATGATGACAGCTGGTGGCGTATGAGTCATATACGATGAATGCTACGTGTCTGGAAGTCTGAGGTCCAACACAATGATCCTGTGGATCAATGTTAGGATTATACAAGAATATTGTTCTAGTAATCATGGATTCATGAATTTCTTTCTTTTTTTTTTTTAAAAGATTTTATTTATTTATTTGACAGACAGAGACATAGTGAGCGAGGGAACACAAGCAGGGGGAGTGGGAGAGGGAGAAGCAGACTTCCCACAGAGCAGGCAGCCCGATGCGGGGCTCGATCCCAGGACCCCGGGATCATGACCTGAGCTGAAGGCAGACACTTAACGACTGAGCCACCCAGGCACCCCAGATTCATGAATTTCTATGTTATTTATATATATGAATGGATCACTGATAGGGCCAATAAATAAATATATAATTAAATAAAACCATGGAAGAAGCCTTGCCAACTATGAATATATATATATGTGGTGAGGCAAGAACTATTAATATAAACTAAAGAAACCAATGCAGGTTAAGAGATAAATGGACCAAGAGTGTTCCCTATTTTTCTAAGGAACATAACATTACATTTATATTTATGCTTACATATGTGTATAAATTATGAAAAATAATAAGGACCTTTATGATTGGGTAAATGAAATGAGGAAAACAAGGACCATTTTAGAGAAGGCCTCAATTTTTTTTTTAATCACCAGCTCTGCTCTGTACTCCTCAGAATGGGTGATGACTTCAGTGCATTGAAGCATCTTCCATGGTCCTGAGCTCTGTGGTTGCCTCTTGGTGTAACGAGCACAGAGACCAATGTGAGTAATAGTTTCATGTCTGCATTGGAGAATTTATTTTCAGTATTCACTATATTATTAAAAGTGTGAAATATAATAAGAAATGCCAACCATCAGGAATGATAAATACGGGATTGGTCTGCTGCATTGTATGTATTAATCCATATATGGAACTTTGAATAATTAATTAATGAAAGAGATATATCAATGTGGCAGATAATCCTATAGGCAGATATAGAATATTCACGGTTCTTATTCGGGTTTTTGTGAACCATAGAATTTTAGGAATTAATATTAGTGAATTCATGTATTGGTCAGTGAACTTATACAGATGAGAATGAAGAGAAAAGAGGTCCAGATTTGGACAAATGATGACAGTTGGTGGCGTATGAGTCACAGATGATGAATATTACATGTCTGAAACTCTGAGGTTCAATAAAAAAAGAAAGCAAATCTATTGTGTCTGTTTGACATGATATTATAGACAAATATTAGGAAAATAAAAGAATAATTCTCTTGTTTTGTGTTTAGGAGTTTTGATTTTAATGTAAAAAATGGCCTAAAGACATAATCAGTGTACAAGTACAAATAAGATAGAGTGAAATATGTTTGCTTTTAGTTTATGTGGTGAGGTGATAAAAGCTATTAACATATATTGAAAATGCTGCAGTTCATTAAGAAATGTAAATGGTTCACATGTCTTACTCTTTGGCTGAGAATGATACATAGACAATAACAGCCAAAGTTCTTATTTTATGTTAGTGTTAGGTTTGCTATTGTTTGTTTTATTTTGAGAAAAATAATAAATATGATCCCAATTCACTGTATTCCCAAATGACTAACTGAAGATGGAATGTATGAATCAATAATCTCTCAGTCTGTTATTGTCTGTTCTGCTTTGTATTCCTCAGAATGGATAAATTTGAACTTACATAGTCATTTGGCCGTGATCAGGTGCTCATGGATGCTCCTGTGTGTAAGAGCATGGAGAACAATGTGAGTGACAGTCAGATTCTTCTGGTTTAGAATTTTTGTATAGGATATTCAGTATCATATTAGAAATTCAAGGAATTCTAAACATAGCTCAATGGTAAATATGGTGTTGACAGGAAACATTATGATAACTAATCAATATGTTCCCAATGAGCATCATTAGGCAAATAAGTATATTCAGTGAGGCAAAAGATTCTATAGACAGTTGTTAGGGATACTTAAAGATCTTGTCCTTGAGTTTTGTGATTCACAGATACTTATTCTATTATATCAGTGACTTGATAAATTGACAATAAGCAAATGTAAACGAGAATGAAGAAAAGGAGATCTGAGTGTGGACCAATGATGACAGCTGGTGGCGTATGAGTCATATACAATGAATGCTATGTGTCTGGAAGTCTGAGGTCCATCCAACACAAAGATACCTAGTCTAGTCCCTCTGTTCAAAGTGTTCCTATAGACAGAGGTCAGGAATATACAAGGAACTTGTTCTTATTCTTTGTGATAATGAATTTTTAGAAATATTATAAAAGTATCAATGGCAAAATAAATGTATAAATGAATAAAGATGAAGAGGGTTAAGTATTGTTCATAATTAAAATACGTAGTAAGGAGAAATAATATGTTAGAATGGATAATAAATGGATCAAGTGCATTTTACCTTTTTGACTAAGGATGATATAGACAGTGATCAGTAATAGTTAATTATTGAGTCATGGGAATAAAAGGGTACAAATTAAGGAATATAGTCAATGATATTGTAATAGCATATTGAGCATAGCATAATGTATAGCGAAGTTGGATCATGTGTTGTGCACCTGAAACTAATGTAGCATTGTGTGTCAACTATACTCACAAATTTTGAAAAAATTTTTAGATGTAAATTCAATTTAATTAATGTATAGTGTATTATTAGTTTCAGAGGTAGAATTTAGTGATTCATCAGTTGCACATAACAACATGTGCTTATTACTTCAAGTGCCCTCAATGCCCATCACCCAGTTACCCCATCACCCCACCCAACTACCCTTCAGCAACCCTCAGCTTGTTTCCTGTAAAGAGTCTCTTATGGTTTATCTCCCTCTCTGTTTTCACCTTATTTTCTTTTTCCTTTGCCTATGTTCATCTGTTTTTTTCTTAAATTCCACATATGAGTGAAATCATATGGTACATGTTTTTCTCTGACTGACTTATTTTGTTTAGCATAATACCCTCTAGTTCCATCCACACTGTTGCAAACGGCAGGATTTCATTCTTTTTGATGGCTGAGTGATATTCCATTGTGTGTGTATATATATATATATATATACATACACCACATCTTCTTTATCCATTCATCTGTTGATGGACATCTTGGCTCTTTCCACAGTTTGGCTACTGTCGACGTTGCTGCTATAAACATTGGGGTGCATGTGCCCCTTCTAATCACTATGTATCCTTTGCATAAATAATACGAGTAGTGGCAATTGCTAAGTCATAGGGTAGTTCTATTTTTTAAAAAATTTAAATTCAATTAATTAGCATATAGTGTATTACTAGTTTCAGAGGTAGAGTTCAGTGATTCATCAGTCTTTTTTTTTTTTAAAGATTTTATTTATTTATTTGACAGAGAGAGAGAGACAGTGAGAGAGGAACACAAACAGGGGGAGTGGGAGAGGGAGAAGAAGGCTTCCCACCAAGCAGGGAGCCCCATGTGGGGCTCCATCCCAGGACCCTAGGATCACTACCTCAGCCGAAGGCAGACGCTTAATGACTGAATCACCCAAGCACCCCCCCTTTTTAAAATAAGATTTTATTTATTTATTTGATACAGAGAAAGAGACAGTGAGAGAGGACTATCAGTCTTATATAAATATAATACCCAGTGCTCATTACATCATGTGCCCTTCTTAATGTTCATCACCCAGTTACCCCATCCCCTCACTCCCTTCCCTCAAGCAGGCCTCAGTTTGTTTCCTAGAGTTAAGAGTCTCTTATGGTTTGTCTCTCTCTCTGATTTTGTCTTGTTTTATTCTTTCCCTCCTTTGCCCTATGATCCTCTGCTTTGTTTCTTAAATTCCACATATGAGTGAAATCGTGATAATTGTCTTTCTCTGATTGACTATTTCGCTTAGCATAACACCCTCTAATTCCATCCACATCCTTGCAAATGCCGAGATTTATTTTTTGATGGCTGAGTATTATTCCATTGTATATATACACCCATCTTCTTTATCCATTCATCTGTCGATGGACATCTGAGCTCTTTCCATAGTTTGGCTATTGTGGACATTGCTGCTATAAACACTGGGATGCAGGTGCCCCTTCGAATCACTACGTTTGTATCCTTTGGATAAATACCCAGTAGTGCAATTGCTGGGTTGTAGGGTAGCTCTATTTTTAACTTTTTGAAGAACCTCCATACTGTTTTCCAGACTGGCTGCAAAGGAATGAAGTAGTCATCTGTGCTGCGATGCAGATGTGCCTTGAAAACATTGTGCTAAGTGAAAGAAGGCAGACAGAAAAGGTCACATCATGCCTGACTCCATTTATACAAAATATCCAATGTAGATAAATCCACAGAGAGAGAATAAAGATTGGTAGTTGCCCGGGGCTGGAGGCAGGAGGAGTAGGGAAAGACTGCTTAATGAGTATGGGATTTTATTGTGGAGTGATGAAAGTGGTTTGAAACTACATAGAAATAGTAGTTTCACAATATTGTGAAAATATTGAATGTTACTAATTTGTTAACTTTAAATGACTTATTTTATCTCAAAAAATGAGAGATCTTTATTTTAAAAACTCAATTATTACACTGAGAAACTTGAAAGTTTGATGTTTATTTTATGACGGGCAAATAAATATTACTATACATTAGTAAATACCTTAATGTCTACATATACGAAGGGTGGAAAGTTTGGATCAATGGAGAGAATGTCTTAATCTTTTTATCACCTTTTCTAATTGGTACTCTTCAGAATGGAACTCCAAGCTGATTGGCCATGGTCAAGATTGTCTTGTTGCTTCTGTGTTGGAAAGAGACCAAGGTGAGTAATGGTCAAAGTTGTCATCTTAGATTGGGTCATTTGTTTAAAGGTATTCATTGAATTATTAAAAAGTATGAAACATAATTTTCAGAAGCTAACTATGTCCCAGTGAGAAATATTGTATCAGCCATGGTGTTGATTAACCAATAATGGCAATATAGAGGTCGATTACTGAAACAGAATCAGTCTCTGTGGGAAATGATTCTATAAAGGGATTTTAGAGATCTGAAAGGATCTTCTTGGATTTTGTGAATCATGTATTTATTTTATTACTATTAATGGGTTAATGATTTATTTGATAAGTGTAGAAATGAATGAAGAAAAAGAGACCCAAACTTGAACCTTTGGTGGCAACTGGTAGCATATGTGTCTGGATGGTGAATAATATGTGCCTGGGATTCTGAGGTCCAACACGAGATGGCATTAGTCAGATCCGTCTTGTGGACATGCTATTTTAGACAGATACTGGGAATATATAAGGGTCATCCTTTTGCCTTGGTTTTATCGATTTAGATTTAGTATTATAAATGGCTCAATGATAACACTATTAATGAACTATACAAAAATAAAAAAAAAGAGTGAAGCGTTGTCCAGCTGTGAATATATGTGGTGAGGCAAGAATTATTATTACTAAAAATTGAAAATACTGATGCCCCTTAAGAAATAAATGGATCAAGAGCATCACCTCTTTCACTAAGGATCATAAAAACTCCTAAGTATGAGTCAACTGTAGTTTTTAGGTCAGTCTTAAATTTGAGGTGGTTCCTTTTGTTAAGAGAATGAAAATTAATAAATTCCTAAATGATAGAATGAATGCAATGTGGAAAAGAAAGGTCAATTCAGATGAGGTTTCTGATTTTCTTTTATATAACATGCTTTGCTTTCTATTCCCCCAGGACATCCTCAAGCTGGTTGAAGATTTCTTTCTTGGTCACAAGCTCTCTGGTTGCATCTGTGTTTCAGGTGTACAGAGACCAATGTGAGTAATAAATCTCATGTTTTCATTTGACAGGTTGTAAAAAAAAAAAGGGGTGTTTACTGTGTTATTAATAGTGTGAATATAATTCGAAAGGCTGATCATGGCCAGTGATAAATACTGGAGTATTACCAAGTGTTACATTTATTAATGCATTTATGATACATTAAGAATGATTAATGAAAAAGATTATATCAATGTGATAAATGATTCTAGGGACAGATGTAGAATATTCAATGTTCTTATTCATTTTTTTGTGAATCATTGGGTTTTTAAAATTAATATTAGTGAATTAAGGAATTAAATAATATACAGAAAATGAAGAAAAAGGGGCTGAAATATGGACCAATGATGATGGCTGGTGGCGTAGGAGTCATGGACGATGAATACTACGTGTCTGGAACTCTGAGGTCCAGTGCAAAAGGAAATATAATCTATTACTGTCTCAAATTATTATGTAGACTGATTTTAGAACTGTAAAGGGACCATTTTCTTTCATTGTTTTCTTGAATTTTGATTCTTTTATTATCAGTGGATCAATTTAAGAATCAATGTACAAATACTGAAAAGTAAAAATTAAGGGCATGAAGCATATGCACTCTCAATGTACATGGTGAAGCAATAAAAACCATTCAAAGATATTTTATATACTGAATTTCATTAAGAAAAATAAATGGTTCGTGTGCCTTACCTCTTTAGTGCTCAGTAATAGAGAAGTTCTTATTCTGGATCAGTAGCAAGTATGATATTAATGCATTTTTTAAATAGAAAATTAATAAGCATGATTGCAAGTTAATGTATTTTCAAATGATTGACTCCGTGTAAAGTAGAATGTGCGGAAGACGGGAGATCACATTTCAGTCTTATTCTCATCTACTTTGCTTCGTGCTTCTCAGAAAGAAGACACCTGACCTGGTGTAAGCATCCCCCATGTTCAGGCGCTCCAGGCTAGCCTCTCTGTGTGGGAGCGTGAAGCCAAACGTGCGTAGTAATCAAAGTTCTTGTCTTGGTTTGGAGGGTTTGTTTCGGGTGTCACTGTAATTATTTAAAAAGTATTTAATAGAAGAAAAAGGACCAACCATTGTCCAATGACTAAGTTGGAACTGTATGAAACATTATGTTGACCAACCTACCTTTACCACAAGGAGGGTGGTTAATGAAGAACTTTGTTTAATTAGGCAATGATTCTAAAGAAAAATGATAGAAATACTGAAGGCTTTTGTCCTTGCATTTTTGCGATTCATAAATATTTATTTAATTACTGTTAGTAGATTGGTGAATTAATGGATGAGGATAAAGGAAAGAGGGCCAATCCTGGACCAATGATGACAGCTGGTGGCGTATGAGTCCTATACGATGAATGCTACGTGTCTGGAAGTCTGAGGTCCAGCACAACGATCTTGTGGATCGATGTGAGGAATATACAAGGATAATGTTGTCATTTTTGATTTAGGGATTCCTATATTAATAACATACATGGAACAATGATAGAACCATTAAACATGTATAAATAAATAAAAAAAGGATGAAGCCTTATCAACTATGAATATATTTGATGAGGCAAGAAATCCTTTATGTAACCTAAAGAAACTGATGCAGGTTGCAAAATTAATGAACCAAAGGTGTTATCTCCTTTTGTAAGGATCATGTAGACACTGACACAGATAAGCAACATCGAATTTTGTAAGCCTGGGTCATTCTTAATTTGAGGATGTTAATTTTGTAATATACCTGTTTATATTTTCGTATGTATACATGTTGTGAAAAATTAATTAGCACCGGATAGCTGGAAAAATGAAATGATGAAAACAAGGACTAATATGGAAGAAGTTTCAATTTTTAATTATCTGCTCTGTGTTAACATTCCTCAGAATCAACACACTCCAGCTGATGCAAGCATTTTCCATGGTCAAAAGGTCTGTGATTTCCTGCATGCTCTGAGCATAGAGATGAATGTGAGTAAAAGTTAAAGCTCTTGTATTTGCTTAAAAGTTTTTAAAATAAGGTATCCACTGTAGGGGCGCCTGGGTGGCTCAGTCGTTAAGTGTCTGCCTTCAGCTAAGGTCATGATCCCGGGGTCCTGGGATCGAGCCCCACATCGGGCTCCCTGCTCTCCGGGAAGCCTGCTTCTCCCTCTCCCACTCCGCCTGCTTGTGTTCCCTCTCTCGCTGTGTCTCTCTCTGTCAAATAAATAAATAAAATCTTTAAAAATAAAAAAGGTATCCACTGTATTATTTAATGTGTGAAATACAATTTAAAACCATCAATATGGGAACCTTTAAATATGGGATATAACATTTGCTAACGCATATGTGAGGTGTGGATGATCACCAGAGTAAGACATGTAACAATGTGGCAGATGATCCTATAGGCAGAGGTAGAATATTCATTGCTCTTATCATTGGATTTTTGTGAATCACAGGGTTTTAATATTTTACATTAGTCAATTAAGGAATTAATGAAGTAATGTACAAGAGAATGAAGAAAAAGAGGCCTGGATTTGGACGAGTGATGACAGTTGGTGGCGTATGAATTATGGATGATGAATATTATGTGTCTGAAACTCTGAGGTCCAATAAAAAAAAATATATAGTCTATTGCTTTTCTTTGAAGTGATCCTATGGACAGATGTTAGGGAAAGAAAAAGGACCATTTTCCTGGTTCATTTTCATGAATTTTGATTCTACTGTAACAAATGGCTCAAAGAAGAATTAATATGCAAGTATAATAAGAGGGTGAAGCATGTCTACTCCTAATAAAATTATGAACGTTTATTGAAAATACTGGAGTTTATTAAGAAATGTAAATGGTTCAAGTGTTTTATCTCTTTGGCTAAGGAGGATACAGACAATAAATAGCAGCCAAAATTCTTATTCTTGGTCAGTGTCAAGTTTGATATTGTTTGTTCAGAGAAAATTAATAAATACAACCCCACCATGCTATTTTCCTAAGTGACAGACAATATGAAGGTAAAATCATTGCACCAATAGAGTGTCTCTCCATCCTGTTATCATCTGCTCTGCTCTGTACTCCTCAGAATGGACTCACTCCAGTAGTTGTTTTTTTTTTGTTTTGTTTTTTTAAAGATTTTATTTATTTATTTGATAGAGAGAGACACAGCGAGAGAGGGAACATAAGCAGGGGGAGTGGGAGAGGGAGAAGCAGGCTTCCCGCTGAGCAGGGAGCCCGATGCGGGGCTTGATCCGAGGACCCTGAGATCATGCCCTGAGCCAAAGGTAGATGCTTAACGACTGAGCCACCCAGGTGCCCCTCACTCCAGCAGTTGTAAATACTTCCATGATTATGTGCTCTCTGGTTGCATCTGTGAATTTGGAGCATAGAGACCAATGTGAGTAGTTGTCAAAGTTTTCGTCTTCTTCTTCTTGTGTGTGTGTTTTTTTAAAGGTATTCACTATATCATTAAGAAGTATGAAATATAATCAAGTAAGGGCAACTGTAGCCCAGTGACAAATACGGATTTGATTATATTGATTAATAGGGGTTGATTATATTGATTAATGCATTTATGTAAAACATTATAATTAATGAGAGTGATACACTGATGTGAGAATGATCCTAGGGAGAGATTAGAGATATCAAGTCTCTTCTTGCATTTTAGTGAATAATAGCACCTTAAAATTATTATTAGTGAATTAATGAATTAGTCAATAAACAATGTAACACTGAATAGAGAAAAAGAGAGACGATATTGGATCGATGATGACCACTGGTGGCGTATGAGTCGTATACGATGAATACGTGTCTGGAACTCTGAGGTCCAACAGAAATGCACTCTAGTCCACTTCCCTGTGTGAAGTGATCCTATAGACAGATATCATGAATTTAGAAGGATCCTGTTTTGGGTTCATGTTCATGCATTCTCTATTTTTGTAATGGGATCAATGAGTTGATCAACAAACAATATATAAGTAAAGATCAAGGTCATAAAGCATTGTCCAGTTATAAAAATATGTATTGAGACAAGAAATACTATTAATGTGTATGGAAAACACACTCCTGTCCATTCGGAAATAAATGATACACACAAAGGTGTTGCCTCTTTGGCGAAGGACTGTGTAGGCAGTGTTAAATAGTAATAGGCAATGTTCATACTCTATGTCGGTGGCGAGGTCATTATTGTTCATTTATTAGGAGACATTAAATAAACAGTTCCCCCAATTGCAAATTGTCTAAGTGACTGACTAGATGAGAGGTGGGGTGCAAGGACCAGTGGAGATAAGGTCTAAAGCTTTTTGTTTTCATCTGCTCTGCTCTGTACCCCGCAGAATGGACGCACTCATGGTGATTTAAACATTCTTCCGTGACCACAAGTTCTATGGCTGTGTCTATGTGTTGGAGAATGGAGATGAACGTGAGTAATAGTCAGTGTTTTTGTCTCAGTTTGGGTGGTTTGTTTAAGGGTATTTACTATATTGTTAAAAAATGTGAAATGCCAACCATGGCCCCCAAATGCAACTAATATGAAGCATCGTGTTTATTAATCCATATACCAAACACTGAGGTCTGTTAATGAAAGAAATGAATTGCTTGTGGGAATGATTCTATGGACAGATGTTACACATTAGTCCCTGCCAACCAGGCACTAATGATGAAGTAAGAGGTTAAAATGAGCATGTTGGCTAATCCATACATTCAACACCTCGGTCAGCTAACAAAGAAGATCTAGACTATTAGCCCTGTAGAAATGATTTTAGGTACAGATGTTAGGGATATTAAAGTCACTTTTCAAAACCTCGTGGGCATTTTTTATTATTGGTGAATTAATGAATTAATCTCTAAACAAAATTATGGTTCAATGAAGAAAAAGAGGGCAAAATCTGGACCAATCCCGAGGACCAGTAGCATAAGAGGCAAGGATGAATAAGGTTTATCTACAACTTTGTGATCCAACGTAAAAAGAAATCTAGTCTATTGATTCTGTTACAAATGGTCCTGTAAGCAGTTGTTAGAGCTATCCCAGAATTTTATTCTTGGGCTTTTGAGTTTCACAAATATTGATTGCTTATTAAAAATTAAGCAATGCAATAATAAGTAAAAAAAGTATGCATAAATGAAGGAAAAATAGGGCCAAACGTGCAATAACTATAGCATATGTAATGAAATTAACATCATTACGAATTCATTTCTAAGAATCAGAAGTCCATTAAAAATATATTAAGGCATTTATACCTCATCAGAAGGGACATAGGGACAGATGCATGTAGTTGTTGATATTCATATTCTGTGCTGTCTCTGGGTTGCAGGTGTTTTTGTTTTTGTTTTTTTCATTTGAGAAATAGGGAAAAAGTTTATATAATATAATCAACTAACTATATTAAAGGGGGTCAAGCATGAACCAGTGACAAAATTGAGTCCCATACCAAATTATGACCAATCCAGTTGGCTTCACTGTGGTCGATTGGTAATCATTCCACGATGTATATGTCAATCAAATGTCACGTTGTACCCTTTAAATATATGCAACTATATTTATCAATAATTTCTCAGTAACGTTGGACAAGAAGTATATAGTCCTTTGTCATTTTTGATAGTGATAAAAACTGGACACAGTTTTTATTAATTCCTGTTATAATCTTGAGTTTGCATAGAACGGTGCACATTTATCATTATAAATTAATAAATAAGTTAATAAGTGAATACATTATATATGTATATATATATACATATATATAATCCATGGCCAGGGATTAGAATGTGGTGATGCATGATCCAGCAGTCCTACTCATGTTTTATCCCTCCTAAGACAAAAATCTCAGCTCTCTCCAGTTGGAGTCAGGAGAACCACACAGATATATACACAGTAGCATTTCTATTCTGGGTTTCTGGGAAGTTAGACATTTTTTATGTTATTTAACCGTTTTCATTTTTTTTAAAAAGTGACTAGTTTGTCACTTTTTTTACGAATTAAAGAGTGAACGAATGAATATTAAAGCTATTGATAAATATTTACATGTATAAATCAAATCAAAGAAAACCAAAGATGGGTCTATGATGGAGCTATGTGGCAAGGTTTATGAAGTAAACCAATTTCAGTACGATTTTTTTTAAAGGTTTTAGGATTTTCCATTCACTTTCTTAAGTATCTAATTTTCCATCTTAGGTTGGCACCACAGTTTATAAACATTCTTCTGTGGAAAAGAACTAAGTGTTAAATCAATGAAACAACTCATAGAAAGTTGTAAGGTACAGTCTTTGGATGGGCAGTAGATAGTGGGCTCATGATTGTATTTATATCTTTAAAGAATGTACAAGTTAATGAAAAAGTATGGAGGTTCCTCAAAAGATTAAAAATAGAACTACCCTATGATCCAGCAATTGTTCTACTAGGTATTTACCCAAAGGTTACAGAAATGCTGATTCAAAGAGGCACATGCACCCCGATGTTCATAGCAACATTATCAACAATAGCCAAAATATGGCAAGAGAACAAATGTCCATCGACTGATGTATGGATAAAGAAGTTGTGGTATATATACACAATGGAATAAAAAAGCCATAAAAAAGAATGAAATCTTGCCATTTGCAATGACATGGATAGAGCTAGAGAGTATTATGCAAAGTGAAATAAGTCAATCAGAGAAAGACAAATACCATATGATTTCACGCATATTGGAATTTAGGAAATGGAACAGATGAACATGGGGGAAAAAAGGAGAGAGGCAAACCATAAAACAGACTCTTAACTCTGTAGGACAAACTGAAGGTTGTTAGGGGAGAGGTGGGTGGGTGGGGATGGGCGAAATGGGGGATGGGTATTAAGGAAGGCCCTTGTGATGAGCACTGGGTGTTATATGTAAGTGGTGAATCAGTAAATTCTACTCCTGAAACTAATATTGCACTTTATGTTAACTAACTGGAATTTAAATAAAAACTTGAAAAAAAAGAGCCAAGCAAGGACCCATGATGTGAATGGAATGCATTCTGAATGTGTCTTGTGATTAATTCATTTCTTCATTACTGAAGTTCATTTCAAAAGGAAATATGGGGGGCGCCTGGGTGGCTCAGTTGGTTAAGCGACTGCCTTTGGCTCAGGTCATGATCTCAGGGTCCTGGGATCGAGCCCCGCATCGGGCTCCCTGCTCGGCGGGGAGCCTGCTTCTCCCTCTCCCACTCCCCCTGCTTGTGTTCCGTCTCTCGCTGTCTCTCTCTCTGTCAAATAAATAAATAAAATCTTTAAAAAAAAAAAAGGAAATTTGGTATATTACATCTGTGGGAATAAGGCGATAGCTAGACTTGAGTAATGTGCAAGAATCTAATTATGTTGTTAAATGGCTCCTGGGAATTTAGTACATTGTTCTAAGGGAATAAATTAAAAAATCAGTAGATGATAAATAAGTAGATAGATGATAGATAAGTAGGTAGAGGGATAAATAGATAGATAAATGATGGTAGGTAGATAAAGAAAGTAATTAATGCTGGATTAATTAGGAGAAAATGTTGTGAGGCTGAAAGTTTTGTTTATACAATTGGGAAACCTTGCCATGTATTAAGAGTTCAGTAGGTTAAAAGTGTTAGCTCTCTGGGTTAGGTGGCTATAGGGCAGTGGTTCTCAAACTTGAGTGAGCCCCACAATCGCCTGAAGGCTGGTTAAACTGTAGATTGCTGGCCCCACCCTCAGCATTTCTTTGATTATATTTAATACTTTTTAAAAAGTTTTTATTTCAATTCCAGTCAGTTAGCATACAGTGTAATATTAGTTTCAGGTGTACAGCTTAGTGATTCAACACTTGCATATAACACCCAGTGCTCATCACAAGTGCGCTCCTTCATCCCCATCACCTGTTTACCCGATCTTCCTGCCCACCTCCACTACTTGCGATGATTTTAAAAATCGATCAAGTCCATGTCACTCATTTTTATAGCTCTGTAAATTTCTATTTCAGTTTTCCCCTAGACATTCCTTAACTGATAAAGATGTAAACTACCTTTATTATGAGGCAGAAGCACATAGGAGATGTTAAGTTGTAGTCAGTGTTTTAGTTCTGATGCAAGTGGTGACTATATATAAAAAGAATATGCAAATTATCTGAAAAAGGGCAAACTGTGGACCAGTGATGTGAACGGAATGCATCCTGAACTATATTTTATGATCACAATATCTATGACCTATTGAGGTCCATTACAAAGAGGGATTTAAGTGTTTATATCTGTGGGACTGAGCCTATAGATTTCAGTTATATTCAAGGATCATGTTCTTAGCCTTTGGTGCCTCATGGATTTTGATTTTATTATCATAATTAATAAATGAGAGAAACAAATAGGTCAGTTCATAAGGAGAAAAGGGTGTAGCATATTCAGCTATGAAAATATGTGGTGAGGCAAGAATTACTATTAATATAACTTGGAACAAGTAGAATTCATTAATAAATGGATCAGGGGTTACATTTTGGGTTAAGGATGATACAGATTGTGATATGTAATAGTATGTGTGCTTGGTTTTTTTTGGTTTTATTTAAATTCAAGTTAGTTAACATATAGTGTATTATTAATTTTGTGGTAGAATTTAGTGATTCATCTGTTACATATAACATCCAGTGCTCATTACATCAAAGTGCCCTCCTTAATGTCCATCACCCAATTACTCCACCCCCCTACCCAACTCCCCTCCAGCAACCCTCAGTTTATTCTCCATAGTTAAGAGAGATGGCGTACGAGTCATGGACAATGGAAAATAAATATCTAAAACTCTGAGATCCAACACAATACATAATAGTCGAATCGCTCTTTTAGAAATGATCTTATGGGCAGATGTCAGAAATACATAAAGGTCATATTCTCTTTGTGGCTTTATAGATTTAAATTTATTATCATCAATGGATCAGTGTTAGAACGATTTAAGAAATATAAATAAATAAAGAGAAAATGAAGCACTGTCCAGTTATGAACATATGTTGTGAGGCAGGACATATTATTATTATTATTATTTTTTAAGATTTTATTTATTTATTTGACAGAGAGAGACACAGCGAGAGAGGGACACAAGCAGGGGGAGTGGAAGAGGGAGAAGCAGGCTTCCCGCTGAGCAGGGAGCCCGATGTGGGGCTCGATTCCAGGAGCCCGGGATCATGACTTGAGCTGAACGCAGACGTTTAAAAACTGAGCCACCCAGGCACCCCAAGGCAGGACATATTATTAATAAAAATTAAAAACACCAATACCCATTAAGAAATAAATGGATCAAGGGTGTTCCTTTTTCGCTAAAAATTACGTAGACACAGGTAATTAAAAATCAATTATTTTTAAATTCTGAATCAGTTCCAAGTTCAAGCTTCTTTCCTTTGTTAGTAGGAAAGGAAAATAATGAAAAATTAACACACATGTAAAACATTGAGTAAATGTCATGTGGAAAGGAAGGGTAAATGTAGATAAGGTCTTCATTTTCTTTATCCACTGCTCTGCCCTGTACTTCTCAGAATGGACGCACTTGGGCTGATGTAAGCATCTTCCATGGTCATGAGCTCCGTGCCTGCATTTTTGCATTAGGAGCGTAGAGACCAACGTGAGTAATAGTCAAAGTTCTTGTGTTGGGTTGGGTGGTTTGCTTAAGAATATTCACAGAATCATTAGTGTGAATTAATAAACAACTTAGAAGTGAACAAAGAGAAAGAGGACCAATCCTGGACCGGTGATGATGACTGGTGGCGTATGAGTCATGGATGATGATGGATAACATGTGTCTGAAACTCTGAGGTCCAACGAAACACGACGGTGCATTCTCTTTGTTTGGAAGGATGCTATGGGCAGAAGTCAGGAATATACAGAGATCTTGTTTTTGGTCTCTGTGTTTGTTCATGGATTTTCATCTGGAATTATAATTGGAGCATTGAAATAGTCACTAAACGAATATATATAAATATAAATAAATAAAGAGAAAAAATAAGGAGGAATATGGGAAAGTATGCTCTAATTATAAAAATATGTGGTAAGGCAAGAAATGGTATTAATAAATTTGAAAACAGTGTGGAGTCCAAAGACGAATAAATGGTTACATGACTTAAATCTTTGGCTGAGAATGATATAGACAAAATAAATAATAATCGATGTTCATTTTCTGGGTTGGGGAAAAGGTCTAAGTTCATTTTCTTAAGAGAAAATGAAATAAATATCGTATACTTCTAATTAATGATTGCCTAAATCACTGAAAAGTGAAATGCAGAAGCAAGGATCAATGAAGATGAGGTCGCAATTTGTTATCATCCTCTCTGCTCTCTACTCCTCAGAACGGGCGCCCTCAAGCTCATTAAAGCTCCTTCACGTGGCAGAGCTCTGTGGCTGCATCTGTGTCTTAGGAGCATAGAGAACAATGTGAGTAATGGTCAATGTTCTTATCTTGGATGGAATGTTTTGTTTTGTTTTGTTTTAATTACTCTATTATTAAAAATTATTTGATATAATCAAGAAGCCCAAACATACCAATATCAAATATGATGTTAATCCATATGTGAAACACTGAGTTCAGTTAATAATGAAAGAGTTTGTCCTCAGTGGTTTTATTTAAATTCAAGTTAGTTAACATATAGTGTATTATTAATTTTGTGGTAGAATTTAGTGATTCATCTGTTACATATAACACTCAGTGCTCATTACATCAAAGTGCTCATATTCTTATTTTGGGTTTATATACTTAGATATATTATTATGAATGAATCAGTAATCAAAGCATTAAAAATGTAAAAAAACAGATAAATAGGGTGAAGCATTATCCAGCCAGTAATATATGTTGAGATGTATAAGAAATGAACAAAAATGCTCATTAAGAAACAAATAGAATAAGCATGTTTGCCTTTTGCTTAAGAATTGTATAGGCACTGATAATTAAGAGCCTTTATTATTGTTATGATTGTATGAATAGATGTAAGGGATATTCAAGGATTTTGTGATTTTGTTTGGTGACTTATGTTAATTTCTATATTAGGCAATTAATCAATAACCAGATGCAGATGACAATAGAAAAAAGAGCCAGTCCTGGACCAATGATGGCAACTGATGGCATAGGAGTCATGTGTAGTGAATACTGTGTGTCTGGAACTATGAGATCCAGCACAAAACAAATCCATTCCATGTTGTTGAAATGGTCCTATACAGATGTCAGGATATACAAGGTCTTCTTTTGGGTCTTGGTTTTTATTAATTTTAATTCTACAAATATAATGAGATCAGTCAAAATAGCAATAAACATGTTACAAAAAAATGATGGGAGTAAATCATTGTCCAATTATAAAAATATGTGGTGAGGTACAAAGTTCAATTAATATATGTTGCAAACACTGACAATTAATGAAAACAAATGATATAAGCACGTTGCCCCTTTTGCTGAGTATGACATAGGCAGTAATGAGTAGTAGTCAATGTTTATATTCTTTGTCAGTGGCCATATTGATGTGATTTGGTCCCTTAAGAGAAAATAAAATAGACATGATCACAACTTACTAATTGCCTACTGACTGAATAAATAAAGATGGAATTAAGGGCCATTGGAGAGAATGTCTCAATCCTTTTGTTTTTGTTGTTGTTCTGCCCTTCTGTACTCCTCAGAATGGATGTGTTCCAGTTGCTTTAAAATCTTCCATGGTCAGGAGCTCTATGGATTTAGGAGCATTGAGACAAGTGTGAGTAATAGTCAATGTTCTTCTTGGCTAGACTATTGTTTTATTTTTATTTACTTATTTTATTTAAGTTCAATTAGCCAGTTACAGTACATCATTAGTTTTTTTTTTTTAAGATTTTATTTATTTATTCATGAGAGACAGAGAGAGAGAGAGAGAGAGAGGCAGAGGGAGAAGCAGGCTCCCAAGGAGCAGGGAGCCCGATGTGGGACTCGATCCCAGGACCCTGGGATCATGACCTGAGCCGAAGGCAGACGCTTAACCATCTGAGCCACCCAGGCGCCCACATCATTAGTTTTTGATATAATGTTCAATGATTCACTAGTTGAGTATAACACCCAGTGCTGTTGTTTTGAAAAACATTTTCATTGTATTATTAAAAATTTATATTATATAATCATATAAAAATGAATGAAATTTTGCCATTGGGAATGACATGGATGGAGCTAGAGAGTATTATGCTAAGTGAAATAAGTCAGAGAAAGACAAATACCATATGATTTCACTCATATGTGGAATTTAAGAAACAAAACAAAGGGGAAAGAGAGAGAGGGGGACAAACCAAGAAACAGACTCTTAACTCCAGAGAATGAACAAACTGATGGTTACTAGTGGGGAGTTGGGGGGGAGGGTGGGGATGCTTAAAGAGGGGGTGGGCATTAAGGAGCGCACTTGTGATGAACACTCGGTGTTATTATATGATAGAGACATTTTCTGGAGCTTTCAGGTCCAACACAAATGGAATCTCGTCCACTTTACTTTATGAAGGGAACCTATGGATGGAGGTCAGGACTACATAAGGATTTAGTTCTTGGCCTTTGAGTTCATGAAGCCTTAAAATATTATTATAAAAGTATCAATGGAAGAATAAATAACGTATAAATGACTAAATATGGAGAGAATGAAGCTTTGTTCATAAGCAAAATAAAATATATACTAAGGAAAATGCATATTAGTGTAAAGGAATGGATTAAAAAAGGACCAAGTGTATTATGTATTTGACTAAGGGTGATTTACACAGTGATAGGTAATAGATATTGCTCTCAGTCAGGTATCAATTTGAAGTTTATTTTATTAAGGGAAAAATAAATAAATACTACCAAAAATTAATAAATGCTCAAATGACTGTGCAAATGAGTGGTGGAAAATATAGAGACAATAACTCAATCTTTTATCATATTGTCTACTTGTATCATATTTTATCATATCTTCAGAGTGCATGCAATGAGCTGATTTTATCATCCACAGTGATTTAGATTGTTATGTTATCTTTGTGTTAGAAAAGAGACCAAGTTGAATAATGGTCAAAGACCTTACCTTGTTTTGGGTGATATATTTAAGAGCATTCACGGTATCATTTAAAAGTAATAAATAAAATCAAAAAGTTAACTATGGCCTGACGAGAAATATGGTATGAAATATTACTGTTGATTCATTGCTAATGTGCAACATTGAGGTCGACTAATGAAAGATGTGATCTATGTGGCACGTGATTCTACAAAGAGAAGTTAAGCTTATTTAGGGGTCTTTCTTTGGATTTTATGAATCATGTATTGATTTTTATTACCAATGAATTAACAATTTAATTGTTACAAATGTAGAAACATTTGAAGGAAAGGAGGCCCAAACATAGACCAATGATGAAAACTGGTGGCATAGGAATCCTACCTGGTTGAGTGCTATACGTCTGTAACTCTGAGTCCACGCAAAACAAAATTTAGCCTATTTTCTGTTGTAAATGACCTCAGGGTCAATGTAGAAATACACAAAGCTCATATTCTTATTTTGGGTTTATATACTTAGATATATTATTATGGATGAATCAGTAATCAAAGCATTAAAAATGTAAAAAAACAGATGAATAGGGTGAAGCATTATCCAGCTAGTAATATATGTTGTGATGTATAAGAAATGAACAAAAATGCTCATTAAGAAACAAATAGAATAAGCATTTTTGCCTTTTGCTTAAGAATTGTATAGGCACTCATCAAAAGGAATGAGATCTTGCCATTTGCAACGACGTGGATGGAACTGGAGGGTATTATGTTGAGCGAAATAAGTCAAACAGAGAAAGACATGTATCATATGATCTCACTGATATGAGGAATTCTTAATCGCAGGAAACAAACTGAGTGTTGTTGGAGTGGGGGGTAGGGTGGGAGGGATGGGGTGACTGGGTGATAGACACTGAGGAGGGTATGTGCTCTGGTAAGCGCTGTGAATTGTGCAAGACTGTTGAATCTCAGATCTGTACCTCTGAAACAAATAATGCAATATATGTTAGGAAAAAAAAAAAAGAAGAAGAAGAAGGTAGCGGGAGGGGAAGAATGAAGCGGGGGAAATCGGAGGCGTGGACGAACCATGAGAGACGATGGACTCTGAAAAACAAACTGAGGGTTCTAGAGGGGAGGGGGTGGGAGGATGGGTTAGCCTGGTGGTGGGTATTGAGGAGGGCACATTCTGCATGGAGCCCTGGGTGTTATGCACAAACAATGAATCATGGAACACTTCATCTAAAACTGATGTAATGTATGGGGATTAACATAAGAATAAAACAAAACAACAAAAAAAGAATTGTATAGGCACTGATAATTAAGAGCCTTTATTATTGTTTTTTTTTAAATTTTTTTATTCTTCTATTATCCCCATACATTGCATCATTAGTTTTAGATGTAGTGTTCCATGATTCATTGTTTGTGCATAACACCCAGTGCTCCATGCAGAATGTGCCCTCCTCAATACCCACCACCAGGCTAACCCATCCTCCCACCCCCCTCCCCTCTAGAACCCTCAGTTTGTTTTTCAGAGTCCATCGTCTCTCATGGTTCGTCTACCCCTCCGATTTCCCCCCCTTCATTCTTCCCCTCCCGCTACCTTCTTCTTCTTCTTCTTTTTTTTTCTTAACATATATTGCATTATTTGTTTCAGAGGTACAGATCTGAGATTCAACAGTCTTGCACAATTCACAGCGCTTACCAGAGCACATACCCTCCTCAGTGTCTATCACCCAGTCACCCCATCCCTCCCACCCCACCCCCCACTCCAGCAACCCTCAGTTTGTTTCCTGAGATTAAGAATTCCTCATATCAGTGAGGTCATATGATACATGTCTTTCTCTGTTTGACTTATTTCGCTCAACATAATACCCTCCAGTTCCATCCACGTCGTTGCAAATGGCAAGATCTCATTCCTTTTGATGGCTGCATAATATTCCATTGTATATATGTACCACATCTTCTTTATCCATTCAGAGCCTTTATTATTGTTATTGATCAGTCTCAAGTTTAAGCTTTCCTTTAGATAAAAGAAAAAATACCACATTATGAAAAATTAATGCGTGCTTAAATGAGTAAATGAAATGCAGTAAAGAAGGATTAATGGAGATAGGATCTGAAATTTTCTCTTGTCTGCTCTACCCTGTACTCCTTAGAATGGACCTGTCAAGCAGATTTAAGGATTCTACCTTGGTCACAAGATCTCAGGCTGTGTTCACGTGTTAGGATCGTGGAGACCATGTGAATAATAGTCAAAGTTTTGGTCTTAGTTTCAGTTCTTTTTTTTTTTTTTTTTTTTAAGATTTTATTTATTTATTTTGACAGAGAGAGACACAGCGAGAGAGGGAACACAAGCAGGCGGAGTGGGAGAGGGAGAGGGAGAAGCAGGCTTCCCGCGGAGCAGGGAGCCCGATGTGGGGCTTGATCCCAGGACCCTGGGATCATGACCTGAGCCGAAGGCAGATGCTTAACGACTGAGCCACCCAGGCGCCCCTAGTTTCAGTTCTTTGATTAATGTTCAGTGCATTATTGAGAACCGTGGAGTATAATCAGTGGACTCCAAATAGCCCACTGAGTAAAAGGGGTTTAATATGAAACATTATATTGATTAATACATATAATATAAATGGAGAATAATTAATGAAGGTGATATAGATATGAGAATGATTCTAAATAAATATTTGGAATTTCTAGGCCTTTTGTGGTTTCTGTGAATACTCATTTTTAAAATTGTAATTACTGAATTATGAATTGATCAATAAATAATGTAGAAACAAAAGGTAAAAAAGAGGGATGATATTGGATCGATGATGACCACTGGTGGCGTATGAGTCGTGTACGATGAATACGTGTCTGGAACTCTGAGGTCCAACACAGAGGGAATCTACTCCATTGTCCCTGTTTGATGTGGTCTAGAGGCAAAGGTCAGGAATATATAAAGATTGTGGTTTTGGTCATTATGTTATGAGTTTTCTTCCTATTTTTATAATTGGATCAATGAAATTATTAATACACAAATGTGTGAACAAATTTAAACGAAGAAGGTGAAGCCTTGTCCAATTATGAAAATAGGTCGTTAGGCAAAAATTACTATAATATAGTAATATATTAATTATATTGGAAAGACTGATATCCATTAGGAAAGAGGTGGTATAAGGGTGTTGTCTCTTTGGCTAAGGTTGATGGTATAGACCGTGTTAAGTATAGTGTTCATATTTTTTGGCAGGGGCAAGAGGGATATTGTTTGTTTACTTAATAGAAAATAAAATATACATTATCCCAAGTCACTACCTGCCTAAATGACTGACTGAATGAAAGGTGGAATACAGGGATGAATGAACATAAGGTCTCAATTTTTTATCCCCTACTCTGTCTTGTACTCCTTAGAGTGGTCACCCTTGGCTGTTTGAAGCAATCCACCACAGTCATGAGTTCTGTGGTTGCATCTATGTGTGAAGAGCATGGAGCACAATGTGAGTAATAGTCAAAATTCTTTTCTTGGTTTTGTGGTTTTTCAAAAAGGTTTTCACTGCATTATTAAAAAATTGTGCAGTATAATTTATGATTGCCAGCCATGGCCAAATAATTAGAATCAGGTTAATATGAAGCATTGTGTTAACCTATGTGGGAAACATTGAGGTCAATTAATGAATGATATATATTCTCAGTGGGAATTAATTCTGTAGACGAGTATTAGAGATATTCAAGGGAATTATTTCGAGTTTTTGTGACCCCCAGGTATTATTTTTAGTATTATTAGTGAATTGATGAATTAATAAAAGCATGTAGACATGATTAAGATAATGAGGGACATACCTGGATAAATGATGACAAGGCACATTCAGGTCTTGGATGATGAACACCACAGGTCTTTAACTCTGGGGTCCAACACGAAAGAAATGTAGTCCTTTCTCCCCATTTGAAGTGGTCCTATACATAGATGTCGGGCATAGGTGAGAATCATGTTCTTGGTCTTTGTGTATGTGAATGTTTAAAATATGTATAAAATATGTATAAAAATAAATAGTAGCATAAATATATAAATGAATAAATATGAAGAGGCTGAAGCATTGTTCATTGCTATAATATATAATAAATAAAATTATATTAATATGAATCAGAATTGAAAATAAAAGATTCACGTGTATATGTCTGAGTAAGAATGATGTGGAGAATAAATAGTAATTACTGAGTCAGTTACAAATTCAACATTTGATTTGTTAAGGGGAAAATTACAATAATTTCATAAATGCCGAAATGACTGCAAGTGAATAGTGGGATATATGAATCAGTGGAGAGAATATCTCGATATTTTTATCATCTTGTCTGCTTGTTACTCTTCAGAACAGGTGCTTGAGCTGATGTCAGCTTCTGCCATGACCAAGATTGTGATGCTTCCTTTGAGTATGGAAAGAGACGAGGTGAATAATGGTCAAAATGGTTGTCTTGGAATGGGACATTTGTTTAAGGGTAATCATGGTATCGTTAAAAAGTATTAAATTAATAAGAAATTAGCTGTGGCCTCATAATAAATGTGATAAGACACATTATGGCTGATTAATTAGTAATGTATAAGATGGAGGTGATGCAGTCCATTTGGATAATGATTCTGTAAACTGATGTTAGGGATATTCAAGGATCTTATTTTTGGGTTCCAGTGAACAATGTATTATTTTTATAATTATCAATGTATTAATTATTTAATTGATACAAAAGTAGAAATGAACTAAGAAGAGACTCGGTCCTGGACCAGTGATGATGACCAGTGGTATAGGAGTCATGTACGATGAAACTATGTGTCTGAAACTCTGAGGTCCAATACAGAACATAATTTGGTCTGCTCCTTCTGTTGAAATTGGTTCTACAGAGAGCTGTCAGGAATAAGTTCATATTCTTGTATTGTTTCGTAGATACAGACTTGTTATTATTAATGGATCAGTGATAGAACCATGAAGCAAATATAAATAAACACATAAGGAAGAAAAGGGTGAGGAATTGTCCAAATATAAACCCAAGTAGCAAGGCAGAATATATTATTGCTAAAAATTGAAAACACTGATTGATACCCATTAAGAAATAAGTGGTTCAAACGGTCATCTCTTTGACCATGGTTCTATAGGCATGCCTAAGTAGGAATCACCTTAACTGTTCTTCTTTAGACCAAAGATTGGATTTTTATAAAATGACAATACATACATAAAGAAACAGTAATAAATACCTAAATACTGGGTAAATGAAATGCAGAAAGCAAGGATCAATGTGGATTAGGTTTCAGGTTTTTTTTAATCATCTGCTCTGTTCTGTACTCCTCAGAATCATCTCACTGGAGATGATTCAGCACCTTCCATGGGTTCTGTGGTTGCCTCTATATAATAGGAGGATGGAGATTAATGTGAGTAACAGTTGAAGTTCTTTTCTCAGTTTAAGTGGATTTTTTAAAGGTTATTCACTGTGTTTTTAAAATGTGTAAAATATAATTAAAGAAGGCAGCTGGATCTCAGTGTTAAATATGGAATGTATGAAACACATTGCTTAATGCATGTATGAAAGCTGGAGATATTAATGAGAGTTATATTGATGTGAGATTAATTCTGTGTATAGATTTGAAACTTACAGGCTCTTTTTTTAAATTGTACTACTTAAAAATTATTAGTTAAATAATGATTTGATCAATAAACAAATAGAAATCTATGTAGTAAAAGAGGGATGATATTGGATCAATGATGACCACTGGTGGCGTATGAGTTGTGTACGATGAATACGTGTCTAGAACTCTGAGGTCCAACATAAAATTGGTCTAGTCCTTTGAAGGCATCCTATAGATAGATATCAGGAATAAATGAAGGGTTTGCTGTTGGTCTTGGTGTTTATGTATTTTTATTTTATTATTACAATTGGATAAATGTGAGAAGCTATAAATAAATATATAAATAAATAAGGATGAATAGAGTAAATTATTGTCCAATTTTAAAAATATGTGGTGAGGCAAGAAATACTATTAATCTATTATGGAAACCCTGAAGTTCAGTTAGAAATGAATGGTATTTGACTGTTACCTCTTAGGGTAGGGATGATGTAGACAGTGTAAGTTGTAGACAATATCCATATTCTGGCTCAGTGGCAAGATAAAAGTTGTTTGTTTTCTTATCAGACTAAATATATATACCCAATTAATGATTGCCTAGAGAGTTATGTGAATGTTGAAGTTGAGATCAATGGAGAGAATGTCTCAACCAATTTTTTTTTTTTTTTTTGTCTCAACCATTTTTATCACCTGCTTTGCTTTGTACTCCTTAGAAGAAACACTGGACCTGATTTAAAGATTTTTCCTTGATCCTGACCTCTAGGGTTTCATTTATTTTAGGAGACTGGAGTCCAGTGTAAGCATAATCACATTTCTTCTCTTGGTTTGGGTTGTTTGTTTAAGGGTATTTACTATAGCAATCCAATATTTCAAATATAATCAAAGAGGGTCATCTTTATCCTATTGATAAATAAGAGATTTATAGGAAGCATGATATTGATTAATGCATGTGTGGAAAACTGATAAATGACAGAGATATAATGATGTAAAAATAGATCTAGAAGCATATTAGGGATATCAAGGCCTTATTGGGGTTTGAAATAATGGAATTTAAATGGAATTTAAATATTAAGATTAGTGAATTAGTAAATTAGTCAATAAACAATATCAAAATGAATGAAGAGAAAGCTGTCTTTTCTGGATCGGTGATGATAACTGCCGGCGTATGAATCACAGATGATGAGTAGTACGTGTCTGAAACTCTGAGGTCCAACACAAAAGTGATGTGTTCCTTCTCTTCATGCATTTACTTTTCTTAATATAATTGAAAATGAAAGAACCAATAGACAAATATATGGATCAGTTGAGAGAAAATCTCAATCTTTTTATCACTTTTTGTGTTTGGTACTTTTCAGAAGAGAAGCTCCCAAGGTTATTTCCATCTTTATTGTGATCAAGGTCACCGTGTTTCCCTTTTATAGGAAAGAGACCAAAGTGAGTAATGGTCAAAGTTCTTTTCTTGGTTTGGGTCATTTGCTTAAGGGTTTTCATGGTATTATTAAAATGTAATAAATATAAGGAAAAATTAACTATGGCTCAATGATAAATATGATATAAGCATTATGTTGATTAATTGATAGTATGTAACATTTATATTTATTAATGAAAGAGGTATGATCTAATTTGGCAATGATTCTATAGGAAGAGGTTAGGGTATTCAAGTATCATATTTTTCAGTTTTTGTTAATCGTGTATTGATTTTATTATTACCAATGAAGGTACGATTTCATTGATACAAATATACGAGTGAATAAACTAACCTCTAATGGAATCAGTGGTGTTGACTGGTGGGGGGATAAGTCATGGACAATGGGCAGTATGTGTCTGGAAGCCTGAGGTGCAATACAATAAATATTCTATTTTATCTGTTTATTTGATCCTATGGATAGATGTTAGGAATGTATAAATATTATGTTCTTATTTATTTATTCATTCATTCATTCATTCATTCATTCATTCATTTACTTACTTACTTATTTACTTATTTTTAGAAGGAAAGGGCAGAGGTAGAGGGAGAGAGAGAATCCTAAGCAGGCTCCATGCCCAGTGCAGAGCCTGACATGGGGCTCGATCCCATGACACCAAGATCATGACCTCAGCTGAAATTAAGAGTTGGGTACTTAACCGAATGAGCCACCCAGGAGCCCCTTGGATGAATATATTTATATTTGTTATTATTAATGGACCAGTGATAGAATTATTAAAGGAAATATAAATAATAGATGAAGAAGAAAAGGTGAATTATTATCTCACTATGAACATAGTATGGTGAGGCCAGAAACACTAATAAAATTTGCACACACTGATGTCCTTCATGAAATAGATGTTTCAAGGGTGTCCCTTCTTTGGTCAAGGATTATATAGACATGAATAATTAAGAGTCAGTTTCATTATTCTCGGTCAGTGTCAAGTTTGATGTTTTCCTTTTTTTTTTTTTAAAGATTTTATTTATTTATTTGAGAGAGAGAGAATGAGATAGAGAGAGAGAGAGCATGAGAGGGGGGAGGGTCAGAGGGAGAAGCAGACTCCCTGCTGAGCAGGGAGCCCGATGCGGGACTCGATCCCGCGACTCCAGGATCATTACCTGAGCTGAAAGCAGTCGCTTAACCAACTGAGCCACCCAGGCGCCCGATGTTTTGCTTTTTGTTAAGAGAAGAAGATCTACGTTATGAAAAATTTATGAATTCCTAAAAGATTGAGTAAATTCATTGCAGAAGGCAAGAATCTATGGGGATAAAAATTTTATCATTTTTTTCTGTCCTTCGCTATGGTTTGTACTTTTCAGAATGGACACATTCGAGCTACCCAAGCATTATTGCCTGGTGGTGAGCTCTATGACAGCACCTGTGGGACAGAAGCACAGAGACCAATGTGAGGAAAGTCAAATTTCTTATCTTTGTTCTAGTGATTTTTTTCAGCACATTTGCTGCATTATTTGAAAATTCCACATCGAATCACAGGTTAACTGTAGCTCTGTGATAAATATTGAATTTTAGAAAACATTATATTGATTAATGCATGTATGGAAAACTGAGGATAATTAATGAAGGATACTGATGTGAGAATAAGTCTATATTCAGTTTAAAGACATGAAGACTCATTTCAGTTTTTGTGGATAATAGGGTTTTAAATTATTAGTGAACCAATGATTTAATCAATATACAAAGAGAATATAATGTAGAGAAGAGAGACAATATTGGATCAATGATGACCACTGGTGGCGTATGAGTCGGATACGATGAATACGTGGAACTCTGAGGTCCAACAGAAAATTAATCTAATACATTCTCATTATTTGAAGGCATCCAATAGACAGATTTCAGGAATATAGTAAGATCTTATTTTTGGTCTTAGTGTTCATGCATTTATATGTATCATTACAATTGGATAAATAAGAGATTCTATAAATAAATACATAAAATAAAAATGATGACGGGAGTGAAGCATTGTCTAATTATAAAAAGATATTATTAGGCAATAATTAAGACCTAATTTATTAATTTATTATTAATGATTAATAACTAATACTATTAATATACCATGGAAACCCTGAAGTTCAATAGAAGCCAGTTGTACATGACTGTTACTATACAGCTAAGGATGATATAGACAGGATAAGTTACAGACCATGCTCATCGTCTGGGTCAGTGGTAAATTTGACGTTTGTTTTCTTTTCTTTTCTTTTCTTTTTTTTAAAGATTTTATTTATTTATTTGACAGAGAGAGAGAGACAGTGAGAGAGGGAACACAAGCAGGGGGAGTGGAGAGGGAGAAGCAGGCTCCCCGTGGAGCAGGGAGCCCGATGCGGGGCTCGATCCCAGGACCCTGGGATCATGACCTGAACCGAAGGCAGCCGCTTAACCGACTGAGCCACCCAGGCGCCCCTTGATGTTTGTTTTCTTAAGGGAGTAAAATACACACACCAAATTAATGGTGGCCCAAATGACTGACTACATGAGAGGGCAAAGGCGAAGACCAGTGGAAAGAATGTCTCAACCTTTCTAATCATTTGCTCTGCCTTATACTCCTCAGAACAGACACACCGCACCTGAGTTGAGGCTTCTTCCTTGATCATGATCTCTGGGGTTAATCTCTATTTTAGGAGTTGGAAGACCAATGTGAGTAATAAACAAAATTCTTGACTTGCTTTGGGTGGTGGTGTGTCTAAAGGTATTCACTGCAGTAATAAAAAGATGAAATCTATTCAGATGGTCAGCTGTGTCCTAGTGACAAACATGGGGTTAAAATGAAGTATTACATTGATTAAAGCATTTATGAAAAACTGATAATAAATATGACAGAAGTATAATAATGTGGGAATGGTTCCAGATATATATTAGGGCAGTCAAGGCCCTTTTGAGTTTTTGTGAATCATACAGTTTTAAAATTATAATTAGTGAATTAATGAAATAATAAACAATGTAGAAATGAATGAAGAGAAGGCGGTCTTTTCTGGATCAATGATGATAACTGCCAGCGTATGAATCATGGATGATGAATGATACGTGTCTGGAACTCTGAGGTCCAACACAAAAGAGATGTGGTCTTTCTCTTCATGTATTTCCATTCTTGATTGTATTTGGATCAATAAAATATCAATAAGGAAACATGTAAAAAAAGTGAATTGTAGAAACGTCCAATTTAAAAAATATATGAGGAGGCAAGAAGTTCTATTAATATAATTTGAAGACACTGAAGTCCAAAGAGAAATAAATGGTACACGTCTGTCCCCTCTTTGGCTTAGATGATATAGATAGGACCAATTATAGACAGTGTTGATGAAGTTCGAAGTGGTTCATTTTTATAAAAGATAATGAAATGAATATTCTCCAGTAATGATTTCCGAAATGCCTGACTAAATGAAAGATGTAAAGCAAGGGGCAATGGAACAATGACTCATTTTTTTTCTCATCTTCTCTGCTTGGTACTCTTCAGAATGGATGCTCTAGCTGATTTCATCTTCTGCTCTGATCAAGATTGTTATGTTGCTTTTGTTTTAGGAGAGGAAAGCAAGGTGAGTAGTAATAGAGGTTCTGTCTTGGTTTTGGTCATTTGTTTAAGGGTATTCACAGTATAATCAAAAATTAATAAATATAATCAAAAAGTAATTTATGGCCCAATGATAAATATGATATGAAACATATTGACTAATTGATAACATGTAACACTGAGTCTGATTAATGAGAGAAATATAATCTATGTTGGCAATTATTCTATAGATAGAAGTTAGGAGTATTCAAGTTGTTGATTTTTTTTTTTTAAACTTTTATTCATTTATTTGAGAGAGAGGAAGTGAGAGAGAGAGAGAAAGAGAACACAAGAGTGGGGAGGGTCAGAGGGAAAAGCAGACTCCCAGCTGAGCAGGGAGCCTGATCTGGGGCTTCATCCCAGGACTCCAGGATCATGACCTGAGCAGAAGGCAGCCGCTTAACCGACTAAGCCACCCAGGCGCCCCGAAGTTGTTGATTCTTTAGTTTTTGTTAATCATGTATTTTACTGTGATCAATGAATTAATGATTGAATTGATACAAATGTAGAAATGAATGAAAAAAAGTGGGTCTTCTATGTACCTATGATAATGACTGGTGGCAGATGAGTTATGGATGATGAATACTCTTTATCTAGAATGCTGAGGTCTAATTCACTACATAGTCTTTCTCTCTGTTTATTTGATCCTATGGACAGATGGCCGGAAAGCACAAAGATAATAGTTTTACTGCGTTCATAGATTTAGATTTATTATTACAAATGGATCAACGATAGAATCATTGAAGAATATGAATATCAGATAAATATAAAATCATAAAGAATTGTCCAACTGTGAAGACCTGTGTTTAGGCAAGAAATATTAATAAAAATTGCAAACACTGACATCCATTAAGAATTAAATGAATCAAGAATGTCACTTCTTTAGTCAATGATCATTTAGACATGAACAATTAAGTCAATTTTATTGTTCTGGGTCAATCTTAAGTTTGAGGATTTTTGTTACTGTTGTTAAAGGAAAAAAATCAATGTTATGAAATATTCATAGATATCTAAATGAGTAAATGAAATGTGGAAAGCAAGAATCAATGGAAATAAAAGTTTTATTCTATTTTTTTAATCATCGACTGTGCTTTTCCTGTTTCAAAATGGACACATTTGAGCTGATTTAAGCAATATTCCGTGGTGGCGAGCTCAAGTGGTTGCATTTCTGTGTTGAAAGCACAGAGAGCAATGTGAGTAATATCCAGTTTCTTGTCTTGGTTTCAATGATTATTTTATTCAGTGTATTCAGTATTATTTGAGAGTTCCATGCAGTAGAATCACAGAAGGCCAACAATAGGTCAGTGATAAATATTGAATTTTGTGAAACATTATATTGGTTTAATGCATAAATAAATAAGAGCATAAGTTTAAAAGAGATATATTGATGTGAGAATGATTCTATTTACAGATTAAGGATATAATGACTTTTCTTGGGCTTTTGTGAATGATAGGGTTTTAATATTATTACTAGTGATTTAATGAATTAGTCAATAGACAATGTAGAATTGAATGAAGGAAAAGAGGGACAATAATGGATCGATGATGACCACTGGTGGCGTATGAGTCGGATACGATGAATACGTGTCTGGAACTCTGAGGTCCAACAGAAATGGAATCTGGTTTATTGTCCTGTTTGAGGTGATGCCATAAACAGATATCAAGAATATACAAAGATCTTGGTTTTGGTCCTTATGTTCATGCATTTTCTTTCAATTTTTATAACTGGATTGATGAAATAATAAACAAATAAATAAATAAAGATGAAAACAGTGAAATCTTGTCCAATTACAAAAATATGTGGTTAGGTAATGAATAGTATTAGTGTATATTTAACATGCTGATGTCTATGAGGGAATATATGGTACAGGACTTGTTCTTTGAGGATGATATAATTATTGATAAGTAATAGTCAATGTTCATATTCTTTATTAGCTAGATTGATATTGTTCATTTACTTATGAAAAAATAAAATATGCATTATTGCAATATACTGCTTAATAAGTGACTAAATTAAAAATGGGATGGAAGGACCAGTGAACATAATATCTCAATCCTTTTTTTATCTTGCTCTACTGTGTACTTTTCAGAATGGACACACTTGAGCTAATTTAACATCTTCCATTATCCTGAGTTCTATGGTTGCCTCTATAATAGGAGGATGGGGATTAATGTACGTAACAGTTGAAATTATTTTCTTGGTTTATGTGTTTTTTTTAAGGTAATTCGCTGTATTATTAAAAACTACACTATATAATGAAAAGAGGCACTGTTTTTCGGTGATAAATATGGGCTATATAAACTATTATGATGATTAATCTATGCATGGGAGACTGAGGATAATTAAAGAGATATATTGATGTGAGAATTATCTAGGTAGAAATAGGGTTATATAAGTTCTTCCTCAGTTTTTGTGAATTACAGCATTTAAAATTATTAGTGAATTAATGATTTGCTCAATAAACAATTAGAAGTGAATGAAGGTAAAGAGGGAGCATACTGGATTGATGATGACCACTGGTGGCATATGAGTCGTATGTGATGAATACATGTCTGGAACTCTTGAGGTCCAACAGAAGAGAAATCTGGCTTATTCTCATTGTTTGAAGAGATCCTGTATGGACACATGTCCAGATATACAAGGATCTTGTTTTTGGTGTTAGTGTTCCTGCATTTTCTTTCAATTTTTATAATTGGATCAATTAAGTAATCAATAAACATAAAGTGTACCGTAATGAAGTAGCGTCCTATTACAGAAATATGCGATTATGCAAGAAATACTGTTAACATTCTATGAAAACTCTGAAGTTTAATTAGAAGTAAGAGCTACATGACTTACATGTATGGCTAAGAATGCCAGAGATAGTGTAAGTCATAGACAGTGCCCACGTTCTGGGTCATTGGTAAATTCAAAGTTGTTCATTTTCTTAAGAGAAAAAATATTGACACCAAATTAATAGTTGACCAATAATGGATTTAATGAAAGGCTAAAAGCAATGACCAATAGAGAATGTCTTGACTATTTTCATGGTATGCTCTGCTTTATACTCCTCAGGACGGACAAGTTAGACCTGCTTTAAGGATTCTCCCCTGATCAAGAGCCTTAGGGTTGTATTTTTGTACTGGGGAGACAGGAGACAAATGTGAGTAATAGTCAAACTTCTTGTCTTGTTTGGTATTTTGCTAAGGATATTCATTGTATTAATACAAAATGTGAATTATAATTAAAGAAAGTCAGCTGTGTCCTAGTGACAAATACAGGATTAAGATGAAGCGTTACATTGATTAAAGCATTTATGAAAAACAGGATAACTGTTGAGAGATATAGTGATGTGTGAATGATTCTAGATCTATTCTAGATACATAACTATGGATAAGAGTTTCTTCTTCATTTTTTGTGAATCGTATAGTTTGAAATGGTAATTAGTGAATGAATGAATGAATCAATAAACAATGTAGAAATGAATGAAGAGAAAGCGGTCTTTCTGGATCAATGATGATAACTGCCAGCGTATGAATCATGGATGATGAATGATACGTGTCTGGAACTCTGAGGTCCAACACAAAAGAGATGTGGACTTTCTCTTCATGAATTTCCATTCTTGATTATAATTGGATCAGTGAAATATCAATAAGGAAATATATTACAAAAAGTGAAGCGTAGAAATGTCCAATTTTAAAAATATATGAGGCAAGAAGTTCTATTAGTATAATTTGAAAACACTGAAGTCCAAAGAGAAATAAATGGTACATGGTTGTCCCCTCTTTGGTTTGGATGATATAGATAGGACAAATTATAGACAGTTTTTATATTCTGGGTCACTGGGAAGTTCAAAGTAGTTCATTTTTGTAAAAGATAATGAAATAAATATTCTCCAGTAATGATTTCCTAAATGCCGGACTAAATGAAAGATAAAGCAAGGATCAATGGAAGAATGTTTCTTTTTTCTTTTTTTTTTTTTAATCATCTGCTCTGCTCTGTACTCTTCAGAATGGATACACTCCAGCTGATTGTAACATTCTTCCAAGGTCGTGAGCCCTCTGGTTGCATCTATGTTGGAGGAGCATGGAGACCCCGTGAGTAAGACTCAAAGCTTTTGTTTTGGTTTATTTAGGGCTGTTAAGTGTATTTATTCAAAAGTATTAAATATAATCAAAGAAGGCAAAATGTAACAGTGTTTAATACCAGATTCATATGAAGCATTATGTTTACTTATCCATAAATATAACACTGAGGTCAGTTAATGAAAAAGATTTAGTCTCTGTAATATTATAGAGACATGTTAGGAATGTTGAAGGATCTTACTCTTATATTTTAATTTATGTGTATTTTTTGATTAATGAATTAATAAATATTTATGAGAATGGAAAGAAAGAGGGCCAGTCTTGGACCAATGATGACAACTGGTGGCGAATGAGTCATATATGATGAATGCTATGTGTCTGGAACTCAGATCTGATACAAAGATAATCTAGTCTGTTTCTCCTGTGTTTAGGGATCCTATAAAGATGTCAGTAATAAACAAGGATTTTGTTGTTGATCTTTGTGTTTTTTTACGGTGAATGAATTTTAGTAATTAATTTACAAAACTATTAATGGTAGGATAAAAAATGTATAAATGAATAAAGTTGAGGAGGTTGAAGTATTATTTTTTGGTAAATATATACCAAGGTAAAAGTATTAATATACATTAGAATGGATATAAAGGGACCAAGTGTATTATATCTTTGATAAGGTTGATATAAACAATGAAATTTTGTAGTCATTTATTTTCTGATTTAGGTCCAAGTTTGAAGTTTATTTTTATGGTAAAAATAAATATATCCATTAAGTTAATAAAGGCTTAAATGATTATATAAATGAATGGTGGGCTCCATGGATCAGCGGAAAGGCTCAGCCTTTCCATCCCCTTCTCTGTTTTGTCCTCTTCAGAACAGGTGCTTGAGCCGATTTTGTCTTCTGTGGGATCGGGATTGTCACGTGACATTCCTTTTGCGTTAGGAAAATGGAACAAGGAGAGTAATGGTCAAAAATTTTGTTTTGGTTTGGGTCATTTGTGTTCATGGAATTATTAAAAAGTAAGAGTATAATAAAAAGGTTCACTATGGCTAACTGATAAATATGATATAAAACATTATATTCATTAATTTATTACATAGCATTGAGATTGATTAATGAAGGAAATATAACCTATGTTCGCAATGATTCTAAGTTAGAAGTTAAGGGCATTCAAGCATCTTATTCTTCAGTTTTTGTGAATTATACTCATTTTAATATTTTCAATGAATTAATGATTTAATCAATACAAGTATAGAAAGGAATTAAGAAAAAGTGGGTCTCATGGACCAGTGATGATGACAGGTGATGGATGAGTCTTGGTCATGAGCAATATGTGTCTGGATATCTGAGGTCCAACATAATAAATAGTCTATTCCTTCTGTTCTATTTGATCCTGTACATGGATGTTAGGAACATAAAAAGATCAGATTCTTATTTTGAATTTTTAAATTTGGGTTTGTTATTATTAGTGGATCAATGATAGAACCATTAAAGAAATATATGTAATAGTTAAAAAATAGAGGGAGAAGAATTATCCAACTATGAACATATGGTGAGGCAACAAATAATATAATTGAAAATATTTATGTTCATTAAGAAATAAGTGGAGAAAGGGTGTTACTTCCTTAGCTAAGAGTTTATACAGGTGAGTCTAGTCTTTCTGACTCAGTGTCAAGTTTGAGGTTGTTCCTTTTGTTAAGAGAAAAATATATTAATATCATGAAAGTAGTGAGTAAATGAAATATGAAAAGCAAGGATCAGTGGAGATAAGGTCTTAACTTTCTTTTTTTTTTCATTGACTGTACTTCTCTGAACAGACACACTAAGCTGACTAAGCATTGTTTTATGGTGGTGAGCTCCACGATTGCGTCTGTATGTTAGAAACAGAGACCGATGTGAGTAGTAGTCAAGTTCTTGTCTTGGTTTCAGCTATGTTTTTTTTAAGGATATTTGGTATATTTTTAAAAGTGCTATATAGAGTCAAAGGTAGCCAACTGTGGCCTGGTGACAACTATTGAATTCCTATGAAACATTATATTGATTATTACATGCATGAAATTTAAGATAATTTTTTCCACATTTTATTTTTTATTTTATTTTATTTTTTTTATTATATCACAGCCTAGCTAGTAGCCAGTAGAGCATGAGACTCTTATTATATCACAGATGAAATTTGAGATAATTAATGAAAGAGATATATTGATATAAGAATGATTCTATACACAGCTTAGGGGTATCGTGACTCTTGCATTATTCTGAATAATAGGGTTTTAAATTATTGTTAGTGAATTAACGAGTTAGTCAATAAACAATGTAGAACTGAAGGAAGGAAAAGAGGGACAATATTGGATCAGTGATGACTGCTGGTGGCGTATGAATCGTATATGATGAATACTGTCTGCAACTCTGAGGTCCAACACACAAAAAAACGTAGCCTATTCCCATCGTTTGATGAGATCTTATATATAGATGTCAGGAATATGTGAGGATCTTGTTTTTAGTGTTGTGTTCATGCATTTTTATTCTATTATTATATTTGGATAAATGATTTATAAATAAATCTATAATCTATAATCTTGTTTTTGGTCTTTTATGTTGATACATTCTATTTTTTAAAATTGGATCAATGAAATAAGAAAAGAAAGAAAGAAAGAAAGAAAGAAAGAAAGAAAGAAAGAAAGAAAGAAAGAAAGAAAGAAAGAAGGAAGTACGAAGTGGGTGAAATATTGTCCAGTTACAAAAATATGTGGTTAGACAAGAAATACTGTTAGTATATTTTGAAAACAAATATCTATTAGGAAATATACGATATAATGGTGTTATTCTTTGAGTAACCGTCAGTGTTCATGCTGTTTCTCAGCTACAAGATTGATACTGTTTATTTTATTAAGAAAAATAAAATACACATTATCCCAATTCATTGCTTATTAAGGATGGACTGAATGAAAGGTGGAATGCAGGGACCAATGATCATAAGGTCTTAATTTTTTTTATCATCTACTCTGTGTTGTACTCCTTAGAATGGTCACCCTCCGCTGAGGTAGACATTCCACCATAGTCACGAGCTCTGTGGTTGCATCTATGTACTAAGAGCATGGAGAACAATGTGCGTAATAGTCAAAATTCTTTCCTTGATTTTGCGGTCCAGCAATTGCACTACTGGCTATTTACCCCAAGGATACAAAAGTAGGCATCCGAAAGGGTACGTGCACCCCGATGTTTATAGCAGCAATGTCCACAATAGCCAAACTGTGGAAAGAGCCAAGATGTCCATCAACAGATGAATGGATAAAGAAGATGTGGTATATATATACAATGGAATATTATGCAGCCATCAAAAGGAATGAGATCTTGCCATTTGCAACGACGTGGATGGAACTGGAGGGTATTATGTTGAGCGAAATAAGTCAAACAGAGAAAGACATGTATCATATGACCTCACTGATATGAGGAATTCTTAATCTCAGGAAACAAACTGAGGGTTACTGGAGTGGGGGGTGGGGTGGGAGGGATGGGGTGACTGGGTGATAGACACTGAGGAGGGTATGTGCTCTGGTAAGCGCTGTGAATTGTGCAAGACTGTTGAATCTCAGATCTGTACCTCAGAAACAAATAATGCAATATATGTTAAGAAAAAAAAAAGAAGAAGAAGAAGGTAGCAGGAGGGGAAGAATGAAGGGGGGGAATCAGAGGGGTAGATGAACCATGAAAGACGATGGATTCTGAAAAACAAACTGAGGGTTCTAGAGGGGAGGGGGGTGGGAGGATGGGTTAGCCTGGTGATGGGTATTGAGGAGGGCACATTCTGCATGGAGCACTGGGTGTTATGCACAAACAATGAATCATGGAACACTACATCTAAAACTAATGATGTAATGTATGGGGATTAACATAAGAATAAAAAAATAAAAATAAAAATATATGTATAAAAAAATAAAAAAAAAAGATTTTAGGTGCATGATTAATAATGTGATAGAAAGTTAAGGATCAAAACCATAGCCAGATAGTAAATTTGAGGCTAATATGAAGCATTATATTAATTAATCTATATAGGAAGCATTTTGGTTAATTAATGAAAGATATGTCAGTAGGAAGTCATTCTAAAGACAAATGTTGGAGATATTTAAAGCTCTTATTTCAAGTTTTTGTGGTCTCTAAGCATTTATTTTTTTGTTATTAGTTAATTGATGAATTAGTCAATAAAATCATGTAGACATTAATGACTATAATGAGGCCCAAATGTGACTGCTCATGTATGAATCTGGAACTCTGAGGCAAACATGGAAATTAATTAGTCTGTTCCCTCTTTTGGAACTGTTTCAGTGAAGAAATGTCTGGAATGTAAAATGATCATATTCTCATAGTGATTTTATGGACATAGATTTGTTGTTATTAATAGAATAATGATGGAACTATTAAACAAATACAAATAAATATGTAAAGAATAAGAGGGCGGAATATTGTCTAACTATTAAAGTTTGTGGAGAGGCAAGAGATATTAGTAATAACCATTGAAAACGGTGATACCCATTAAGAGATAAATGGACAAAGTTCGCACTTCTTTGAGGTCACATATACTCTGATAAGGAAGAGTGAATTTTATCCATTTTGGTAGTGAAATTGAGTTTTTCCTTTTGTAATATAAAAATATATACATATTAAAAAAAGAAAGAAATACTGACTATATGAAATATGGGGAGCAAGGATCAATGGCAATTAAGTCTCAGTTTTTTTCTATCACTTGCTCTGCTCTGTCACCCTCAGGATGGATGCACTGGAGCTGATTAAAGCATCTTCTATGGTCGTGAGCTCCTGGTTACCTCTATATAAGAAGAGGACAGAGGTTAATGTGAGAAATAGTTAAAATTCCTTTCTTGGTTTCCATGTGTTTTGTGTGTTTTTTTTTTACGTGGGCTCCACACGCAGTGTGGAGCCCAACATGGGGCTTGAACTCACAACCCTGAGGTCAAGACCTAAGCCAAGATCAAGAGTCAGATGCTTAACCAACTGAGCTGCTCAGGCCCCACTCCATGTATTTTTTTAAAGGTAGTTCACTGTATTATTAAAAAGTGTGAAATATAATTTAAAAAGGCAACTGTATCTCAGTGATAAATATGGAATATATGAAACATTGATTAATCCATGGGTAGAAAATTGAGGATAATTAATAAAAGAGATGCATTGATATAAGAATAATCTATGTGTAGGTTAGGGATACAAAGGCTCTTCTAGGGTTTTGTTTATCATAGCATTCAGAAAGTTATTATTAATGAATTAATGTTTTAATCAATAAATAGAAATGAATGATGAAATAAAAGGACAGTATTGGATCGATGATGACCACTGGTGGCGTATGAGTCGTATGTGATGAATACGTGTCTGGACATCTGAGGCCCAACACAAAAGAAATGTGATCTTTCTCGTCATACATTTATATTCTTTGTTAAAATTGGATCATTGAAATATCACCGTGGAAATAAGTTTTTCAAAAAGCTGAATTGTAGAAGCCATGTCCGATTTAAAAAATATGTGGGAGACAAGACATACTATTAATATATTTTGAAAACACTGAAGTCCAAAGAGAAATAAATGGTACCTGAATGTAACCTCTTTGGAGGACAAATTATAGACAATGTTTATGATCTGGGTCAGTGCAAAGTTCAAAGTAGGTTCATTTTCTTAAGACAAAAATGATGTAGGGGCTCCTGGGTGGCTCAGTCGTTAAGTGTCTGCCTTCGGCTCAGGTCATGATCCCAAGGTCCTGGGATTGAGCCCCTCATTGGGCTCCCTGCTCCACAGGAAGCTTGCTTCTTCCTCTCCCACTCCCCCTGCTTGTGTTCTCTCACTGTGTCTCTCTGTCAAATAAATAAATAAAATCTAAAAAAAAAAAAAGAAAAATGAAATAGACTTCAAATAATGATTGCCTAAATGCCTGACTAAATGAAAGATGTAAATCAAGGATAAATGGAATAATGTCTCCTCTTTTATCATCTGCTCTGCTCTGTACGCCTCAGAATGGACACACTCCAGCTGACTGTAATATTCTTCCAACTTCACGAGCCCTCTGGTTGCATCTATGCTTTAGGAGCATGACGACCACGTGAGTAATAGTCAAATTTCTTGTCTTGGCTTGAGTGGTTTGTTTAAGGCTATTTACTGTATTATTCAAAAGTATTCAAAAATACTATTAAAAATAGAAGATAAAATCTGCCAGTGTTATTTATTAGGTTGATATGAAGCATTATTTATCCATTTTATTTATTTTATATTTATATACTTCATTTTATTTACATATTTATATATATTATATTTTATAAATTTGTATTATATTGTAACTATATTTTAAAATATTTAATATTTTATTTACATATTTTATGTATTTAGTTATACATTCTATTATATACTTATATACATTTTATATATGTATAATATATAACATTTTTATTTATATATAAAATATATATTATACAAATAAAGATAAAAAATAAATATCTAAATCCTGAGCCTATGAAATAAAAAGCAAGACTCTATGGCAATTAAATCTCATTTTTTAAAATCACTTGCTCTGCTCTGTCCTCCTCAGAATGGATGCACTTGGTCTGATTTCATACCTTCACGGGCATGAGCTCTGTGGTTCCCTCTATGTAATTAGAAGATGCAGATTAAGGTGAGTAACAGTTGATGTTCTATTCTAGGTTAAGTGTTTTTTAAAGGTAATTCACTGTAGTATTTAAAAGTACAAAATGTACTTAAAGAGGGCAATGTATCTCAGTGATAAATATGGGATATATGAAAATTACATTAATTAATCCACATTTGGAAAACTGAGGATAATTAATGAAAGAGACACATTGATATGGGAATAATCTATGTAACAGATTAGGAATGCAATAACTCTTCTTGGGTTCTGGTGAATCATAGTGTTTAGAAATTATTAGTAGTGAATTAATTTAATCATTAAAGAGAAATGAATGAAGGAAAAGAGAGAGGGTATTGGATCGATGATGACCACTGGTGGCGTATGAGTCGTGTATGATGAATACGTGTCTGGAACTCTGAGGTCCAACAGAAGAAATCTAGTCTATTCCCATTTTTTGAAGATATCCTCTAGACACATATCAGGAATATACAAAGATCTTGTTTTTGGTCTTATAGTTCATGCACTTTCATGCTATTATTATAATTGGATCAATGAGAGAATCTATACATAAATATATAAATTGATATGAATGAGTGAAGTATTGTCCAATTATAAAAATATGTGATTATGCAAGAAATACTGTTCAGATCCTGTGAAAACACTGGGCTTCCATTGGAAGTAGATGGTACATGATTCTTGCATGTTTGGCTAAGAATGCCATGGATAGGATAAGTCATGGACAATGTTCGGATTCTGGGTTAGTAGTAAATTTTAAAGTTATTTGTTTTCTTAAGAGAAAAACAATATTTGTACCAAGTTAGTGATTACCTAAGTGCTTTACTAAATGAAAAGTGAAAAGCAACAATTACTGGAGAGAATATCTCACTTTTTTATCATCTGCTCTGCCTTGCACTCCTCAGAAGAGACACACTGGACCTGATCATGAACTCTAAGGCTGCAGTTCTGTTGCAGGAGTTTGGAGGCCAGTGTGAGTAATAATCAGAGTTCTTACCTTCATTCTGGTATTTTGCTTAAGGATATTCACTGTATTAGTAAAAAGTATGAACTATAATCAAAGAATGTGAACTGTCTCCTAGTAACAATTACGGGATTAATATGAAGTATTATTTTGATTAATACATATATGAAAAACTGAGGATAGTTAATGGCAGAGATATTGTGAAATGATTCTGGTCACACACTAGGGAGCTCAAGCCCTTGTTTTATTTTTAATAGTAGAGTTTAGAATTATAATTAGTGAATTAATGAGTTAATCGATAAACAATACAGAAATGAATGAAGAGAAATTGGTTTTCTTTGGATCAATGATAACTGTTGGTGTAGGAGTCACTCATGATGAATGATATGTGTCTGGACCGCTGAGGTCCAACACAGAGGAAATGTGAGGTTTGTTTTTTTTTTAATTGTCATCTGCTCTGATCTATACTCCTCAGAAGGAACCCACTTGAGATGATTAAAGCATCTTTCAAGGTCATGTGCTGTCCAGTTGCATCTATGTTGTTAGGAACATTGGAAAGACCAGTGTGAGTAATGTCAGCGTTTGAGCTTAGGTGGTTTGTTCAAGGGCACTCAGTGTATTATTCCAAATATTAAATATAATCAAAGAAGGCAAAATAGGCCAGTGTCAAATATCATACTGATATCAAACATTAAGTTGATGAATCCATAAATGTAAACCTTGAGGTCAGTTTTTGAAACAGAGTTAGTCTCTGGAAAAGATTGTAGGAAGAGATATTAAGGATATTAAGGGATCTTCTATTTATTTATTTTTAATTTTGTGTATTTATTAATTTTGTTAAGCCATAAACAATTGTTTATGAGGATGAAAAGAAAGAGGCCTAATCATGAGTCAGTCGTGATGAATGGTGGTGGATGAATCATGGACAATGAATATTATGTGTCTGGATAACGAGGTGCAACATAATACCAACATAGTGTATTCTGTTTATTTAATCCTATAGAAGGTGTCAGGAATATACCCAATGTAGGTATTGGGTTTATAGATTTAGATTATTATTGTTAATAGACTAATTATAGGACCATTAAAGAAATACAAATAATAAAGAAGAAAGGCCAAGGCATTGTTTAACTCTGAACATTTGTGGACAGGTATGAGCTATTATTGGTTCAATTGAAAACACTGAAACTCATTAAGGAATAAAGGGAACAAGAGTGTCATTTGAAAAAAAAAAAAGAAGAGTGTCATCTGTTTGACTAAGGATCGTATTAGCCCAGATAATTAAGAGTCAGTTTTTTTGTTGTTGTTGTTGTATGTCTGTTTCAAGTCTCCTGCTGTTGATTTTGTTAAGATAAAAGTATTTACATGAGGAATAATTTATAAATTCCTAAATGAGTGGGCAAAGATGTGGAAATCAAGGATCAATGCGAATAAGAATTTAACCTTTTTTTTCAAATCATCTCCTGTGCTTTGTCCTTCTCAGAATGGACACACTTGAGCTGATTCAAGCAGTACAACCTGGTGGCATAGAGACCAGTGTGAGTAATAAGAGTCAAAGTTTTCGTCTGGGTTTTAATGATTTTTTTTTTCATGGTATTCAATGTATTTTTTTTAAAGTGCCATATTTAATAAAGATGGTCACCTGTAGCCCAGTGACAAATATTGAAATGCCATGAAACATAAAAATGTAGGATATTTATTTATATATTTATTTTTAAAGATTTTATTTATTTATTTGAGAGAGAGAATGAGACAGAGAGAGAGAGCATGAGAGGGGGGAGGATCAGAGGGAGAAGCAGACTCCCCGCTGAGCAGGGAGTCCGATGCGGGACTCGATCCCGGGACTCCAGGATCATGACCTGAGCCAAAGGCAATCGCTCAACCAACTGAGCCACCCACGCGCCCCAAAATGTATGATATTTAAAGAGAGAGATATATTGATGTGAAAATAATTCTATACACAGAATAGGGATTTCAGGGTTGCTATTTTTTTTGATAATTGGGTTTTAGAATAATTAGTGAATCAACAAATTAGTCACTAAGTGCTGTAGAAATGAGGAAAACAGGTACAATATTGGATTGATGACCACTGGTGGCATATGAGTTGTGCACGATGAATATGTGTCTGGAACTCTGAGGTCCAACACAGATGGATTCTGGTCCATTGCCCCCATTTAAGTGATCTTTTAGACATGTGTCAGGAATATATAAGGATCTTCTTTTGGCCTTTACATTCAGGCATTTCTGTTATTATTATAATTAGTTCAATGAAATAATAAATATATAGAGAAAGATGAAGGTAGTGAAACTTTGTCCAGTTATTAAAATACGTGGTTAGGCAAGGAATACTATTACTGTATATTAAAAACAAATACCTATTTTGAAAGATACATATGCATCTATTCTTTGACTAAAGATGATATAGTTATTCATAAGTAATAGTCAATATTCATGTTTTCTGTCAAGGACGATGTCATTATTGTTCATTCACTGATTGAAAGGTGGAATACAGAGATGAATGAACATAAGATCTCAATCATTTTATATCTGCTCTGTCTATCCTCCTTAGAATGGTCACCCTCAGCTGATTGAAGCAATCCACCATAGCCATGAGTTTTGTGGTTGCATCTATGTGTGAAGAGCATGGAGCACAATGTGAGTAACAGTCAAAATTCTTTTCTTGGTTTTGTGGTTTTACAAAAAGGTTTTCACTGCATGATTAAAAAGTGTGAAATATGATCAGTGATCGGCCAAACATGCTTAAAAAAATACGATGTTAATATGAAGCATTAGTTAACTAATCTTTGTAGGAAATTTTTTTGTCAACTGTACTTCAATAAAAAAAAATCAATGGTACGATAAATAGAATGTAAATTGATAAATCTGAAGAGGGTAAAACACTTTATTGTTAACATATATAATAAGGAAATATAATTGGAGTGGAAAATAAAATGATCAAGTATATATGTCTCGAGTGAGAATGATAGTGGTAAGTAATAGGTATTGATTGAATCTATTAAAACTTTGACATTTAATTTAAGAGAAAAACAAATATTACCACTATTAAATGTCCAGATGACTATGCAAATGGAAACTATGAATCAATGGAGAAAAAATCTCAACCATTTTAGTCACATTTTCTGCTTAGTACTCTTCAGAATGGATGCTGGAACTGATTGCAGCTTCTGCCTCATTAAATAGTCATGGTGCCACTGTATGGAGAGGGACCAAAGTAAGTAATGGTCAAAGTTGAATGAATAATATGAGTGTGGGACTCGGAGGGCCAATACAAAAGGAATCTAGTCTATTCCCCGTATTTCAAGTCATACTCTAGGCATATTTCAGGATTATACAGTGATTTTTTTCTTGGTCTTTGTGTTCATGAATTATAAAAATATAATTATGAAAGAATCAATAGCAGAATAAGTTAGCACATGTATAAATGAATAAAGATGAAGAGGGTGAAGCATTTTTCATTACTAAAATATTTAGTCAGGAAAATGAATATTACTATCCACTGGAATGGATAATAAATGACCAACCAAATGAAGGTAAAAAGCAAGGGAGAATGGAGACAATTTCTCAATCTTGATATCATCTGCTCTGATGCTCTATACTTCTTAGAATGGTCACTCCTGACCTGATTTAAGGATTCTTCCAAGGTCACGAACTGTATGGTTGCATCTTTGTGTTAGGAGCATGGAGAACAATGTGAGTAATAGTCAAAGTTCTTGACTTAGTTTGATTCGTTTTTTTAAGAAAATTATTCACTGCATTATTAAACAGTATTGAATATAATCAAAGAAGGCCAACCATAGTGATATTTAATATCAGATTGATATGAAGTATTACATGTTTAGTCCATAAATGAAACATTGAGTTCAGTTAAATGAAAGAGATTTAGTCTTTATGTGAATGATTCTATAGGTGGATGTTATGGGATAATCAAGGACCTTATTCTTGTGTTTTTGTGATTTACATGCATTTCCTTATTAATTAGTTAATAAATAAATGTAGATGAGGATGAAGATGGGCAATTATGGTCCAGTGATGATAACTGGTGGCTTTTGAGTCATATGCAATGAATACCTCATATCTAGAACCCTGAGGTCCAACACAAAAAGACTAATCCATTCACCATATATTAAGACTGTAGATAGATTTCAGCATTCTACAGTGATCTTTTCCTTGGTCTTTGTGTTCATAAATTTTAAAAATATGATTATAAAAGAATCAATGGCAAGAATAAATTTGCAAATGTGTAAATGAATCAAGATGAAGAGGGTGAAACATTGTTCATTACTAAAATATATAGTCAGGAAAATGAATATTAATATTCACTGGAATGGATAATAAATGGACCAAGTGTATTACATCTTTGAGTAAGGGTGACATGGATGGTGACGGGTAGTAGTCAGTATCACCCTGAGTCAGTTGTGAGTTTGATGTTTATTGTACTGAGAGGAAAATAAATATCACTGTACATTAATAAACACTTAAATGACTATGTACGTGATCGATTTAAACTGTCGGTCAATGGGGAGAATGTCTCTCTCTTTTTTTTTTTATCATTGTGTCTTCTTGGTACTCTTCAGAATGGATGCACTGAGCTGATTTTAGCTTTTGCCATAGTTAAGATTATGTTGTCTCTGTGTCAGGAAAGAGAACAAAGTGAGTAATAGTCAAAGATCTTAGCTTGGTTTTAATCATTTGTTTGTTTTTGTTTTTGTTTTTTTTTTAATTTTATTTTATTATGTTATGTTAGTCACATACAATACATCATTAGTTTTTGATGTGGTGATCCGCGATTCATTGTTTTCATATAACACCCAGTGTTCCATGCAGTGCGTGCCCTCCTTAATACCCATCACCGATCTAACCCATTCCCCACCCCATTCCCCTCTAAAACCCTCAGTTTGTTTCCTGGAGTCCATAGTCTCTCATGGTTTGTCTCCCTCTCTGATTTCCCCCCCTTCATTTTTCCCTTCCTTCTCCTAACGTCCTCCATGCTATTCCTTATGTTCCACAAATAAGTGAAACCATATGATAATTGACTTTCTCTGCTTGACTTATTTCACTTAGCATAATCTCCTCCAGTCCCATCCATGTTGATGTAAAAGTTGGGTATTCATCCTTTCTGATGGCTGAGTAATATTCCTTTGTATATATGGACCATATCTTCTTTATCCATTCATCTGTTGAAAGACATCTCGGCTCTTTCCACAGTTTGACTATTGCGGACATTGCTGCTATGAACATTGGGGTGCACATGGCCCTTCTTTTCACTACATCTGTGTTTTTGGGGTAAATACACAGGAGTGCAATTACTGGGTCATAGGGTAGCTCTATTTTTAATTTTTTGAAGTACCTCCACACTGTTTTCCAAAGTGGCTGTACCAACTTTCCAAAGTGGCTGTACCAACTTGTGCCACTTCCCACCAAAAGTGTAAGAGGGTTCCCCTTTCTTCACAACCTCTACAACATTTGTTGTTTCTTGCCCTGTCAATTTTTGCTGTTTTAACTGGTGTAAGGTGGTATCTGACTGGTTTTGATTTGAATTTCCCTGATGGCTAATGATGATGAACATTTTTTCATGTGTCTGTTAGCCATTTGTATGTCTTCTTCAGAGAAGTGTTTGTTCATGTCTTCTGCCCATTTTTTGACTGGATTATTTTTTGGGTGTTGAGTTTGAGACGTTCTTTATTAATCATTTGTTTAAGAGTATTCTCAGCATTGTTAAAATGTATTAAACAGAACAAAAAAGTTATCCATGGCACAAAAATAGATATAATAGGAAACATTGTGTTTTGATGAATAAAAAAAAAAAACCAAAACAGGAAAATACATCGTATATAGTATATGGGAATGGATTCTATAGAACAGCATTAAGCACATTCAGCGATTTTGTGCTCATGTTTTCTTGAATAAATGTGTCTTTTATTAATATCTAAGAACTAATGATTTAATTGAGGACAAATGTAAAACGCATGAAGAAAGTGAGGGTCTCGCATGGACAGGTAATGATGATTGGTGGTGTATGAGTTGTGGATGAGCAATACGTGTGGGGTTCAACACAATACCTAGTCTATTTCCTGTTTGAAATGATCCAGTAGTCACATGTTAGGAATATATAGATATCATGTTCTCATTTTAGATTCATACATTTAGATTCACTATTACTAATGAATCGATGATAGAACCATCAAAGAAATATAAATAGATAAAGAAGAGGATGAAGTGCTTTTCAATTATAAACCTATGTGATGATCAGGCAAAAAATATTACTAAAAATTGAAAACACTGATGCTTATTAAGAAATAAATGGATTAAGAATATTATCTCTTTGGTTTACGATCATGTAGACACTGTTCAGTAAGAGTCAATTTTACTGTTCTATATCAGATCCAAGTTTGAGATTATTCCTTTTGTTAAGAGAAAAAAACATTTATGGAAAATTAATAAATATATCAATGAGTAACTGAAATGCAGAAATCAAGGATCAATGGAGATAAGATCTGCACTTTTTGTTTGTTTGTTTTGTTTTTTTAGTAATCACCTATTCTGCTCTGTATTCTTCAGAGCAGACCCAGTTGAGCTGATTTAACACTTTCCATGGTCACGAGCTCTATGGTTGCATATGTGTGCTAGGAGCATGGAGACCAATGTGAGTAGTAGTCAAAGTGTTTGTCTTGGTTTAGGTGGTTTTTTAAAGAGTATTCAATGTATTATTAAAAAGATGGCCAATTGTACAGTTGTGATAAATGTGAGATTGATTTTTTTTTAAAGATTTTATTTATTTGAGAGAGAGAGAGAGAGAGCACAAAGGGGAGAGGGTCCAAGGGAGAAGCAGACTCCCTGCAGAGCAGGGAGCCTGATGCGGGACTCGATCCTGGGACTCCAGGATTATGACCCGAGCCGAAGGCAGTAGCTTAACCAACAGAGCCACCCAGGCACTCTAAACGTGAGAATGAGATGGTGCATTACATTGATTATTACATATATGTAAAGCTGAGGTTAATTAATGAAAGTCCACTATACAGATTCGGGACATAAAAACTCTCCTTGGGTTTTTGTGAATTATAGTGATTACAGATTATTATTAATGAATTAATGATCAATAAACAAATGGAATTGAATGAAGAAAAAGAGGGACAATACTGGATCGATGATGACCACTGGTGGCGTATGAGTTATGTACGATGAATACGTGTCTGGAACTCTGAGGTCCAAAAGAAGAGAAATCTAGTCCATTCCCTTTTTTAAAAGCGATTCTACATACAGAGGTCAGGAATACACAGAGATCTTTTTGGCCTTTGTGCTCATGGTTTTTCATTCCATTATTATAATTGGATAAGTGAATTGAAAGAAAGAAAGAGAAAAAGAAAGAGAGAAAGATAAGTGGAGTGAACCGTTGTCCAATTATAAAAATCTGTGATCAGGCAAGAAATGCTGTGGATATATTTTCAAAACACTGAAGTTCAACAGCATATGACTGTTACTTCTTAGATTAGGGAGAGTATAGACAGTATAAATTATAGACAGTGTTTATGTTTTGGGTCAGTGGCAAATTCAAAATTGTTTTCTTAAGAGAAAATGAAATAAATACACTTGAAATTAATGATTGCACAAATGACTGTCTAAATTAAAGAAGAAAGGCAAGGATCAGTTGAGAGATGGCATAATTTTTTTTCATCATCTGTTCTGCTCTGTACTCCTCAGAATGGGCACACTTGAGCTGATGTCAGCATCTTTCATGGTCTTGAGCTCCTGGTTCCATGTATTTGTTAGAGGCATGGAGACCAAAGTGAGTAATAACGTTCTCATCTTGGTTTGTGTTCTTTTAGAGTATTCAATGTGTAACAAGCTTTGAAATATAATCAAATAAGGCCACATGTAGCCTAATAGTAAATACAGGGTAGATATGAAGCATTATATCAATGGGTGCATATATAAAAACCTGAAGATATTAATGAAAGAGATATATTGATATGACAATTGTTCTATATACAAATTAGAGATATCAGGGCTCTTTCTCAGTTTTTGTGAGTCATAGAGTTTGAAAGTATACTTAGTGAATTAATGAATTAATCAATAAATATCATAGAAATGAATGAAGAGAAAGTGGACTAATCTTGGATCAATGATGACGGCTGGTGGCGTATGAGTCATATACGATGAATGCTACGTGTCTGGAACTCTGAGGTCCAACCCAAAAGAAATCTAGTCCATTTTCTCTTTTTGAAATGATTCTATAAACAGATATCAGAAACATACAAGGATTTCGTTTTGGTCTTTGTGTTCATGTATATTCAAACTATTATTACAATTGGATCAATGAAAGAACATTGAAAATGTATAGGTAAAGATGAATAAGGTTAAGCATTGTCCAATTATAAAAATATATGGTAAGAGAAAAAATGCTGTTGATATATATTGAGAACTCTGATATTCACTAAGAAATAAATATTCTTTGATTAAGGATGATACAGACAGCATTGCCAATAGTCAGTGCTCAGGTTCTGTGTCAGTGGCAAGACCTACACTGTTTATTTAAGAGAAGATAAAAATGTTATCCCAAATGACTACCTAGATGACTGACTAAATAAAAAGTGGAATACAAGGGCTGATGCTGATAATTTCTCAAGCTTTCTTTATCTCCTCCTGTGTTCTGTAAGCCTTAGAACGGACACCCTTGAGCTGATGGAAGATCCTCCAGGGTCGTGAGCTCCATGGTTACATCTCTGCTTTAGGAGCATGGAGATCAATGTGAGTAATAGTCAAGGTTGTTGTCTTGGTTTCAGTGTTTGCTTGTTTTCTTTTTTTTTTTTTTTTTAAAGGCATTCACTGTATTATTTTAAAAATATGAAATATAATTTTGAAGGTTAACCATGGCCCCGGCATAAGTATGGGGTTGATGTGAAGCATTGTTTTGATTAATCCTTACATGCAACTTTGAAATAAAGTAATGAAAAAGGTGTATTACCATGAGTAATAGTTCTATAGACCGATGTTAGAGATATTTAAGGATCTTACCCTCATGTTTTAGGACTTCAGGTAGTTCTTTTATTATTATTGATGAATTAATAAAATTCATATAGACACAAATTAAAATGAGGGCCAAGTCTGGATCAATGATGACCACTGGTGGCGGTATGAGTCATGGATGATGACTACTACATGTCTGGAACTCTGAGGTCCAACACTAATACAAGAGAAATCTAGACTATTCCTCTGTTGAAACAAAATCCTATAGATAAATGTTAGAGATATGTAAGAATCTTTTGCTTCTAATTTTATGGCTCATAGATTATGATTATATTAATATCAAGGAGTCAATGGAAGGATCAATAAAAATATTTAAATGATTAAAGATGAATGGAGTGAGGCATATTCCAAATTGTGAAAAGATGTGATAAGGAGAACAATGCTATTAATATAATCTGGAATGCATAATAAGTAGACCAAAGGTATTACCTTGGATTACATAGCCATTGGTAAGTAATAATCAATGTTTTGTTCTGAATCAATGAATTAGAAGTTCAACATTTGTTTTAGTAAGAGAAAAGTAAGCAAATACCACAGTCAATTAATAAATATTAAATGGCTGAGTAAATGAAAGGTGGAATACAAAGGACCAATGGATAGAAGATCTCAAACTTTATTTTCTGCTTTCTCTTGTACTCCTCAGAATGGGCACTGCCACACCAATTCTGGCATTCTGCCATGGCCTCAATGGCTGTCTTAGGAGCATGGAGACCGGAGTGTGTGAGTAATAGTCAAAGTTCTTGTCTTGGTTTGGGCAATTTAAGAGAGGTGAATGCATTATTAAGAAGTAGGAAGTAGGGGGACGCCTGGGTAGCTCAGCCAGTTAAGCGCCTGCCTTAGGCTCAGGTCATGATCCCAGGGTCCTGGGATCGAGTCCTGCATCAGGCTCCTTGCTCAGTCGGGAGCCTGCTTCTCCCTCTGCCTGCCACTCCTCCTGCTTGTGCTTGCACTCTCTTGCTCTATCTCTCTGACAAATAAATAAAAAATCTTTAAGAAAAAAAAGTTTAAAAAAGAAGTAGGAAATAGGGGCACCTGAGGGGCTCAGTTGGTTAAGCGTCCAACTCTTGGTTTTGGCTCAGGTCATGATCTCTGGGTCATGAGATTGAGCCCCGAACTGGTCTCTGTGCTCAGGTGGGAATCTGCTTGAGATTCTCTCCCTCTCTCCCTTCACCTGCAAATGCTCTCTCTCTAAAATAAATAAATAAATCTTTATTTAATAAAAAAAAAACAAGTAGGAAATATAATCAAAAAGAGCCATACATGATCCAGTAATAAACATGGGACTGACATGAAACATTATGTTGCTATGTCCATACATGAAACACTGAGGCCAATTTAAGAAACAGATCTAATGTCTGTGAGAAATGATTTTATAGATAAATATTAGGGATGTTGAGGCTCTTATTCTGGGTTTTTTTGGATTTATGTATATTTCTTCATGAGTAAGTAGCAAATTAATGAATAAATCAATAGGCAAAATATAAATGAAAAGAATTCACAAACTCGGACCATTGACAGTTACTGGTAGTGTATGAATCAAGAATGATGAATAATATGTGTCTGGACATCTGTATGGAAGTGTTAAATCACTATATTGTACACCTGAAACTAATATTGCACCATATGTAACCAATTGGAATTTAATTAATTAATTTTTAAAAGATTTCATTTATTTGAGAGAGAGTGAGCAAGAGAAAGCGCACAAGCAGGGGGTGTGGTAGGCAGAGGATGAGGGAGAAGCAGACTTCCCGTTGGGCAGGGAGCCCGACATGGGGCTCGATCCCATGACCTGAGCTCAAGGCAGATGCTTAATCAACTGAGCCACCCAGGTGCCCCTAACCAATTGGAATTTAAATAAAAACTTAAAAAAATTAAATTTGAAAAAAGAATTCATATTCATTCCCCTCCCTTTATTTTCCCATCTACTTTCTACTCTGCAGAGTGGACACACTTGAGCTGATTCTATAATGATCAAGACCTTTATTGTTCAGTGTGAGTACTAGTCCCAATTCTTGCCTTTGTTGGGGCTATTTGTTGAGGGCATTCACAGTTGTCTGTATGATTAAAAAGTATGGAATATATTCAAAGAAGTCCACATAAGGACCAATGATGAGATTGTGTCACAAACCAAGGTTCATGATAAATCTGATTTAGCACAACACACACCCTTTTATAAAAGAAATTGTATCCTTTTAGCTCTGAGGGTATGGGACCCAGAGTCAATTGTCTACAGCCGTCCTCGTTCTTATGTTGGGTAGTTTATTTAATGGTGCTCATTATATTATTAAAATGGATGGATAACTTAATATATTAATTAATAAAATGGAGGTCCATTCATGAGCCAGATTTAAGAATATGGCATATATCACTGTTTATGAGAAATTTCTGTCATGATTCCCTCATGTTCAGTATTTAAACCCCGAATCTCGTTTGTCAACATCCTCTTTACATTCAGCAGGATGGATGCACCGTAGCTAATTAAATTACTCTCCAATCATGAAGATCTTTGCCTTATCCCTGTGGGAAGGAGCATATCATGCTACGTAAGTAACCAAGTTCTTGGTTTGGTGGTTAGTTTGTGGGTTTTCATTGTATCAGTTAAAAAAAAAGCTCCCATCTGTTACCATGCAACACTCTTACAATACCACTGACCATATTCCCAATGCTCTGCCTTTTATTCCTTTGACTTGTTCATTCCATAACTGGGGGTCTGTATCTCCCACCCCTCCACCCATTATACCCATCCCACCCCCGCACTTTAGGTGACCATCAGTATCTTCTCTCTATGTATAGGTCTGACTCTGATTTTTGTTTATTCTTTTGGTTTGCTTTTTAGATTCTACATATAAGTGAAAATATACGCTATTTGCCTTTCTTAAACTTGTTTTACTTAGCATCGTACCCTCTAAGAGTTGTTCAATCACTGTGTTATGCACTTGAAACTAATGTAACATGGTGTATTGGCTATACTCAAATAAAAGAAAAATATATGGAAAATGTAAACAAAAAGTGGAAGGAAATAAAACAAATATAAATAACTTTTAAAATGTCATGCATAGACCAATAATGTAAATATGTTACAAACCACAGTTTATAATTAATCCAATGTGGTACAAATGAAGTACAAGTAAAAAACCTAGCTTTTTTCATTCATTTCAAAACTTCGTCTCATTTTATGTTTGTCCCATTTATTATTTATTTAGTCCCTCTGATTAAACATTCCTCTCTTCATGAAGATCTAGGCTGTTACTCATTTCAGGGGTCAGTATTCTAGTTGTTGAATAGGATGGTGGGTTCATTGTTAGTCAGTGTAACACCAAAAAATGGTTCAATGTAACATCTGAAAGTTAAATGCAGAAGGGCCAGGCCTGGACCGATGATGTGAATGGAATGCATCTGAATGAAAATTATGATCAATCATTTTTTTGAACCACTGAGGTCCATTGCACAAAGAGAACTACTCTATGACTTTGCGGCGATGATCTCAGGAAATTTTAAGAATCTAGTTGAGAAGGGTTCATGGATATTGATTTTATATTATTAGTGAATTAAGGAATTGATCAATAAACAATTATATTCAAAGGTAAAGAAAAATAGAAATAGAAATAGAAAAAGACCAATTTAGGGGCACCTGTGTGGCTCAGTTGGTTAAGTGTTTGCCTTCAGCTTAGGTCATGATCACAGGGCCCTGGGATTGAACCCCGCATCGTTTCCCTATGTAGTGGGGGGAGTCTGCTTCTCCCTCTGCCCCTCCCCCTGCTTGTGTGCTCTCTCTCACTCACTCTCTCTCAAGTAAATAAATAAAATCTTTAAAAAAAGAAAGAAAAAGACCAATTTAAAGGATATGTTACAAAACAGGAAATACTACTAATTCAGTTCTGATATATTTTGGTCCATTAAGAAAAAAAATATATAGATTAAGGTTGTTACCACTTAGCATAAGAAGCAGCTAGACATAGGTATTTAATGGTCAGTGTTCTGCTCTTAGTTTGCAGTGGGTTCCTAGATGTTTGATTTATGAGGAAAGGAAAAATTAAAATTGAACAAATGGTTAACTAAATGAGTAAGTGCCAAGTATGAACCAGTGATGAGTATATTTTATTCTTTTTTTACATCTGCTTTGTACCCCTGAATGGCCACACATTGGCCATTTCAGTCATTATATTTAATGATGAAGATCCTGACTGACCGATGTGGCCAAGGACAGTATAGATTGGGGTAAGTAGTAGATTAAGTTTTTATTCTTGGTTTCGTCCTTTTATTCATGGATGATGACTGTATTGTTTAAAAAGAATAAATGGCTTCATGCAATCATAAATTGAAATCAATGAAGACCATTCATGGACAAATGATAAGAATTTATCCTGATAAGATCGTGCTTAATTCATTTTTCAAAACTGAAAAAAACAAAACAAAACAGATCTCCATTCAAAAAATAGATTTAGACTACTCTCTCTCTCAGATTAAGAAGATTATAGATCTTTGTTCAGTGAGAAATGGAATAAATGATGAATGAAATAGAGAATGATTGAATGACACAGTGAGGTAATGAATGACTGAGTCTTTGTGGAAACAAAAGGAAATCTATTGATGAAAATGTGAAGGAGTATGCAAATGTGTTAATAAATTAACAACGAGTTGAGTAAATGGATATGTGCATAAATGCATGTTGAATTAATTAATGAATTAATGCGTGGATGAGAGCACGTGTAAGTAAAAGTGTCAAAAGGATAATGAGTGAGTGATGAATGAATGAGTCCGTGAGTGAATGAGTGAAAGACTAGTTGCTCAAGGAGGACCAATAAGTGAAGGATGAGTGCACAAATGGATGCGAGAATGAATAAGTGAATCCCCGAATGAGCTCCTGAATTACTAGAGAATTGAAAATTAACTAGTAATGAGGGAATGAATGAACCGTGGGTCAATGTATGCATCAATGAGTGAATAAGTAACCAAATGAATTAAGTAATAAGCCAACAACTGAGTGGGTGAAGAAATTAATAAATCAATGAGAGAAGGAAAAAGTTGAATAATTTAACTAATGTGTAAATAAATAAGTCCACAAATGAGACAAATTAATGAGTGGATGCATTAGCAAGTGGATGGAGGAATGGAGTGGATATTAGAGTGAGTGAATAAAATAATGAATTAGTGAGTGAGTCAATGAGTCAGTGGATGGGAATGTAATCCAAGAACAACTTCACTGAATGAATGAGTAAAGGGGGGGGTCAAGAAAGGAGTGAGTGAGTCAGTGATCCATGTGTGAGGCAGAGCATGAGTGAGCTCACACTGGGATCCCTTCCCCGACCTCTCCAGAGAGAGCTCGCCACACCCCAACCTCACGGCATGCTGGGAATGCCAGTACGTTGTAAACAGCTTCACAGGAGCGCCCATGCTACTCCATCATGGGCATTGGTGTACATGTCATCACTAGATGGATGTGCCCCGAGAGCCAGGAACCGGGTCACATTCTTCTCTGGAGCCTAGGAGGCGCCCAGTAAATTATTGCTGAATGAATTAATGAAGAACTAAAAATACATGTGCTTTTGTGGAACCGGGATGGCCCTTCTCAGAATGGTCTGGGAACTGTGCTGTGGGGAAGTGTGCTGTGTGTCAGATGGTCTGTGGCATCCTCCTACGCAAGTGCAGATTCTCCCTTGGGTCTGGCTTCTAGGGTTCAGTGCCAGACAGTGAGACAGGATACTGGCAGTTCTGACTACCCTGGACCTTGGCCCATCCTTGGGCAACGTTGGCTTGCCATTGGGGAATCAAAGTCCTGGGTCTTCCCGAAAGCTGCCCTTGCGTCTGCCAAGACTGGAGGTCGAAAATAACCTGGTCTTGTTTTTATGCCTCCAGCAAGTGGGCCAGCTCCTTGCCCGTGCAAGCAAGCCGAGTTCCTCTGGTTGTCGTTGTAGGACTTTGGGTTAGACTTAAGGTGCCTCTGGACCTCCAGTCTCAGCATCATCCGCTCGATAAGGGTAACAGTTGTTATGGGAATTAACCTTGTCTAGCAGGAGCTTATTAGAATGTCCACACTATGGTACTTGGGAGGGAATAGAAGCCTCAGAAATCACCTAAAGTAGCTGTAATTGAATGGTTTCAACTGTACTTATTTGAAAACTCCCAAATGATACCCAACTAATACCCAGATTCCCTGTCCCAGAAGAATGGCGAGTCCAACGAAGTTCTGGAAGAATGCCAGTTTGGATGGGACCGGCTGGCCCAGACCATGCACCTTTAAGGCAGCAGAACATGCCATTCTGCCAGGGACAGATGACAAGAAAAGTAAGTTGGCAACACCTTTGCCCTATGTGGGGTATTTGCCCAAGACCCACCCTCCGTCCCCTCTGCCCCCAATATTACATCCTCCCTCCCTCCTGCAATTATATGTTGTAATTTTATACCCACTTTATGGCTGACACTGACCACTCCTCTTCCTCTCCTGTCTTGCTGGCTCCTGACCCTGGATTCCATCTCTCACTCCTGATTTTGTGTCCTTTGGACTTGGTGATGGAACTTGGTCATTTGGCTTGGAATATGGCTTCCTCCTTCCTGACGATTTGATTTCAGCTCAAATCACTGGCCTTTCTACTTCAGAGTGAATCAGGTAGAGCCCCCCCCCCATTCTCAGTTGTGGACATGTGGGACCCTAATTTTGAGTCTTCTGGGCAGTGAGCACTCCGGACCCCCTGAATTCTGAGGGTGGGCAGCAGGATCAACATTGGTGGCTTTTGGCTAGAATCAAAGGTGTGACTGGCACATGTGTGTGGACGTAGGAGACAGGACTTACGTGCTCCCATTCCCCAGGATTGCTGGGTAAACCAGCTGTCTGGATCTCACAGTGGTCAGCAACTTCCAGTAGATTCTTGTCTGTGCTTCCAGCGGTTGCTCAGCTTTGTGCTAAGCCTCACCGCCCCGCCGCCAACCCAACCTGTCTCACACTCATGTAGCCCCTTGTCTTCCTTCCTGGCTCCCCACATCCCTTTGTCTAGATTCGTCCTGTCCTCCTCACTGGTGCATCCTGACACCCCTGACAGACCTGTGTTACAGTGTTCATTAGGACCTGCTGGTTTCTTCCGAAGGGAATGTACTCCTTGAGGACAGAGTCTTCTCTTTGTGTTATGTAGTCCACTAGAAGGTCGAGACTTGAAAAAAATGGTGACTTAATCATCCATTCTTTCCTTTGTTCAAAAAATATTAGGCTCTTTCTGTGGCTCCAGAGGCTGCGTATAAATAGCAAGAAACCAGCCATATCCTCTGTCTGCCCTTGTGGAGCTCCAAGGCTTGGGAGCTAGATTTTAAACAAACTCTCACAGCAAAATTACTTAATTACACTCGTGATGAGTTTTATGAAGCCGAGGTGCTGGGGGCTTGGTTGACCTGCCGCCTGGGCCGGGCTGGCCTGGCCCTCACGATAAGCTCTCTCTGCTTCTCTTCTCTGTTTGGGGGTGCAGTCTCAAAGGACAAGGCCAGAGGCGTGGGGGTCCTTGGACGTCCTTGGAGGACAGAGGAGTGAGTGGGTTGTAGGGTTTGTGTAGCGGTTGTGTGGTTATTACCTGGGCAGTGGCCACCAGCCAAACACCGCGTCTCACGCAAGCCCTGTGCTTGTTAACGACCGCTCTGCTGAGTGTCAGGGTTTGATCTGCCCGTCAGTTTTCAAGGTTTTCTCTTACATGTGCTGCCAGATGACAGACTGAGGGTCCGGTGGAATATGTGTTGACCTCTTCTCCCTCCACCACATTTCATTCTGAGTTTCTTAAAATGGCCCTTGTGTCGCTAGCTTCCCTGTGATGTTCTAGAGCACACCTGGTGTGGCCTGTTTCAGCCACCTTGGCCCACGCCTCCCTCCCTCTGCCTCCGACTTCGGTCCCGCCCCGTCAGCATGTCTTCAGGGAATGCCCAGGCTACCTCTGTCATCCCCTCCCCGACACCAGTCCAGACTTCCCTCATCTTGGGCTGGCGTCAGCTTCTGGACTGGTCTTTTTGCCCCTCCTCCAGTTTGTTCTCCTCACTGTGGTCTGTACAGTCTATCTAGAATTTTCTAGAATGCATGAGAAAGGGTCCCATGCTCCCTAGAGCCCTCTTGTGAGTTCCAGAAGCCCCATGGGGAAGCCCAAGCTCCTTGTCTTCCCGCTCAGGTTCTTTGTGACTTGGCCTCTCGCCCTGGCTCCTACCACACACTCCTGGCCCTGTGTGTTGCCCTGCAGACCCTCCCTGAGTCTGTGCATTTGCGTCTCCGTGCCTTTGCACACGTTCCTGCTCTGACCCTGTCCTCCCACGGAGCAGTAGCAGGACGGCTTGTCCTGCTTCCCCCTGGTCGGTTGGGTCACCTCACATTTGGACTGTTGCACGGCCATGAATTTGACCTCCATTCAGAAACCTCTCCTGTGCTTGGTGTCTGCCTTCCCAGCCCGGTGGTGGGTGCTGGGTCTTGGGTGTTTTGGATCCCCCTCTGTCTAGGACAGAACCTGGTGGTCCATCCATCAGAAGCTGGTTGAATGAGACAGTGAATGGATGCACACAAGAACGATTGTGAGGCCGTTCTGGAGGCAGATTCTATCCCTGGCAGAGAACTGGGATCCTTGGCACTGGGGAATAGCACCTCCTCATTACTGAGGCCTGTCCTCTTCTCCAGCCAACTCTATTTTGCCTTCCGCCTGCGACTCATTAAGAGATATGTAACCTTAATCCTTGAAATTGCCTGGGATGGGGCGTGTTTTCACTCAAGGACGTGAATGTGGAGATTTTATTCCTCCTTAAATAAATCTCACTCCCCCAGGAAGTTTGGACAGGATGTGGGCAATCGGACCAGGGCTTGAAACTGAACATTTTGCAAAAGGCTCATTTCAAAATTTGGCCAGAGCCGAGTCTGGTTTGCGGGGGTCGCTGGGGCCTCCTCGCAAAGAAGGGAAGCGAAGATTGAAAACAAACCTTCAGCTGTCACTGAGTAGGCTGATGGTCTGCAAGACAGAATTCCGCGGTTCGGTTTTGCTTCTCTAATGAAACCGGAGTGAGCTCACTCAGCCCCATCAGCTCTTCCTCCAAGCCTCTGGCGGAGGTCTCAAACCCTCCCGGGTCCGGAGCGGAGACGGAGTTGGTCCTGAAATGGATGGGACAAGTATGTGGCACTGGGATGCTCAGGGGCAGGCTCAGCTTAGGGCTTGCCCTTCCCCTGGGGGGCGGGCCCAGGTGGGGCTGAGGACCAGAGCCTGTGGGTCCTGACACTGAGGAGAAGAGTAATAGCATTATATTATGCCAAAAGTTTCCCCGTTTCCTCCAGAGACAGGTGACATCAATTGGGGATGGGGAGGGCAGCCATGACTCCATGCCTCCATGCTAGGACTCCTCCCAGTGCACTCCTGCCTCCCAGAATGGAGGCTGAGGGGCTGGTGCCCCAGGGTCACAGGTGCGGCAGGCCCCGGGTGGAAGCGGAGGGATGCAGGGACACATAGACAGGCCCGGAGGACGGTTCTCCGTGTTCGAGCCCTTGTGACTGGCTGTCCCACTGTCCCTGCTGAGCTGTGAGTGCAGCCAGGCCCAGGACTGGCCTCTAGGACAGGGCGATTCGTGGCCTCTCATTCTCTTTTGACATTTTTTTCTTTTTCTGCCAGGAAAGAGCAGTTTGTGTCTTCAGAGTCACCGGAACGCTCCACGTTCTGTGCTCCTGCGCTGTGTGAGAGAGAAGTAAGTTTCCTTCATTTATCCTGCAGAAATCTTGCTGTGTGCTGTGCCCCGTGGAGCTCCCACCTGAGCTGGGCCTCACAGTGGGTGCCCCCCCACCCCCCGCTGTGCCCCCCGAGCCCGAGGGTGCTGCCCATTCGCCCCCCCCACCCCCTCCACCAGCCTGCCATGCTCGCTGGGCCTCAGCCGTCACTTGGGACCTTCACAAAGGGTGACGTTTCCCTCTTCTATGTGAGACTTGGGTTGGAGCCAACGGCCGCCCAGCCTCAGTGTCCCCATCTGTTAACACAGGAGAAGGATGATGGCAAGAGTCTCTGCCATCACCATTTTGCCTGTCCTGTTGGGGGGCGGGGTGGGGAAAAAGATGGCTCTCCCTTGGTCTCTGGTCCCAGCCCTCCTCCTCGCTGTCCTCCAGGCCCTTGATCTTCACTGGTCACTTTGGGGCCGGTTTGTTATATTTTCTTTTCCCTCGGATCAACGTGATAAAATAAGAGACAGTCCTGCTCGCTTGGCAGGGTCCGGACCCTGTCCCCGGCAGATGTTGCCGGGATCAGCAGGAACCGGTGGCCCCCGCCATCCGGGGCTGCTGGCGACTGTCCAGAGGGAACAAAGGCAGGCCTGGGCACATGTGTCCCCCTTTCCTAAGCTGTCCCCTCCCCTCCGCTGCCCCGGCTGCCACTGGGATTCTGGCCTCATTTACTAATAGCCCCCCATGGGGTTCTCTGCAGAACCCCCAGGCCAGAGTTCAGACATTTTTAAAGGGGCATTTGTCCAACCCCCTATGCCCCTGGGGCCCCTGCTGCTTCCCTGCAACTCTGGGCTCCTGCCCCTCGTGCCTATGCATACCCTTGGCACTGACCCTCCTCTCGCCGCCCCCCCCAAAACCCCACTGCTCCACAGGTCACCTATCCAAATATTTAGTCCCCTGGTGAGCCATGCGCCCACATTCCTTGGTTTGGCTGTTTGTGCAGCTGGTGGGCACTCATCGGCCTCTGGAAGGCCGTACTTGGAATGTGGGGGAGGTCACCAAAGATGGAAGATTCCCTTCGAGCCTCAGAAGATGGTGGGGGTGGCCCGGGACCCTCTGGTTTGAGTCCTTCGCTTTGTGGGTCTCCTGGCTGCTTCTCCCAGGGCTCTTTCTCGTCAGCCACCCCTTCCCAGGGACTATGCTGTGTGCAGGCTCGGGTTCCTACCTGGAGGAGGAAGGGGCAGAATAGAGGCTGGGACGGGCTGGAAGATGAGGCCTCGCAGCATGATGGCTGTTCCCTGGGGTGCAGCGGGGCACAAAGGAAAGGGGTTGGGGAGCTAGAAAGCACTGGGCAGGTATTGGTGAAAGAAGGGAGGGAGAGGCTCTTCAGGGTGTAGCTCCCAGGGGGTGTGTCCCTCCCTTACTCTCGCCCCTCCCCTTGCAGAGCTGGCTC